AACCTTTTCAATCAAAAAAAAATGGTAACTTTTTCTTCTTAAACTTTGAATCTTCAAAATTTTCAAGAAAAAAATCTAAAAAAATCTGAAATTTTTTTCGTAATCTTGGGTCCTAAAAATCTTAAAAAAATAGAGTTTTAGGTTTCCAAAAAAAGCCTCAAAAAAATTTGAAACGTTGCCTTTTTTTGAACCGTGATTTGAAGCTCCCGCCAAAATCGGAGCTGTTTCGAAAAATACTTCAATTTTGTTTCTCGTCATTTTTTATAAATCAATAAATTCTCTAACTACTTGAAAAGATCTCACAAATATGCCTTATGCGAAATTTCCGCCTTATACGATCAAAAAAGGCGACGAGACGCCCTCGGAGTGCAGGTGAAGTACATCTCTTTACTGGAACAATAGATGGCAAAAAAAGGAAGAATCGAATGAATGAATTGTTGAACCAAAAACAGCGTTTCGTCTATTGGTCGGTAAAAGTTCAAGCCTTTCCTCCTGGGTCTGCCCTTTTAGGTCATTTTCGGTGAATTTCAAATGCCGAGCAGATCTTTCAAAAGCTTCAAGTAAAATTGAAAGCTTGGAAGAAAATATAAATCCAAACCTTGCCGTCTTTTAAAAACTTTGAAAACAAAAAAATCGTTATTATTTGGATATTTTGAAATATTTTTTGCTTCAACAATTTAGTGAGCACTTAAGGGAAATTTTTTTGCAGATTGAAAGTGCTATGCTGCTATTTGGAAGCTCTAGAAATATTGGAAACTTGAAAAAAATCATGAAAAAGTAAATTTTTTGAAGGAGCATGCGAATTTTTCGATAAAGGTCTCGATACGAAAAGAAAGTTTCCATGGTATTTTGAGGTTCTGCGCCTTTAAAAACTATAAAAAGATGTTTGAACTAACTATACATATTTTTTCCCAATTTTGAATGTTCTATTTTTCGCAGCGACCATCAAGAAAGTTCATCAGAAACTACCCTAAAGTGGTCACTCTACTTTTTGGGGCACAAAAAGGAAACTTAGGTTTGTTTATTTAAAAAACTCTATTCTTCAGCATCCCTAACTCGCATCTTTCAACTTCATATGATCTGTAAAGTATTTGAAACAGCTCATCACCTCAAGAACTTCATAAAATTTGTCTCTGATCCTTTAAATTCGCCAGTTTTTATATTTTCTTTCAAGTTTTCGATATACTTTGAACTTTCCAGAACAGACTATAACTATACACATATTTGCACGAGAATAAAGTTCGAAAATTCCTCTTTTTCGCGCCGAAAAAATGGAGTGAGTGGTCGGCGCAAAGACGTCCGAAGAAGACAAATGGCTATGGGAAAACCAAGGTTGGTCAGTTGAGTGTGGCACGAAAAACAATACGGAGGGATACGCTTTTCAAATTTCACTGGAACTGATTCGAAACAGCTTGGTAGGGTGTTTAAAGGAGCATGGGTTGATTTTATAAAGGTCTTGAGGCGATGAGAAATTTTCAGTGTTGAATAAGGTTATGCAGCAGCTGCGCCTTGTATTACTGGGAAACTTTTTAGTGGTCACTATAGGGTTTTGACGTTTTAGTGGCCACTATAGTAGTCAAATTAGTGGCCACTCAAGGGGTTAAAATTAGTAGCCACTATAGAGGTCTAAGTGCTACTACTATAGTTTTTAGTGGTCACTTTAGTGGTCAATGGATCATCATAACTGGTCCAATCTGTTTGTTTCAAAATTATCAGAGCTACTGCAAGGAATACTGGATGAAAAGCTACTGAAGTGGCCACTAAATATAGAGCCTCTATAACGGCCACTAAAACGGAAAATAGTGGCCACTTTAGTGTTCTTTCCAAGTAGTCCTTGGCGAGCCTCTAAAGTGGACACTAAACATTTTCCCAGTACTTCCAAAAAAACTCTACTTTGAAGTTGAATATGCCCTTTGGAAATTTAGAGTACCACTTTTAAAATTCTTCAAGTGGTTACTTAAGAGGCCTATCTGAAAAAAAAACGTTTGTTCCTATAATCAGCTCCTTCCACGTGCTTTACAGAGACTGTCAATTAAATCACTGAAACTTTTCTGGAATCCGCAACTTCGCTTTAAACCAGGTAAACTTTCTGAATTCATGTATCTCAACATCCAATAAAAATCTCCATTTTACACCGAGAAGCTCAGAAATCAGTGATCCACTTGGAGAAATGTCATAAAAGTGTTCCCGACCTCTCAGAGAGAAATAAAAGAAAAAAAGAGGTGCCGACCTGAGTGCCAGGCAAATCCTGTTTTTTGCCTCCTCATATTCGCCCTTGTTACTACTCTCTCAGTTTTTTTCTGCTCCTTGAGCCCACTCCCGATAATGTATCGTGTCTTAATGGGCTCATTTCAGCCGGGTGGTCGGAGCTCAGAAAAAAAGCAAAAAAAAAAGCGAGTGCCAGGCGGCGGCAGGGTGATGATATAGGAAAAAGAAAGATCAAGCCATTTTGTAGCTTATTTTTATGGGATGGAGGAAGGAGTTCAAAGTTTTTTTCGTCGTGAGCAAAAGCTAGGGGTTTTCTAGAATGCTATCTTCTTCTCACAAACTGCTAGGGTTCCCAGCCGTGCGGGTCTACCCGTTTTGGCCCGTATAAGCACAGCTGGTTGTACTTTTGTCGTTTCTTACCGCAGCTGATGCACCGTTTTTGCCCGGTTGGTTCTCAAATTTTTAAAATAAACACAGCTGGGTTACTCATTTTGTCTTACTCCGTTTTTCTCTCGTTTCAACAAAAATGAAGCTCTAAAAGCCTTAAATAACGGATTCGATACGGGCAAAACCGTTGAGGCACCCGGTCAACATGAGAGTGCAAAGTTTATTGTTTCTTGGTGAGAAAAATACTTGAAAGAATCTAGAAAGGTAATGAACGGATTAAAAAAGCAGAGAAAAACCTTCCGACTTTTTAAAATATACGATAAAGTCGGGAAATCTAAAGTTAGATATTCGAAACATGTCATTCAATGCTAATTTTTACAGACTTTCCTAGGAACCAAAAATTTTCCTTTCAAATTCTCAGCTATCCTCAATTTTTTTTCACATTACGAAAGATATTGAACCGAATATTAGCTGCCATTTTTTTCGAGACCACCCTTACGAAAAGAAAAAAAAAATGTCTCAGTCGACCTAATTTGTCAAATTGCGCACCTTAACTATGCCATTTGCAAATTGGCCCGAATGTCGGACCCAACGAAAAATTATCAAAGGGCAGAATTATGTAAAGTGAGCGGAGTCGCGAGATTTCCAGCACCCTCATTTTCGAAAAAAAAAACTGACTTTTTTTCGGTGAAGGACAGAAGATTGACAAGTACATCAGTGGAACGAATCTTTTGAATTTTCAATTTTGAAAAGTTAATGAATTTATTCGAAACGTACCATTTTTCGAACGGTACCAACCTTCTGGTGTATTGAGAAATCGATGAATCACTGCAAATGAGAAAACTTATTTAGCAGTACTTTGGAAAAAATCAAAGCTCATTTCTAACTTTAAAAATATAGTCTGTTTATTTTTGAAAGTGAGTTCCGCTTTCCAGTCAAAAGAAGGTGGAAAGCAGGAATTTGATATTTTTCAAGCCTAAACTTCATTTTCAAAAAGCTTTTTCTCAGAAGTCTATGGGGTTTAGCAGATAATCTTTCTTGTTTTCGAGTACTCTCACCCGGGTCTATAAGCCACTAAAGTTTCAACTCGAAACGCGTACCCGAGCCCGAGTAGTTCCCTAGTCAGTAATTTTTACACTGAACTTGTTCTCCGATCTGAATCTTCTTATAAAAATGTCTCACGTTCGAAAAAGTCGAAGTCAATTACTTAATCAGAGTTTATAATACCTTCTTTATTTTCCGAAATAAAAAAATCGTTTTCAACTTCTTTTCATACGGTCTCAGTTCTCGAAAAACCCAAAGTGCGCCATTTTACGGTACCGATACCAAACAAAAAAGATCAGAAAAAAAAAGCCGACACGGCTGTGGAACACCTGCGTGTACCCAACCCAGACGAAATTTCTTTTTCGAAAAAAATTTCATCGCGCAGCTGCAAGTAAAGTACAGGTTTTTCTTTCGTGGGTTCTCGCGCGGTTCTACTTGAGAAAAGAAGGGATTATTTGGAAGATAGAGATCTTTGAGGGAAATTTCGAGTTATGCATAATATTTATTTACAGTCAGAAAAAAATAAAATATACAACAATGGCTTTGAAAAGAAAGATGGAAACTTTAAATTTTAGAAAAAAACATATTTTAAACTTGGAAATATGTAATTCCTTCGGCGATCGTTGATTTACCCCCGATTTGAGCAAGAAAAACTTGAATTATCATATAGAAAAATATGTTCATGAAACAAAAAAATGAGCAAAGAAAAGATGTTTTTGCAGGTTTTTATAACTTTTTTCCGAGAAAAGATATTTACCAAGACTTTTTTTCCGTTGTGAAATAGGCATTAAAATCAAGTTTTTTCTTATTTCTTTTGAAAGAAAAATTGGCGAATAAATCTTAGTAATATTTTTTTAAAATTTCAATCCAAGGCAACATAGAATGAGATTTTTTTAGTTCAAAGACAGAAGTTCTCGAAATATGTTTTTAAAAAAATTGCGAATTTTCTTTTTATTTTCCGCTTGCCCTACCATTAAAAAAACTTCTCAAAGTCAGAAATTTTTTTAAATTTTTTTGAAGATCTACTCGCAATTTTGTCCCAAAACTCGTTCAAGGTATCCCGCTCTTTCATTTGAATCGATGTGATTTCGAAAAATAAGGAGTATTGAATTTCTTTCACAAGTACTAAACGCCCAATTCCAACTGACAATAAACGAATAAAAAAACTAAAAAAAACTAAAAAAACTTCATTTCCATGATAACAATATAACAAAGAAGAAACAAAACGAGAATCTATCCTGACGATATTCCTAAGTTAAAAAGAAAGGTTTCAAGGTTACCCGCGAGAAGGAAAAATCGACATTTAAAAAAACAATAAAAAGGATTTATCAAGGTTGACGGCGGTTCCAGATTGGAGCAGATTAACGTCGTTTCCTGGAAAAAAAAAATTTTGAACATGAAACTTCAGGTAAAGTCTCATTCAATCTTAATAATGAGCATTTTTTTCAATTTGGTGGACTCCTTTCTAACTAGAAAGCTTATCAAAAAGTTCAAAGCCTATTTAAAAAAAACTCTGAAGACACTAATTTTTACGAAAAAAATCATTATAAAAAAAGGAATTTTTTTCAGTTTCTGAAAGTTCAACTTGCTTTGAAATTTCTGGAAAAAGCTTTTTATTTTTTTATTTTTTTCAAATCTTTGTGTGACTTTCTCTAAGATTTCTCCTCATGAAAAATTAAATTTCGCTATTTTAGAAACTGACCAGATCCATTTAGCACGGGCTCCGGGCTGGTTGACCTTACTACGCTCCTTCTTCCTTGGATCCAAGGTTAAAAGACCGGCTGAAATTATGAAAATAATCTTTTTTTTCCCGTTGGGGCGCGCCATAGCGCAGCAAGATGTATCTACGGTCCACAGGTTCACAAGTTCGATCCCCGCCCCGACCCAACCAAGGGGTTTAAGGAATATTGGTAGTGGGGAACCACGGCTTCATAATCCCCAGCCGTCACACACAAGGACGGATATGTCACACGAGCCAGTCCACTGATATCAGGATAGGACCTCGGCTAATCGACTTGGGGCGCCGACGCCGCTCAAGCGTTACAAAGGCGTAGGAAGAAGAAGAAGAAGAATCTTTTTTTTTAAACTTAAGCTTAATGCAAAAAAAAAAGACATGAGAACAGAGAAATCGCAGGAAGAAAACTCGGAAAGATCTATCAGGACGTTCCGTAAAGATGTGAAGAAAACTTAATTTTTTGATGAACTGGGAAAGAGAGCATTGAAAAAACGAACATAATCTGAGCGATTCGAACGATTCGGGATGAAGAGCCGCAAGGCAGAGGGCGACGCCATGACGGACCGCCCGTGGAAGACTGCTTTGGCCGGGAAGACGTTCACTGCAGAGAAAATCGAAATATTTTGTCAGGTTTTTGGTGAAATTTATGGTCAGATTTATGAATTTATAAATAGTATTATGAAGAATGGGCTCATGGTCAACCCCGCATGTCTATAAAACTAGCGTCTTTTTCTGAAACACAATTTCAAAAAAATAATTTAAAAAAAGTTCTCCCTACATCTATTTCGTGAATTTTTAATACTTGTGTGTGAAAAAAATAAAAACACTTTGATAGAAAAAAATTTGATTGATTGAAAGTCTTCAACTTCTAAAGAGTTAAAAAAAATATGCCACTACCAGGCTGATTTTTTTCCAAAAAAATATTCTACAATCCAAAAAAATTGACTAATTCTCAAGATAGTACAGGAAACATTCCTTTCAGCTTTTCTTTCAGGTTGCAATACTAAACATGAAGCTAAAATCAAAAAAGTCAGTTTCTCCCAAACATTTCTCATTTCGAAACTAACACTTGTGTCTTATTAGGCGCTTCGGGAAGTGTCGTAGAAATGCATTCGGAAGTCGCCACGACGTCAACTCGTCCCAGCAAATTCGCTACGATCAGTGGGGCCAGCAGGATTTCTCTGCATCGAATAATTTTTTTTTTCAAATGTAAAGTTTTCCTTTTTTCATTTTTATCAGCATTTTTATTAAGTTGAAAATTTTTATTTTGAACAATATCAAACCTTTACTAGCCCAAAATCATTGAAAAAAATATCTGAGAACATGAAAAATTTTTTTATATTCTTCATCTCAATTGTATCAATGTGAAAAAAAATTATTCTTTCATTTTTTTAAAAATCATTTTTTTACTATTAGAAACCCTTACATCCACTAAAAAAATCCGATAAAATGATGTTTTTTGAAATAAATTTTAGAAAAAAAAAATTTTAAAAAGGAAAAAATATTATATCATTTGAAAAATTTTCTCAAAAGTCGAAAAATCGAAAAAATTCTTCTTCAAAATGTCATAAACTTTTAAAATAGAAGAAGACATTTTTTCAACGACAAACCTTGCCTGAAGATGTCGGAAGTCATACAAAGCAAGGCCATCAATTTCGAATTTTCCTTTTCCAGCGTCATAAACCGTGACGTTCGTACGAGTGTCCTTGCAATGGGTTCTGAAAAATTGAAGTAGACTTTTTTCTTATTCCAAGTTTCAATGAATGAAAGTTCATATAAATATACAAAAATAGAATACTACAAAATTCACTACAAAAATTTACTTTATTTTTAGTGGTTTTCTCTTCAAATTTGAAGCATATCGAATATCCGCATTTACCAACCTGACAGTGGCGAATCGGCGGTTTTTTTCTCGAAATCAGTTTGAACTTCAGGTACAGCTGGACCGAATAGCTTAGAACCGGTTGAGGCGGCCAAAGGCTCTCTGGAAAAATTCAAAAAATGAAAAAAATAAATAACAAAATTATCAAAGCTTGAAGTGACTGAAGTAAGCCAATATTCAAAACAAAACCTATATTCCATTATGAATTTCGATTCGATCGAAGAAGCCGGCTGAGACGCCAAATGGTCGAAAGCAATCAGAAGCTGGCCGTACTGAAAATGAACATTTTCACCATTCTGAAATAATATTTCGATATAAAGATCCCACCATTTGAGGCGAAACGCGTTCCCCGAGCTTCTTTTTCAATTTCTCCGCACTCATCCACTGAGAACCGCTCAAGTTCCTGCAAAAAAACTACCACTTTTTCAAATTCAATTTTTCTTTTTATCTATGAAAAAAAGTTCTCAAAGTATTCAAATTCAAAAAAAGAATTTTTGTGACTGTGATTTTTTTAAAGCTTCAAAAATGCCTATAACAGTTGATTTTTGTAGAATTTAATAAGGTAAAATTGAAGATTTGAACCAAAAATCCAGGAGTTTCAAATAAAAAAACTTGCTCATTCAGTTTATCCATTAAAATTCTAAAATTTAAATCTTAAACACAAAACGATGTGATTACTCAACAACTGAAGCATATCCTATGAACTTTAATGAAATTTTTCATGAAAAATAAGCTTTCTACTAGAGAATTTGGCCTTTCAAAACTTTGAAACCTATTCTTTAATTTCCGTAAAAACACAATTTGCTTTGAAATTTCAAAATCCATCAAATTTATATGCATCACATCAAAAAACCAAAAATCCTATGTAGAAACTCTTACACGGGCTCCAAATCGCTCTTATTCGTCGATTTGTTGCCGAAATTTTTGATCGTAGAACTTCATGACGGCGTTGGTTTTGATTCCAATGTCCTGAATTACAATTTTTAAAAACAAAGAGAAATTATTTGAACAAGAAAAAAACGACTTTATTCATCAAACACAGGGAGAACAAATGAAGAAAATGATGGAACTCACCGATAAAAGTCCATAAACCTTTGGGCTGAGCGTGAAAAAACGAGACCCTTCCGGCCTGCCTTCGTCGTCGAAAGTGAACCTTTGGAACCTGAAATTTGTCATCTTTTTATGTTGAAAAGTCAAATAAAAATTGATTTCTCAGACCATTTTTAGATTGAAACCTCGTTCAATTACCGCTAGTTGACATGATTATTTGGAAAAAAATAGTTTCTTAAGCCAACTTTCAGATGAAAAATGTCTTTTTCTTTTTTTCTTATCCCCACTCTAACGATAGTCAGCAAGAAGATTCTGTAAAATATTAAATTAAGCTCAAAAACCATTTCCAAGGTCAATTTTAAGGTCAAAATACCTATTTTATCGCATAGCCTCGCTTCATCCCATGAAAAAAATAAATAAACTAGATTTTTCTAAATAAAAAAATGAAATCTAAAAAAAACCTGGGCAAAATCTCGTCCGGCGGTCGCATCACAGGCTTTGCTTTAGGATCCGAAAGTCCGGATGGGAATAAATATTCGATCGCTCTGTAAAATTCAATTTATAGAAGGAAATTGAACACGTTTTTCGCTGATGATAGCTATCAACAAAGAAAAAAACTAAAAAAATTTGAGAAAAATTCGAATTTTTTTCCGTGTTTTTTTCTTTACGGCTAAAGATCCATATTTTTCTTTAAGAAAAAAATCCTCTAGCTCATTCTGATAAATTTAAAAAAAGCAAGAATCAAACATGATTTCGATAAAAACCCTTTGAAATGGAAACTCTAGAGTTCTCATTTTTCCCTGCAAACAAAAATTCAAAAATCACAGCAAATCTAATATTCAGAACAAACCGATCGATCGCCTCTTGATTGAGTTCATGAACACTGATTCCCATCATCGAGGCTAAATGCCTTCTTCCAGTTTCGAATTCCACCCTGAAAAAGGCAATTTTCAACAATTAAATTGTGTTTTATTGAAAATATTTCAAAAACCCGCTATTCTATATTTTTCAAGCTTAAACCAACCTATGCCTCTCCATCATCGCAACGTTCTTTTTGCTGTTGCGGAGGTAAGTTTCGAGGGCTTTGCTGATTCGTCGGACGGACAAATCGCCGACGTCGGAAGACGGCGGCGGAGCTGAAGACGTCGACGAAGCAGAAGTCGCCGCAGATGACGTCGCTGCCAGGGACGACGTCGTCGAAAGCGAGCGCGTGAATGCGGCTCGCAGCATTTTCACTGAAAAACCGATTTCAAAACAATATCAGAAATTTCAAGAAAACTCTTGTATTTTTAAACAGTACACGAAAGATTGTTGAGGAACAAAACCTGCGAAGCATACAAGACAGAAAAAAAAACTTGAAATAGTAAATAATTTATTCTTTTCACGAAGAATAAGGGACAACCACTTCATCGACAATAAAAATTAAACATTTCAATTTTTGTGATTATCAAAAAAAATAACAAACAAAAAAGGGTAAAGAAGAAAAATTCTAGGTGGAAAATCTGTCCGCTTGGATAAACTTAACTTTTTCTCGGGTTTATCCTATTTGGATCATAAACTGTTAGTTCTATTTTGTTAAATCGAAAAAAAAATAGCCGCAGTAGCTTGAAGAGGGCCATAGTAGAACTCGTATTGCAAAAAGAACGCGCCCACGTTGCCAAAATCCTCCGTGATTGCCGTCAAGTCCTGCCACGAAAACGACGAGGAACAAAAAATGTACGGTTTCATAAAGAGTTAATCCGAGTTTGTTTGGATTAAAATAAGATCGCTTCTGAACCATTTTTGCTTTTCATTATATTTTTGGGAGCGCAGTTTTCCAAACTATTTGTGGAATTCAAAAATAGCTCGAAAAAAAAACTAAAATGAGCTCATTTGAGGGCGAACAAAAGTTCTTCAAGCTCAAAAATGCTTTTGGATTCGTGAATTCAGAAACTGGAACTTCTCGGATATCGAAAGAGTTCAATAGTTAAAGATATTTGAAGAAATCGACTTTTTTTTCAGTTCTTGTCCAATATTCTGATGCAGAATTGCGAGAAAAAGAACATTTTTTTCGAATAAATTAGACTGCGCAAAAACTTATATCGACTATATTTTTATTTATTCTACACCTTTTATTTTACCCCAGACGTAGTAAATCCGGAAAAAAAGAAGGAAATAGTCCAAATGTTCAGAAAACTGTAACGGCGGGGTCCCGCCACGAAAGCAGCGAGAACGGCAAAAGATACGGTTTCGAATAGTTTATTTATTTATTTTTTGTGTGGATTATTATAAGGTTGGTACTGAACCAATTCAGTTGTTTATGATATCATTGAAAACGCAGTCTTCTCAACTATCTGTGAAATTCATAAATAGTGAGGAAACGAGTAGAAAAAGCTCATTTGAACGCAAAGAAATTTTCTTCAAGCTCAAAGACCAATTCTGGATTGGTGAATTTGAAAACTGGAACTTCTCGGACATTGGAAGAGTTCAATAGTTAAAGATAATTAAAGAAATCGACTTTTTTTCAGTTCTTTTCCTAGATTCTGATGCAGAATTGCCATTTTTTGGTTAAATTAGCCTGCGCAGAAATTTTATTGACTCTATATTTTTTTTTCTCTACACTTTTCATGCTACCACTGAGGTAGGAAAACCGAAAAAATGAAGAAAATAGCTCAAAATGTTCAGAAAACTGGAACGGCGGGGTCCCGCCACGAAAGCAGCGAGAACGGCAAAAGATACGGTTTCGAATAGTTTATTTATTTATTTTTTTGTGGATTATTATAAGATTCGTACTGAACCAATTCAGTTGTTTATGATATCATTGAAAACGCAGTCTTCTCAACTATCTGTGAAATTCATAAATAGTGAGGAAACGAGTAGAAAAAGCTTATTTGAATGCAAAGAAATTTTCTTCAAGCTCAAAGACCGATTCTGGATTGGTGAATTTGGAAACTGGAACTTCTCGGACATTGAAAGAGTTCAACTGTTAAATATAATTAAAAAGAAATCAACTTTTTTTCAGTTCTTTTTCCTAGATTCTGATGCAGAATTGCCATTTTTTTGGTTAAATTAGCCCGCGCAGAACTTTTTATTGACTCTATATTGATTATTCTACTATTTTTTTATGCTACTTATGACGTAGGAAAACCGAAAAAATGAGGAAAATAGCTCAAAATGTTCCGAAAACTAAAACGGCGGGGTTCCGCCACGAAAGCTGCGAGAACGGCAAAAGATACGGTTGCAATTCGTTTATTTATTTATTTTGTGTGTGGATTATTATAAGGTTGGTACTGAACTTTTTCAGTTTTTCATGATATCATTCGAAGCTTCGTTTCCCACACTATCTGTAGCATTCAAAATATCTCGAAAACGATAAGATAAGCTTATTTGAAAGCAAAGAAGAAGCCTTCCAGCTTACCTTAGAAAAAAAAAATTTAAAAAACAGTTCTGGATTCCTTGATTCCGGAGCTGGAACTCTTGAACATCGGAAAAGGTTCATGGTTAAAGATCATTTAGAGAAATCGGCTCTTGAGTTTCGCGGAGTTTTTTTTGACATGACGCAATTATATTTTAATCAAATTATTTTATTTTCGTCGAAAAAAACTTTATGAGAAGATCTTATTGGGAACAACTTGAAAATAATTATTCACGAAAAATCATTTTTCCGCTTTCAAATATTCTTATCGAGAACTACCCACTTAGAAAAAATTTCACAAAAAGCGTTTTCTCAGTGATTTTGATAATACTCGTAATAATATTCTTTACAAAGAGATTTCAATGAAATTTTTTTTATTCACACGATACTTGCTGAAATGATCAAAAAAGAGAATTGAAGACAAAAATCGATTCAATTAGCTATCGAAGAAGACTGGGATCCACCCTGAAACCAATATTGTGAATGTAAACAAAAAAAAATTATATTGGAACTCAATTAAAAGTTATGAAAAAAAGGCCGCGCACACTCAAAATTGTGCGCTCCTCTGATAATAAATTATTTTCTCTCATTTTCGAAAAGATATGGCCGATTCACGGCTGACTTGGGAAACGCAGACGCCTTGGTACTACCTTTTTTTTTATCGTGTCAGGACCCAATTCGTTTACTCAAGTCAGCCGTGAACCAGCTATATTGACGGATCTTCAAAAAAATGCATTCTCAAGGCTTTCCTGTTACAGAAAGGGACAAAGTTCGAACTGATGATACTTGGTTATTTTTTGAAAAGTCGAACTAATTTATTTTCGGCTAAACATAAAAGGTTATAGAGTGGAGAAGATGATGAATATTTTTGAAAGTTATCTCATTTCCGCCAAAATTAATTTGAACACACTGTTTTTGTAATTTTCGAAAATTACAAAAGCACTATTTTTTTGATTTTGATGAAATTCCATTCAAGATGATAGTCCATCATCAGAAAAACTTTTGAAGCCATTTCCTTTTACTGTAGCCGCGTTACTGTAGGCAGGTGAGCACCTGTGTATCTAAGTACTGAAGAGTTTTTAAGGGTGTCTTTTTTAATCTAAAATAGTTTCTGAAAACGATTTGTTGCGAAATTATTACTTGTGTATAAAAAAGATACGAACCGAATTTCCAGAATTTTTGCCACTACTCGAGTTGCCCCTCATCTTCTTCGTTTTTTTGTGTGCCTTGGATTTCTTGGCTTTTTTGTCCTTCTTGTTGCGCGCGATCACGAACAAAGCGACGGCGGCAAGTGCAATGAGGATCCCGACAGCAACCACGGCGGCGATGACGATGACAGTCGTCGTTTCAAGACCTTCCTCTCTCTGTCAAATTTCCAAGTCGTTTTCTCTGATATGAAAACCATCCAACCTTAGCGGCAGAATCTTCAGTTGTTATAACCTGCGTCACACCCTGTTCCTCAGACGTCGATGCTTCGAAATCGTCATCATCATCGTCATCATCAGGTTCGATGGTTGATGTTCTTGGAGCTGAAGTAGAAGAACCCGTGGACAGCGGCGGCTCCGTCGTCGGCGGTGACGGCGTGGGTAACGGCCTCGGTGGCGGCGGAGGCAGAGTAGATGTAGGCTGTTTCCGATCAACGCAGTAATACGTGGTTCCGTCACTAGTGAGCGACGGATGTTCATAGTCTGCACAATGCCTTTGTTGAAGTTCCCCTGCAAAATATTTTTGGCTCTGAGTTTTGTAGCTCTGATATGGCCGATATCTATGGCCGTTTACAGAGTGTAAAGTTCATAACATTTATTTCTCTCCATGTAATAACTGAAAAAAGAAAAAGAAAAAAAGAAGATAAAATGGCTAAAGCGCTACACTGAAAGAATAGACTTAATGGAATTTCAATTGGTTTTTCTGCAATAACTACGCAGGGTATAGTCCGTTTTTCGCAACTTGAAAGGACGGGACTTTTCTGCGCCCTCCTCGTGTCTCGGCGACCTTCTCATGTTGGCGTGATATTTATATGTTTTCGACCTCTCCTGTGAGGGAACAGAGAGACGCAGACACTCGAAAACTTCTAAGTTGCGGTGAACGGACTATTTTTTAAGATACTTCTAACTAGCTAGCTTAAAACTTTTTATTGCGTGTCGAAGAGCAGAGGTGTAGGATTGGGAAGGCAGCCCTTGGCTTGGCGGCCAAGCCAAGCCATTGGGCCAAAAGATAAAAATGAGCCATTAGTTTACGTGGTCTTTGGTAACTAGGTCAAGTACCTGGCGATAACGCCCTGAACTATCATTATCAATTTTGTAAATTTTGAAATGTTATTTTTTTTTCGCAACTCCGTGTTAACGTTTTTAACCTACTGTAACAGATATTTTAGCAGGGAATTTTCACCGAAACGGGTCAGTAGGCTACATTTTCAATCTCACCGGAGAACTACTCGGATCAAAAAATTTTGAGATGTCATGAAATTGATGCGAAATTGTTTCTCTTAATTCATTTGGTTTCCAAAAAAAGTCACATGACAGAAGAATCATACTACGCCAGGCCACCTCGTTAAGAGTGGAAGGCGTACAGGTCTGTTTCTTAATTTTTCGAGAGTATGAAAAAAAAAAGCCAGCGAATTTTCGAACGGCGACTTTTCCGATGTTTTCATATTGCCAGGGAATTTTCCGACGAATCTTTTTCCGACTTTTTCCCTTATATTTTATCTATTAACTTTTTTTTTCTATTTTTTGTGTTTTAGTCATGAATCAACTACCTATTTCATATAGGAAGTTTCAAAACAGATTTTTATCTAAAAAAAAGTCGGAAAAGGATTAGTCGGAAACTTCTCCGTCGGAAAGTTCCCAAAAAAACAAAAAAAGTCGTTATGTTCGAATTTTTTTAACAGTTAAAAAAATTCTGATTCCTTTGTGTAAACAAGTTTTTATACATTGCTCGAAACAAGCGCTTCTGAGATGTTAGGGCGATTTCGCCTTACAAATGACCGTCGCGCCACGTTGACTTTTGAAAAAGTCATTTCTGCCTTTTGGGCGTTTATGGCTTGGCAGGCAGGGCGGTCAGTGGGCAGCCATTCTCCACCTCTGTCGAAGAGTATACTTGAAAATATACAAAAGTTCCTATTAGAAATGCTTCAAAACGCAGAAGTGTGTTCATCTGTCCACCAAATTTGCTCCAAAACAGTACTAATTTTTGTTTTGGTATAATTTTCTTGCGTTTCGAACCAATTTTCGTTTTCTCGCATGACCACGGAGAATACAATCGCTTTTTTGCTTCAAAAGTATTTATAGTTGTGATTTTTCAAGCAGACCGTTGAGTTCGCAATGAAAAGTTCTATAGTTGATTCAAGGCCTGCTTGGGACGTTAAGGGGGCGTGTCTTGTCTGCGCTCTCCACGAGCCAGGCGCTATCTTGTGTATTATCGTGCCAGGACCATTTTTTCGATGGCTCAAGCCAGCCGTGAATCAGCTATACAAAGTACTGATTTCCTCTTCTCGTTTTATATTGCCCCTTTTGAAAAAAAATTTGCTTTCATCTGAACTTCCCAAGTATCTCAACCAATCCTACGATCTCGAAAACATCTTCCGTCAATTCACTCGGCAAACATTTATGAGAGCTAACATTAGATTTTCTAGTTACGAAGATAGATTAGCTCAAATTAACACTAACTCTCTTTTCAGAACAAGAGTGGCCTTATCATCTTTCAATACTGGCTCAGAGGCTCGTGAGGGCCTCAAGTGCCTTTTATTTATTTATTTCAGGCTTAAATGCCAATTCTTTCCTTCTTTTTTTGTACATGTTATTTTTGTTCTGCCTGTAAATAAATTATATATTATATTACATTATGAAAGTTGTGACCGCCCTTGAAAATTCAATCAATCACCCATGGAATGAACAACATTTGTCGAGCAAAGTTTTGTTCGTCATTTTATTGATTTTCTGACTCACCATGCATACAGAACCAATGACTTTCATACGCCTCACAGCTTCGGCTGTAAATTGATAAAAGTCTTAACCGACGGTCTTTTTATCGTACGTGTATCTGAACTTATCTTCTTGCGGCAAGTTTTCGTAAAAGTCGGTCCAAGCGCATTGCTCGTGGTTCTGGCAATCAGCTCCATTGACCAGCGTATAGAGTGGATATCTGTTGTTTACTTCCTTAACTGAAAAAGGGTAGCTAGTTATTTTGTTTTCAGGCAAGATATGCAGAAAAACGGGAAAAATCAACTGGAAAATGCAAAACCGTGTGCACAAAATCCTTTGAAACCAAGCATCTCTTCTTTCATAGTTTCACAATAGACGTCGGGCGCGTTGCAAGTAGAATTACAAAAAAAGATATCGTTGGTGCGTGGATTCCTCTGTTTTTGAATATAGGTCAACGGCTCTGAAAATGCTCTCTAGTGAGTAGGAAGAATGAAAACAGTGCTCAAACTATCTTAAATATATCTTCAGAGATAAAAGTTCGCTATATTTCAAAATATACTTCGATTCACACTAAATCGAATAATATTGCAACAGTTCAGTTAAGCAGGAAACAATTTTTATATTGTGACTTATACAATAGTCATGAAGTTTCCAAAAGTAGAACATATAGAAATTGGGCCCCGTTCCATACCTCGGCTGGATCCTACCCTGAAAATTGCGGTCTATTTCAGTACATTTTCAATTTTTTTCGGCGCGAAGGCTGGAGTGGGATCCAGCCGATGTACGCTCCGTTCCTGCCCCAATTTTTGAGCCCCTGGTTGAAACTTTGATCAAACTTTGCTGAAGTGTACCTTAAGACCACCTGAACAATTTTCTCGCATTTTTTATCGATTTATGAAGCTTCAATGTTTGCAAAAAAGCGCTATTTCAAGTTTTTGGAGCGTCTCTATTCGAAAAGAAATTGTTTTCTCATTCTGTACTGAAGTCAACTTCGTCGAAGCTCGATTAAGTTCAACCCGGAGGCTGAAAACGTTTCCTCGTCGACAACATCAATGAAAGCTGGGCGAGATTCTATAGAGAACTTCTAATATAAAAATTTTTAAACTTTCTCTATGTTATTTTTCTTTCGATTCTACATTTTTATTATTGAATCTCGGCGAAGACTCGTACAAAGGTCAACCGAATCCAAACAACAGTTTTTTGAGAGCGAAATTCCTCACCGCTGTAGCAGATTTTCACCACTAATCCAGGATCCCCAAAAAGGTTCGCTTTTCCATAGACTGGGCTGCAGAAATAGCCCTTTTCGCAATCTTTGGTAATTTGACAGATCTTTTCTCTCGGCACTTAAATTGATTCATCAATTGTTGAAGAAGAAGTTTTCCAGTCTACAAGGTAGAAGTAGAATGGGAAAATAGAAAACAACCTTTGCCGTTCAAACTGAAATCTTCGGCAGGAAATAGAAAGAACACTAAATTTTTGGCGAGTCGGAGATCTTTTCGAATTTCGCAGAACTACTTTGAAAAAGACATTAATTTATTACGTAGAAACTAAACTCAATTAAAACAATTCTGATTTTTTTCGAACCACTTTTGAATTGAGCTTTTTTTTGTTAAACTTTTTCAGTTTTCAAACAAGGAAGCTTGAAAAAAAGTTTTTAACTATTTTACTGTGACACAGGCCCCTTCAACCAACCAACCTTTCACACAAATCCCGTTGAGTCTGTCAAAACTCGAGTAGCCGACGAAGCAGAACTGATTTCGGGCTTTGCAATCCGTCGAATCGAGACAATGGACGAACCCCGTCTGATGAGGTTCCAGAACTATCCTGCCGAACATGGGCGGGACGAAAAAAATAATAATTTAAAAGTGAAGTTTTACTTGCTACAAATTAACAAGTAAGTCATATTACCTTAGGGTTGGGAATTCCCTAAAAATGGCCAGAAAAATCGTTAATGTACCAAAAAAATCTGGAAAGTATCAACCTACACAACTTACTAGTTTTTGAAAAAATGACCCCTCAAAGTCAAAAAAAAACCCTTAAAAATTGTAAAGATAGGCTATTTCTGGAGATTTCACCTTTTGTTTTTCTTGAAAACTATAAGGTTTGCAAGTTACTTTCAGAAAATTTTTTTGGTGAAACAAGGCCAATTTTCGGTTAATTCACCACCGCAAAATGAAATGATCTTCCTTGACGCATTTTACAGATTTTCTATATGACTATCATCAAAAAAAAATCGAGCAACGTTTATCATCCGTTCAAAATAAGGTGCTACGAAAAGGATGAGTTTTCATTTTCCGAAGATTACTGTATGTGAAAGTCCGCATTTGGCGTGTGCACTTTGCGCGTTTGCACATTTTTTTTATCCATCTCAGGTTTTTTTTTCCTTTTTTGAAAATGAAAATTAAATGAAAAAAAGGCTGGGATGAGAAACAGCCGATGTATGGCGCACATAGGAACATTAAAAATGTGCAAACACGCCTATTGCGGACTATTGCATACAGTACTGTTCAATGAAAACCCGCTCTAGTCGTTGTACCGGAAAATTTTGTTTCAATCTACGCAAGTACTAAAGCTAAAAACAAGAAGCCACGTCGCATGCTTATCTTAGGAAAGAAACTCACTGTTAAAGCACGCTTTTCTCGATTCATCACGCCTGAGGGAGAAAACAACATCGCAATAACCGCCAAGGCATTCTTTGTTCGACGAACATGTGGGCAACAGTGAGGGATCGGCCGCGTTGAAACCTCGAGCCTGGTACCTCTTCCTGGCAGCAAAATAAGCCCATTTTGGTCGGATGAAGTTCCTCAATTCATTAGACAGTGGGATACCTGCAAAAAGGGGAGAGTGAGAATATAATGCCGTAGTGAAAGCGGAAAGGTTCTCTCACTCAGAAAAACTAGTAAAAAATTCACTGCAAAGAAGATGTCCTTCCATGTAAGCCGTCCGCTTCTTACGTTGGTCATGCAAGAAAACTGCTCCGTTACGATGATCGTATCCCGACAGCAGTCCAGTTTTACAAAAGATGTCGGCTACAACATTCACTGATATTGGCATATTTCATAAATTTTAGGGAGGAAACAGAAATAGAATCCAATAGGCTGGAAACGGTAGTTTTTATGCTACAAAGGGAAATACAGATTTATTTTAACTAATTTTTTCATCGGACCTTGGTAACGATAGCCGGACGTTTCTAAGCAAATCTAGGGATTACTTAAGAGGGCTGACGCTACTGAAGTGTTCACTAGAAATACCCCGACAAGTCCGATTTGCGTCCAGTTCGCGTTACCAATGTCCGAGTTGATTGATATCTTTTCAAGTATTACATTCTATGAAGGCGTAGTTAAGCATAGAAGTTCTTGGAAAAGCCAGAGTGGTATAGGTGGCCTTTGAGCAATTTTTTAGGGGTCCTTATAAGAGATTTTTGTTTTAGGGGCCTCTATATTAGGGAAATCAGATGGTCCCTAAAAGGGCCCCTATATGAGTTTAGGGTGTGACCCCAAAGCTCCTAAAGCTCAAGTTAACTTTCTTTCTGTTCAGATTTGAAAATTAAAAGGTCAAACTTCATCAATAGATCTTTGCGGATGTGTTTCATTCAAAATCGCTCAGTTATTCATAAACTTCATGAGCATGTCGCCTATAGGGTACTCTCTGGCAAGCTTTAGTGGACCTCATGGGAACGGAAAGCACCTAAGTGGTCCCTGAAGGGAACTTCCAAGAGCCCTTAAAGTTGCTCCAAAAGGGACCACTTTGGTGTTCTTGAGATGGGTGAAAACTTTCTGAATTGCAAAAAGGTAAGTTTTTTGAACTTTTTAGCGTAAAAACCTAGGAGCAATACTTTTTAATTAATGAAAAAAATCAGTTGAAAAAAAGGTCACTTTTATTATTTTTTTCATATTTGGAAATAACTGACTACAGCAGATTTTATCTTTGCCTTTCTCATACTGGTAGCATTTGCGCTTCCCATCGCATCTGCACTTCTTTTTATAGCAGTCGCATAGATCCGGGCTTTTATCCTTTGGGCACACTAAAATGGAAAATCAGAAATCTTTCCGAAATCATCTACCAGTTGGATCAAATCTCCGCTTAACGATCTTTCTACGGCAGCAGACACCCTGCAAAAAAAGATTTAGGCTGGTGCGACTCTCAATATTTTCTTTTCCGGTAAAATCAGTCTGATTTGAAAATTTCCGAACGGTCAAAAAGCCTTTTGGTGAGTGGTTAAAACATCGATACCTTTTAAAAAATGTGCCAAAAAGTCTTCCGATTTATGAGCGCGAAAATATTTAAATATTGGTTTTTGCCTTTTTATTTTTTTGTTTGTCGATTTATACTCAAAGTTTTGGGACTTTTTTTCCCGACTCCGTGACGCGGCTTTTTGCCAGAAAAAAATATAGAAAAACAATTTCCTTATTATTTTTTTAAACTTTTTATTCGTTCAACTGAATTTTTTTCAAACCTATAAAACTACAGTTCATACAAAAACTGTCACGAAAAGAGAAAAAAAAAGTAGCTAGCGTTTGATTTGGAGCTTCCGTCAAAAAACCGCGTCGCGTACGCAACGCTTAACCATTGCCAAAATCTACTTATCTCGTTTTTCAAGTCTGGAAGGATTGGTCATGACTCTAACCATATAAATATATCAAATTACCATTTTTCAGTTTCATCGCATACGGATACCAAAAGACTCTTCTTCTTTCACTTGACTACTTTGATGGGGGATTTTTTTCAGGTTTCTTTTAATTTTTAAAAGCTACTCTAGTAAGTCAGGCATGAGAAAGAGCCATTCCGTGGAAACCTGCACGCATTTGGCGCTTATCGTGGAGCTTATCCCGTAGGCGAGACAATCGGTCGCTTTGCGGCACATCTGCGGCGATTCTCCGAGCAACGCAGACCCGCGTCCGCAGACAGAATGATCTGGAAGCGGCCCGGTGGGCAAATGCCTTGGATCGCCAAACTTACAGACGCAGCATTTTCCGTGGCCGCACTTGAGCGCATCGGTGTTGCAGAGTTGAGGCGGAACTCCAGTTCGACAATCTTCGTCGAAAAGCTCGTCGCTCCCTGGAAACCAACCGTTTTCGCCGACGTCCTGCAATCTTTTTTTTAAACGCTTTTCAATTCCTTGTCATAAGAAAAGTTGAGTGAGCAGATCAAATAGAGCAAACAGCCGAAAAATTCGCCATCAAACTTTTCTCATGGGTCCGCCATAGATCAATCGGAAGGAGGATACAAGGAAAAGCTGCAGTGGCCACTTTAAAAAAATCCTTAAATGCTACTAAAGTGGTCACTAAAACCTCCTTCACTGAAGCCAAAAATTTGCGTCTCAGTGGCCACTGTAGTAGCTTTCAGTGTTTTTTTTTTCTACTAAATAGACCTGAGACCACTACATCTTGGCCACTAGTTCGACTAAAATACTAGCCACTCAAACTTCGAAAGCTTTAAATGGTCACTTAGCACTTCTCCAGAATAGTAAGATTAAAGGCTTTATAGCAGAACCGTGTGCAACGTTTATGTTAATGTTGAGGAAATTTCGATACCTTGCAAACTTCAGAAGAAGGTGTTTCGTGAGCAATACATAGAGCGAATATAATCTGAACAAGCAGTAGTAGACGTTTCATTCTACGCATAGGAGGGAACGTGTTGGAGTAGCAAAATGATCAATTTTCAATATGGATCTTCACGTCCTACTTTCAATATTTCATTCACGTCTTGTCTTCATTTGGCGAGAAAAAAAAATTTCGCATACAGACGACTTCTCCGCAGAACTTTTGAATTCAGATCTATGAATTGATAAATAAGAGAATATTTCCTTTTTCTCTTTTTTTTTCGCTTCAAAAAAAAATTTTCGTTCATTTAAAAACTATAAAAAAATGTCGGCAGTATGTTAATTTTCGTCGGCGGTACATGCACAAAAAACGTCATACTTGACGACTTTTTCGGGGAGAGACTATGGAAATGCCAAAAACCTCTAATTTGAAAAATAATCAGGTAAGATAGAAGACTTTTTGATTTTCATTCGATTCATTTTTCTTGAAAAATGTTTTCTTTTGAAAAATAATTTCCCCAGTCATTCGCACTGTTTCAATAAGAAAAACGAAAAAAGATAACGATGCAATTTATTTATTAAAGTCTTAGCGAATGTTAGTGATCTAATCGGGTTTTCTGTTAGAAGGCGCAGACGAAGGTCTTGTTGACGATCTTCTTGGTGGCTGGAGCACAGCAGGAAGTTCTCGGGAAGAGGCAGACCGCACTGCCGCAGGCCTGCTGCGACGTGAACGCTCCACTGGAAGTTATCGATTTGTTGGTTGATTTCAATCGATGGATTGTTTTTTTTTTACCTGCACTGGCAACCCGAGGGGAAACAATATCTGTAGATAGGGATGACGCCGCACATTCCGCAAGTGTCATTGCAAGTAGATCCAGCTACTGGGGCCCATTCTGTCCAGGTTCCCGGGCATTGTTCCACCTGAGAAAGTGGCGTCAGAATTATTTTCTGCCATATTTTGTTTCTGGTTGAAGTTTATATGACCTCAACAACGTATTAACAAATATTATGTTATTATAAGAGAAGGTCTTTTTTTTAAATTTCATGCCTATTCTCAAAAATTATGGCGCATTTGTTTTTTTTATTAGTTTGATTCAGAAGCTCAGCTTTTGACTTCCTGCGAAGCTGTTCCTGAGTTTCTCTTACCGGCTGAGCTTGGCAATACTTGGCTCCGTCGTAACCGGTCGCGATATTGGAAGGAGCGCAACAAGCCGCCGTTCCATTGCACGTAGGAGAGCCGCAGCGTTGCGATTGTTGAGAATCCCCTCTGGAAAATCATCTTTTCTCTCTCGGTCCTCCTTCAGAATGACTAACGTGCAAGGACAACCGTAGGCGGCGGAAGCGCAGGTTCTGTTTCTGGTCTGAGTTCCGCACAAGCCGCAGGTCGCCGTGCAAGTCGACCACGTCTTCCAGCTGTTCCAAAGGCCGGTTCCTTCTGAAAAAGATCCGATTTGACAGATTCGATTATATCCTAGACGCACCAGGATCGCAGCAAGTCGTCTGTTGAGGGTTGAATGGCGGATCAACTGGCGCTGGTCCGCAGTAGAAGATCTTGGCGGTGGTGTTGATCATCTTGGTGAAGCCAGGGCAGCAGGAAGTTCTCGGGAAGAGGCAGACGGCGATGGCGCAGCTCGTCGTCAGCGTGTTCGAGCCACTGAATTGCGGACCCTTTTTTTAAAGAGATCCCTCAAAAATTAGAGAGAACGCTCTCGACTTTAGTGCAAAAATATCCTGGTTTCAAGAAATTCAAAAATATTTCTTTTATCACAAATGAGATTTTCGAAGCTATTGTTTATTTCAAAATTAGAAGATTCAGCAGGACAGGAATACTATCCGAACCCACAAATACTCGAGAATATATCGATCCGAGCTACTTACGTGCAAGGACATCCATAGCGGGTGGAGAGACATTTCCTCGCCTTGGACGTGGTTCCGCAAGAACCGCACGTGTCATTACACTCCATCGTCGTCACCCATTCTCCCCAAATTCCTGAACGTCAAACTCATAGTTTTTTCGAATTTTCCTTCATTCAACCTTGAGCCGGACAGCAAGTAACTCCGCAAGTGTTGAGGGAATCCGTCTCATTTGGAGCCGTCATCTGAATGCTTTTTATTTCACCTGTCCCCAGCTTTCTTCTCTCACCACCGGTCCGCAGACATGCTGATTACCCAAGACGGTCGCATTGAAGCCGGGACAGCAGCTGTTCCTCGGGAAGAAGCAGACGTTCTCGCCGCAAGTTTTAGTGAAGGAGGAGATTCCTCTGAACGTATTCGACTTGATTCGAAGGATTCGGAAGGTCAGGATTACGTGCAAGGGCAGCCGTCGGCGTCGGAGAGGCAAGTTCTGGTCTGAGTGATGTTGCCGCAGGATCCGCAGTAGTCGCGGCACTGGGTCGGCGTGCTGGTCCAATCCGACCAGGTTCCTGTTTCAGGACAGCACGTGTTGTTGCAGAACGGATCGTACACAGCGTACGGGGTCGTGTAGTTGGGCTGAATCGTGTTTGTGAGCGGTTCGTGGGGGAAAATTGTATTAATAGTGAGAATTCATTCACAGATTGGGCCAAAGTCCTATTTGTAGTTGTTTCTGTTTCACCTGAGGTCCGCAAATGTGCTGAGAGCCATTGACAGTGGCCGAGAAACCGGCGCAGCAGGAATCGGCGGGGAAGAAGCAGACGCCGATTCCGCAGTAGACGTCACGCGTCGCGTTTCCTCTGCAATATTGTTGATTTGGTGGTTTTACGGTGATTTTTGAACGAAATATGGTTATCTATCTTTTCCAATGGTAACTTTTAAGGTACGGCATTTCTTCAATGTTCAACTTGCGGACTCCAATGCGATAGAAAAAGTATTTTTTTTTAAACATAGCGTTCTGTTAGTTATTGCATAAAAATTTGAAGACATTGTAAACTGTTTTTGGGGACTTAAAACTGCTTTTTTTCTCTACTCTTCTCTCGGCAACACTCTCATTTAGACGTGCTATTTTTCTGTTTCTCTGACCTCGTCGGTGAGGGAACAGAGAGACGCAGACGCTCGGAAAGTGTTTAGTTCACCATCCTAGTTTTGAATTCAAAGATTGTACTGAACTTGACAATTTCTTTTTCCGCGGAAAATTACCTAATAAGACAGAAAGTTCGTTGGAGCGCATTTGAGATGAGAAAAACTCACCTGCAAGGGCAACTTGCTGGCGAGAGACAGGTACGCTTCTGAGTTTTCTTCGAGCAAGATCCGCAGCTCGTGGGGCAAGCGTTTCCGGTCGACCATTCCGACCAGTAACCTCCAGCCGGAGGGCAGCAGCCCGTCTCGCAGAGCGCTGATGGCGGCGTGTCCCTGTCGTCCTGAACACACGATTCAATGAGAAAACAATCGAATTTGTCACTGAAAATGTCGCGGAAAGCATTTTCCAGCTGTTGAAGGGAAATTCCGTCAAAACCGAGCGTTGAATTTAAAAGTTAAACAATAAGGAATTGCCTCACATTTTTTCTGGCGCAAGGAAACAGTTTCACCGTGAAATGGAAACAAAAAAATAGATATAACTGAGATAAACAAGCAAACTTTCTACCGTAATTCTACGTGGATCAATATTTCAAAGCCATTCCGCGTTTACAAAACTTTATATTTTCTTCGACTACGCAGAACGCCGTGAGTGGATATTCGACCAATACCGTTTGCAAAATGGTTTATGCAAAATTCAAAATTATCTCTGACTATCGAAAACGTAGTTATCTTTTTCCTTTTTTCCATATCGCGGAACTGAACACGGTACAACAAGCGCGGAATCTTACCGCTGACGAGCACTGGAAGGTGTTGCTGGAAGTGATTTGTTTGGTACGGTTTCCGCAGCAAGTTTGTCTTGGGAACAAGCACAATGATGGCGCACATTCTGATTGTTTCGTCGTCGATCCACTGAAATTTAGTAATATAACTGAAAAAAGTCAAGCGTTTGAAAAGAGAGTTTCGAAAAGAATAAAAGTCTCCTCTCAGAAATTTTCAGTTGGCATGAAACCGTTAACGCTAATTTTTGACAGAACAAGCGTTTTTTGAAGTCTTTATTTGAACTTTTCTCTAGAACTTAACCCCTATAAAACTTTAAGATCACAGAAATTCATAGAAGCGGAAAAAATAACAAGAGATGTAAGCAAAAAAGTTTTGAATTAGAGGAAAATATCTTTCTAACTAATTTTTCCTTTAAGGTAGATAAGTTTTTTTCGAGGGAAACTTTTTTTGAAGGTTGAAAACAGAAAACAAGATTATTTTTTTAACAATTCTCAAATTTTTGGCAAGAATAAATTTTTGAACCAGCTGAATCGAAAAATTGAAGAGCAAGATAAAATATTAGAAAAGGGGAAACTTTGAAAAAAATTTCCGCTTAAAAATGCAATAAACTGCACTTGAACGCCAAACTGCATACTCTAATTTGAAAAAAATTTCGTTTTTTTATTAAAGTTATTATTTACATCTCTCTGTCAAAGCCGAAAAAAAAAACCTGAGCTTCAAAAAAAAAATTGATAGAAGACGTTCAATTTATGAAATTCTGGAAAAAAAAAGAGAGACTCACGCGCAACTGCATCCATTGTCTTCTGAGAGGCAAATCCTGGTTCTAGTGGTTGTTCCACAGTTTCCGCAATTGTCGTTGCAAGAACCGCCGCTCGACCATTCGGACCAAACCCCGCCGATGACGCAGCAAGCTGGCGTGGTACCGTCACAGGTCAACAGTGTGGTAGTTGAGGCTGGGGTCGCCTAGGAAACTCTTGTTCAGGGACTGTAAAAAACAGAAAGGCACACCAAAGGCGCACAGAAAGCCAAATTGCCGGCGTCTTTCTGCAGAGTGTAGCCAGAGCAGCAGGTCGTACCGTTGCAAGGAGCAGTGTTGCAGATTCCTGTCTTCGTGTCAGGTCCCCTAGCACAAGTTAAGAAACTCTTTTTCTGATTCGCTTACATGCAGAAGCAGCCGGCGTTGGTATTGCAAGTTCTTGTGTAGATGACTTGCTGGCAAGAGCCACAGCTCGAGCCGTTACAGACCTGCGAGTTTGGAGAAACCTAAAAATGGCAAGAATCAAACTGATTTTTCTAAAAGTTCAAACCGTCCATTCGTTCCAGGTGGCGAGAGTACGACAGTTGGTTGTTTCGGTGGCAGAACCTGAGCAGGAGCAGCCGTAGCTCGACGAGGCGCAGCTACGAGTTCTCGAAGCAGATCCTCCGCACTGAAAAAATCAATCTCAGTTACACATAAAAGTGAAAAATATTTAGTCAAGTTTTGAATCAAACATTCGAAACTTACTTTTCCACAAGTACCGCCGGTACAACTAGACCATTCGGACCAAGCGGCCCAGAATCCACCAGGCGGACAGCAGCTGGTGTCGGCAGCCGGTTCAGCCGGATAAACTGGCTGAATTCGAATGAAATAGTGTCGAACCTGAGGAGTTCTCCGGTTACCTGAGGTCCGCAGACGTGCTGAGATCCAATGACGGTCGCCGTGTAGTTCTTGCAGCAGGAGTCCGCGGGGAAGAAACAAACCCCAATGTTACAATTGCGTACTTTAACGGTGTCGCCACTGAATTTCGTTCTTTTTTCAGAGTCGTGAGGTTGTTAGAGTCAAAATTTCGCCACAGGACTATTGTTTTTGAAGATTTTAATGAACGAACGTGCAAGGACACCCATTTGGATCAGAGAGGCAGGAGCGTCGGAAGACCTGCTGAGCACAGGACCCACATGTGCCGGCACAGGGAGCGTCGGCAACCCATTCGGACCAAAGTCCGTTGGTAGGACAACATTCTGCTCTTGTTGTCGTACCCAGCGACGCTGCAAAATCATTCGCTTACATTTGCAACTTTAGAAGTTCTCAACTCGCTCACGTAAAAAATTTCCTTCTTTGTTTACTTTATGAACAACACCGAAAAGCAGCTCGAAGAGCTCAAGTACTCATCGAGAACAAAAGCGAGACACCTTTCGTAAGAGACTCCGAGAAATTGAAGAATTTCTACTAACTTGTCGCAGTTGTCGTGGACGTTAGCTCAGTCGTGGTACTAGTGACAGTCGTAGTCGAGGTTGGCTCGGTTGTCGTGCTAGTGGCCGTTGTCGTGCTAGTAGCCGTTGTCGTGGACGTTGGCTCAGTCGTGGTACTAGTGGCAGTCGTAGTCGAGGTCGGCTCCGTTGTCGTGCTAGTGGCCGTGGTCGTGGACGTTGGCTCAGTCGTGGTACTAGTGACAGTCGAAGTCGAGGTTGGCTCGGTTGTCGTGCTAGTAGCCGTTGTCGTGGACGTTGGCTCAGTCGTGGTACTAGTGGCAGTCGTAGTCGAGGTTGGCTCGGTTGTCGTGCTAGTGGCCGTTGTCGTGCTAGTAGCCGTTGTCGTGGACGTTGGCTCAGTCGTGGTACTAGTGGCAGTCGTAGTCGAGGTTGGCTCGGTTGTCGTGCTAGTGGCCGTTGTCGTGCTAGTAGCCGTTGTCGTGGACGTTGGCTCAGTCGTGGTACTAGTGGCAGTCGTAGTCGAGGTTGGCTCGGTTGTCGTGCTAGTGGCCGTGGTCGTGGACGTTGGCTCAGTCGTGGTACTAGTGACAGTCGAAGTCGAGGTTGGCTCGGTTGTCGTGCTAGTAGCCGTTGTCGTGCTAGTAGCCGTTGTCGTGGACGTTGGCTCAGTCGTGGTACTAGTGGCAGTCGTAGTCGAGGTTGGCTCGGTTGTCGTGCTAGTGGCCGTGGTCGTGGACGTTGGCTCAGTCGTGGTACTAGTGGCAGTCGTAGTCGAGGTCGGCTCGGTTGTCGTGCTAGTGGCCGTGGTCGTGGACGTTGGCTCAGTCGTGGTACTAGTGGCAGTCGTAGTCGAGGTTGGCTCGGTTGTCGTGCTAGTGGCCGTGGTCGTGGACGTTGGCTCAGTCGTGGTACTAGTGGCAGTCGTAGTCGAGGTTGGCTCGGTTGTCGTGCTAGTGGCCGTGGTCGTGGACGTTGGCTCAGTCGTGGTACTAGTGGCAGTCGTAGTCGAGGTCGGCTCCGTTGTCGTGCTAGTGGCCGTGGTCGTGGACGTTGGCTCAGTCGTGGTACTAGTGACAGTCGAAGTCGAGGTTGGCTCGGTTGTCGTGCTAGTAGCCGTTGTCGTGCTAGTAGCCGTTGTCGTGGACGTTGGCTCAGTCGTGGTACTAGTGGCAGTCGTAGTCGAGGTTGGCTCGGTTGTCGTGCTAGTGGCCGTGGTCGTGGACGTTGGCTCAGTCGTGGTACTAGTGGCAGTCGTAGTCGAGGTTGGCTCGGTTGTCGTGCTAGTGGCCGTGGTCGTGGACGTTGGCTCAGTCGTGGTACTAGTGGCAGTCGTAGTCGAGGTTGGCTCGGTTGTCGTGCTAGTGGCCGTGGTCGTGGACGTTGGCTCAGTCGTGGTACTAGTGGCAGTCGTAGTCGAGGTTGGCTCGGTTGTCGTGCTAGTGGCCGTGGTCGTGGACGTTGGCTCAGTCGTGGTACTAGTGGCAGTCGTAGTCGAGGTCGGCTCCGTTGTCGTGCTAGTGGCCGTGGTCGTGGACGTTGGCTCAGTCGTGGTACTAGTGACAGTCGAAGTCGAGGTTGGCTCGGTTGTCGTGCTAGTAGCCGTTGTCGTGCTAGTAGCCGTTGTCGTGGACGTTGGCTCAGTCGTGGTACTAGTGGCAGTCGTAGTCGAAGTTGGCTCGGTTGTCGTGCTAGTGGCCGTGGTCGTGGACGTTGGCTCAGTCGTGGTACTAGTGGCAGTCGTAGTCGAGGTTGGCTCGGTTGTCGTGCTAGTGGCCGTGGTCGTGGACGTTGGCTCAGTCGTGGTACTAGTGACAGTCGAAGTCGAGGTTGGCTCGGTTGTCGTGCTAGTAGCCGTTGTCGTGCTAGTAGCCGTTGTCGTGGACGTTGGCTCAGTCGTGGTACTAGTGGCAGTCGTAGTCGAAGTTGGCTCGGTTGTCGTGCTAGTGGCCGTGGTCGTGGACGTTGGCTCAGTCGTGGTACTAGTGGCAGTCGTAGTCGAGGTTGGCTCGGTTGTCGTGCTAGTAGCCGTTGTCGTGCTAGTGGCCGTTGTCGTGGACGTTGGCTCAGTCGTGGTACTAGTGGCAGTCGTAGTCGAGGTTGGCTCGGTTGTCGTGCTAGTGGCCGTGGTCGTGGACGTTGGCTCAGTCGTGGTACTAGTGGCAGTCGTAGTCGAGGTTGGCTCGGTTGTCGTGCTAGTGGCCGTGGTCGTGGACGTTGGCTCAGTCGTGGTACTAGTGGCAGTCGTAGTCGAGGTTGGCTCGGTTGTCGTGCTAGTGGCCGTGGTCGTGGACGTTGGCTCAGTCGTGGTACTAGTGGCAGTCGTAGTCGAAGTTGGCTCGGTTGTCGTGCTAGTGGCCGTGGTCGTGGACGTTGGCTCAGTCGTGGTACTAGTGGCAGTCGTAGTCGAGGTTGGCTCGGTTGTCGTGCTAGTGGCCGTTGTCGTGGACGTTGGCTCAGTCGTGGTACTAGTGGCAGTCGTAGTCGAGGTTGGCTCGGTTGTCGTGCTAGTGGCCGTTGTCGTGGACGTTGGCTCAGTCGTGGTACTAGTGGCAGTCGAAGTCGAGGTTGGCTCGGTTGTCGTGCTAGTAGCCGTTGTCGTGCTAGTAGCCGTTGTCGTGGACGTTGGCTCAGTCGTGGTACTAGTGGCAGTCGAAGTCGAGGTTGGCTCGGTTGTCGTGCTAGTAGCCGTTGTCGTGGACGTTGGCTCAGTCGTGGTACTAGTGGCAGTCGTAGTCGAGGTTGGCTCGGTTGTCGTGCTAGTGGCTAGTAGCCGTTGTCGTGGACGTTGGCTCAGTCGTGGTACTAGTGGCAGTCGTAGTCGAGGTTGGCTCGGTTGTCGTGCTAGTGGCCGTGGTCGTGGACGTTGGCTCAGTCGTGGTACTAGTGGCAGTCGTAGTCGAGGTTGGCTCGGTTGTCGTGCTAGTGGCCGTTGTCGTGCTAGTGGCCGTTGTCGTGGACGTTGGCTCAGTCGTGGTACTAGTGACAGTCGTAGTCGAGGTTGGCTCGGTTGTCGTGCTAGTAGCCGTTGTCGTGGACGTTGGCTCAGTCGTGGTACTAGTGGCAGTCGTAGTCGAGGTTGGCTCGGTTGTCGTGCTAGTAGCCGTTGTCGTGCTAGTAGCCGTTGTCGTGGACGTTGGCTCAGTCGTGGTACTAGTGGCAGTCGTAGTCGAGGTTGGCTCGGTTGTCGTGCTAGTGGCCGTGGTCGTGGACGTTGGCTCAGTCGTGGTACTAGTGGCAGTCGTAGTCGAGGTTGGCTCGGTTGTCGTGCTAGTAGCCGTTGTCGTGGACGTTGGCTCAGTCGTGGTACTAGTGGCAGTCGTAGTCGAGGTTGGCTCGGTTGTCGTGCTAGTGGCCGTTGTCGTGGACGTTGGCTCAGTCGTGGTACTAGTGGCAGTCGTAGTCGAGGTTGGCTCCGTTGTCGTGCTAGTGGCCGTTGTCGTGGACGTTGGCTCAGTCGTGGTACTAGTGGCAGTCGTAGTCGAGGTTGGCTCGGTTGTCGTGCTAGTAGCCGTTGTCGTGCTAGTAGCCGTTGTCGTGGACGTTGGCTCAGTCGTGGTACTAGTGGCAGTCGTAGTCGAAGTTGGCTCGGTTGTCGTGCTAGTGGCCGTGGTCGTGGACGTTGGCTCAGTCGTGGTACTAGTGGCAGTCGTAGTCGAGGTTGGCTCGGTTGTCGTGCTAGTGGCCGTGGTCGTGGACGTTGGCTCAGTCGTGGTACTAGTGGCAGTCGTAGTCGAGGTTGGCTCGGTTGTCGTGCTAGTGGCCGTGGTCGTGGACGTTGGCTCAGTCGTGGTACTAGTGGCAGTCGTAGTCGAGGTTGGCTCGGTTGTCGTGCTAGTGGCCGTTGTCGTGCTAGTGGCCGTTGTCGTGGACGTTGGCTCAGTCGTGGTACTAGTGGCAGTCGTAGTCGAGGTTGGCTCGGTTGTCGTGCTAGTGGCCGTGGTCGTGGACGTTGGCTCAGTCGTGGTACTAGTGGCAGTCGTAGTCGAGGTTGGCTCGGTTGTCGTGCTAGTGGCCGTTGTCGTGCTAGTAGCCGTTGTCGTGGACGTTGGCTCAGTCGTGGTACTAGTGGCAGTCGTAGTCGAAGTTGGCTCGGTTGTCGTGCTAGTGGCCGTGGTCGTGGACGTTGGCTCAGTCGTGGTACTAGTGACAGTCGAAGTCGAGGTTGGCTCGGTTGTCGTGCTAGTAGCCGTTGTCGTGGACGTTGGCTCAGTCGTGGTACTAGTGGCAGTCGTAGTCGAGGTTGGCTCGGTTGTCGTGCTAGTGGCCGTTGTCGTGGACGTTGGCTCAGTCGTGGTACTAGTGGCAGTCGTAGTCGAGGTTGGCTCGGTTGTCGTGCTAGTGGCCGTTGTCGTGCTAGTAGCCGTTGTCGTGGACGTTGGCTCAGTCGTGGTACTAGTGGCAGTCGTAGTCGAAGTTGGCTCGGTTGTCGTGCTAGTAGCCGTTGTCGTGGACGTTGGCTCAGTCGTGGTACTAGTGGCAGTCGTAGTCGAGGTTGGCTCGGTTGTCGTGCTAGTGGCCGTTGTCGTGGACGTTGGCTCAGTCGTGGTACTAGTGGCAGTCGTAGTCGAGGTTGGCTCGGTTGTCGTGCTAGTGGCCGTTGTCGTGGACGTTGGCTCAGTCGTGGTACTAGTGGCAGTCGTAGTCGAGGTTGGCTCGGTTGTCGTGCTAGTAGCCGTTGTCGTGGACGTTGGCTCAGTCGTGGTACTAGTGGCAGTCGTAGTCGAGGTCGGCTCCGTTGTCGTGCTAGTGGCCGTGGTCGTGGACGTTGGCTCAGTCGTGGTACTAGTGGCAGTCGTAGTCGAGGTTGGCTCGGTTGTCGTGCTAGTAGCCGTTGTCGTGCTAGTAGCCGTTGTCGTGGACGTTGGCTCAGTCGTGGTACTAGTGGCAGTCGTAGTCGAAGTTGGCTCGGTTGTCGTGCTAGTGGCCGTGGTCGTGGACGTTGGCTCAGTCGTGGTACTAGTGGCAGTCGTAGTCGAGGTTGGCTCGGTTGTCGTGCTAGTGGCCGTGGTCGTGGACGTTGGCTCAGTCGTGGTACTAGTGGCAGTCGTAGTCGAGGTCGGCTCCGTTGTCGTGCTAGTGGCCGTGGTCGTGGACGTTGGCTCAGTCGTGGTACTAGTGACAGTCGTAGTCGAAGTTGGCTCGGTTGTCGTGCTAGTAGCCGTTGTCGTGCTAGTAGCCGTTGTCGTGGACGTTGGCTCAGTCGTGGTACTAGTGGCAGTCGTAGTCGAGGTTGGCTCGGTTGTCGTGCTAGTGGCCGTGGTCGTGGACGTTGGCTCAGTCGTGGTACTAGTGGCAGTCGTAGTCGAGGTTGGCTCGGTTGTCGTGCTAGTGGCCGTGGTCGTGGACGTTGGCTCAGTCGTGGTACTAGTGGCAGTCGTAGTCGAGGTTGGCTCGGTTGTCGTGCTAGTGGCCGTGGTCGTGGACGTTGGCTCAGTCGTGGTACTAGTGGCAGTCGTAGTCGAGGTTGGCTCGGTTGTCGTGCTAGTGGCCGTGGTCGTGGACGTTGGCTCAGTCGTGGTACTAGTGGCAGTCGTAGTCGAGGTTGGCTCGGTTGTCGTGCTAGTAGCCGTTGTCGTGCTAGTAGCCGTTGTCGTGGACGTTGGCTCAGTCGTGGTACTAGTGGCAGTCGTAGTCGAGGTTGGCTCGGTTGTCGTGCTAGTGGCCGTGGTCGTGGACGTTGGCTCAGTCGTGGTACTAGTGGCAGTCGTAGTCGAGGTTGGCTCGGTTGTCGTGCTAGTAGCCGTTGTCGTGGACGTTGGCTCAGTCGTGGTACTAGTGGCAGTCGTAGTCGAGGTTGGCTCGGTTGTCGTGCTAGTAGCCGTTGTCGTGGACGTTGGCTCAGTCGTGGTACTAGTGACAGTCGAAGTCGAGGTTGGCTCCGTTGTCGTGCTAGTTCTGAAACTTCTCTCATTTTGTATGAAGTTCATAAGTTCTTTTAGAATGATAATTCTTTTTTTATTCTTTCAACTCACATCGTGGTGCTGGCAGTTGTCGTGGACGTTGGCTCAGTCGTGGTACTAGTGGCAGTCGTAGTCGAGGTTGGCTCGGTTGTCGTGCTAGTGGCCGTTGTCGTGCTAGTAGCCGTTGTCGTGGACGTTGGCTCAGTCGTGGTACTAGTGGCAGTCGTAGTCGAGGTTGGCTCGGTTGTCGTGCTAGTAGCCGTTGTCGTGGACGTTGGCTCAGTCGTGGTACTAGTGACAGTCGAAGTCGAGGTTGGCTCCGTTGTCGTGCTAGTTCTGAAACTTCTCTCATTTTTATATGAAGTTCATAAGTTCTTTTTAGAATGATAATTCTTTTTTTTATTCTTTCAACTCACATCGTGGTGCTGGCAGTTGTCGTGGACGTTGGCTCAGTCGTGGTACTAGTGGCAGTCGTAGTCGAGGTTGGCTCGGTTGTCGTGCTAGTAGCCGTTGTCGTGGACGTTGGCTCAGTCGTGGTACTAGTGACAGTCGAAGTCGAGGTTGGCTCCGTTGTCGTGCTAGTTCTGAAACTTCTCTCATTTTATATGAAGTTCATGAGTTCTTTTAGAATGATAATTCTTTTTTTATTCTTTCAACTCACATCGTGGTGCTGGCAGTTGTCGTGGACGTTGGCTCAGTCGTGGTACTAGTGGCAGTCGTAGTCGAGGTTGGCTCGGTTGTCGTGCTAGTAGCCGTTGTCGTGGACGTTGGCTCAGTCGTGGTACTAGTGGCAGTCGTAGTCGAGGTTGGCTCGGTTGTCGTGCTAGTAGCCGTTGTCGTGGACGTTGGCTCAGTCGTGGTACTAGTGGCAGTCGTAGTCGAGGTTGGCTCGGTTGTCGTGCTAGTTCTGAAACTTCTCTCATTTTATATGAAGTTCATAAGTTCTTTTAGAATGATAATCCTTTTTTTATTCTTTCAACTCACATCGTGGTGCTGGCAGTTGTCGTGGACGTCGGCTCAGTCGTGGTACTAGTGGCAGTCGTAGTCGAAGTTGGCTCGGTTGTCGTACTAGTAGCCGTTGTCGTGCTAGTAGCCGTTGTCGTGGACGTTGGCTCAGTCGTGGTACTAGTGGCAGTCGTAGTCGAAGTTGGCTCGGTTGTCGTGCTAGTAGCCGTTGTCGTGGACGTTGGCTCAGTCGTGGTACTAGTGGCAGTCGTAGTCGAGGTTGGCTCGGTTGTCGTGCTAGTGGCCGTTGTCGTGCTAGTAGCCGTTGTCGTGGACGTTGGCTCAGTCGTGGTACTAGTGGCAGTCGTAGTCGAAGTTGGCTCGGTTGTCGTGCTAGTAGCCGTTGTCGTGGACGTTGGCTCAGTCGTGGTACTAGTGGCAGTCGTAGTCGAGGTTGGCTCGGTTGTCGTGCTAGTGGCCGTTGTCGTGCTAGTAGCCGTTGTCGTGGACGTTGGCTCAGTCGTGGTACTAGTGGCAGTCGTAGTCGAAGTTGGCTCGGTTGTCGTGCTAGTGGCCGTTGTCGTGCTAGTAGCCGTTGTCGTGGACGTTGGCTCAGTCGTGGTACTAGTGGCAGTCGTAGTCGAGGTTGGCTCGGTTGTCGTGCTAGTGGCCGTTGTCGTGCTAGTAGCCGTTGTCGTGGACGTTGGCTCAGTCGTGGTACTAGTGGCAGTCGTAGTCGAAGTTGGCTCGGTTGTCGTGCTCGTAGCCGTTGTCGTGGACGTTGGCTCAGTCGTGGTACTAGTGACAGTCGAAGTCGAGGTTGGCTCCGTTGTCGTGCTAGTAGCCGTTGTCGTGGACGTTGGCTCAGTCGTGGTACTAGTGGCAGTCGTAGTCGAAGTTGGCTCGGTTGTCGTGCTAGTAGCCGTTGTCGTGGACGTTGGCTCAGTCGTGGTACTAGTGGCAGTCGTAGTCGAGGTTGGCTCGGTTGTCGTGCTAGTGGCCGTTGTCGTGCTAGTAGCCGTTGTCGTGGACGTTGGCTCAGTCGTGGTACTAGTGGCAGTCGTAGTCGAGGTTGGCTCGGTTGTCGTGCTAGTGGCCGTTGTCGTGCTAGTAGCCGTTGTCGTGGACGTTGGCTCAGTCGTGGTACTAGTGGCAGTCGTAGTCGAGGTTGGCTCGGTTGTCGTGCTAGTAGCCGTTGTCGTGGACGTTGGCTCAGTCGTGGTACTAGTGGCAGTCGTAGTCGAGGTTGGCTCGGTTGTCGTGCTAGTGGCCGTTGTCGTGCTAGTAGCCGTTGTCGTGGACGTTGGCTCAGTCGTGGTACTAGTGGCAGTCGTAGTCGAGGTTGGCTCGGTTGTCGTGCTAGTGGCCGTTGTCGTGGACGTTGGCTCAGTCGTGGTACTAGTGGCAGTCGTAGTCGAGGTCGGCTCCGTTGTCGTGCTAGTAGCCGTTGTCGTGGACGTTGGCTCAGTCGTGGTACTAGTGGCAGTCGTAGTCGAAGTTGGCTCGGTTGTCGTGCTAGTGGCCGTTGTCGTGCTAGTAGCCGTTGTCGTGGACGTTGGCTCAGTCGTGGTACTAGTGGCAGTCGTAGTCGAGGTTGGCTCGGTTGTCGTGCTAGTGGCCGTTGTCGTGGACGTTGGCTCAGTCGTGGTACTAGTGGCAGTCGTAGTCGAAGTTGGCTCGGTTGTCGTGCTAGTGGCCGTTGTCGTGGACGTTGGCTCAGTCGTGGTACTAGTGGCAGTCGTAGTCGAGGTTGGCTCGGTTGTCGTGCTAGTGGCCGTTGTCGTGCAGTTGTCGTGGACGTTGGCTCAGTCGTGGTACTAGTGGCAGTCGTAGTCGAGGTTGGCTCGGTTGTCGTGCTAGTGGCCGTTGTCGTGGACGTTGGCTCAGTCGTGGTACTAGTGGCAGTCGTAGTCGAAGTTGGCTCGGTTGTCGTGCTAGTGGCCGTTGTCGTGGACGTTGGCTCAGTCGTGGTACTAGTGGCAGTCGTAGTCGAGGTTGGCTCGGTTGTCGTGCTAGTGGCCGTTGTCGTGCTAGTAGCCGTTGTCGTGGACGTTGGCTCAGTCGTGGTACTAGTGGCAGTCGTAGTCGAGGTTGGCTCGGTTGTCGTGCTAGTAGCCGTTGTCGTGGACGTTGGCTCAGTCGTGGTACTAGTGGCAGTCGTAGTCGAGGTTGGCTCGGTTGTCGTGCTAGTGGCCGTTGTCGTGCTAGTAGCCGTTGTCGTGGACGTTGGCTCAGTCGTGGTACTAGTGGCAGTCGTAGTCGAGGTTGGCTCGGTTGTCGTGCTAGTAGCCGTTGTCGTGGACGTTGGCTCAGTCGTGGTACTAGTGGCAGTCGTAGTCGAAGTTGGCTCGGTTGTCGTGCTAGTAGCAGTTGTCGTGGACGTTGGCTCAGTCGTGGTACTAGTGGCAGTCGAAGTCGAGGTTGGCTCGGTTGTCGTGCTAGTAGCCGTTGTCGTGGACGTTGGCTCAGTCGTGGTACTAGTGACAGTCGAAGTCGAGGTTGGCTCGGTTGTCGTGCTAGTAGCCGTTGTCGTGCTAGTGGCCGTGGTCGTGGACGTTGGCTCAGTCGTGGTACTAGTGGCAGTCGTAGTCGAGGTCGGCTCCGTTGTCGTGCTAGTAGCCGTTGTCGTGGACGTTGGCTCAGTCGTGGTACTAGTGGCAGTCGTAGTCGAGGTCGGCTCCGTTGTCGTGCTAGTAGCCGTTGTCGTGGACGTTGGCTCAGTCGTGGTACTAGTGGCAGTCGTAGTCGAGGTCGGCTCCGTTGTCGTGCTAGTAGCCGTTGTCGTGGACGTTGGCTCAGTCGTGGTACTAGTGGCAGTCGTAGTCGAGGTCGGCTCCGTTGTCGTGCTAGTAGCCGTTGTCGTGGACGTTGGCTCAGTCGTGGTACTAGTGGCAGTCGTAGTCGAGGTCGGCTCCGTTGTCGTGCTAGTTCTGAAACTTCTCTCATTTCATATGAAGTTCATAAGTTCTTTTAGAATGATAATTCTTTTTTTATTCTTTCAACTCACATCGTGGTGCTGGCAGTTGTCGTGGACGTTGGCTCAGTCGTGGTACTAGTGGCAGTCGTAGTCGAGGTCGGCTCCGTTGTCGTGCTAGTAGCCGTTGTCGTGGACGTTGGCTCAGTCGTGGTACTAGTGGCAGTCGTAGTCGAGGTTGGCTCGGTTGTCGTGCTAGTGGCCGTTGTCGTGCTAGTAGCCGTTGTCGTGGACGTTGGCTCAGTCGTGGTACTAGTGGCAGTCGTAGTCGAGGTTTCGGCTCGTGCGTTGTCGTGCTAGTAGCCGTTGTCGTGGACGTTGGCTCAGTCGTGGTACTAGTGGCAGTCGTAGTCGAGGTTGGCTCGGTTGTCGTGCTAGTGGCCGTTGTCGTGCTAGTAGCCGTTGTCGTGGACGTTGGCTCAGTCGTGGTACTAGTGGCAGTCGTAGTCGAGGTCGGCTCCGTTGTCGTGCTAGTAGCCGTTGTCGTGGACGTTGGCTCAGTCGTGGTACTAGTGGCAGTCGTAGTCGAGGTCGGCTCCGTTGTCGTGCTAGTAGCCGTTGTCGTGGACGTTGGCTCAGTCGTGGTACTAGTGGCAGTCGTAGTCGAGGTCGGCTCCGTTGTCGTGCTAGTAGCCGTTGTCGTGGACGTTGGCTCAGTCGTGGTACTAGTGGCAGTCGTAGTCGAGGTCGGCTCCGTTGTCGTGCTAGTAGCCGTTGTCGTGGACGTTGGCTCAGTCGTGGTACTAGTGGCAGTCGTAGTCGAGGTCGGCTCCGTTGTCGTGCTAGTAGCCGTTGTCGTGGACGTTGGCTCAGTCGTGGTACTAGTGGCAGTCGTAGTCGAGGTCGGCTCCGTTGTCGTGCTAGTAGCCGTTGTCGTGGACGTTGGCTCAGTCGTGGTACTAGTGGCAGTCGTAGTCGAGGTTGGCTCGGTTGTCGTGCTAGTAGCCGTTGTCGTGCTAGTAGCCGTTGTCGTGGACGTTGGCTCAGTCGTGGTACTAGTGGCAGTCGTAGTCGAGGTCGGCTCCGTTGTCGTGCTAGTAGCCGTTGTCGTGGACGTTGGCTCAGTCGTGGTACTAGTGGCAGTCGTAGTCGAGGTTGGCTCGGTTGTCGTGCTAGTAGCCGTTGTCGTGCTAGTAGCCGTTGTCGTGGACGTTGGCTCAGTCGTGGTACTAGTGGCAGTCGTAGTCGAGGTCGGCTCCGTTGTCGTGCTAGTAGCCGTTGTCGTGGACGTTGGCTCAGTCGTGGTACTAGTGGCAGTCGTAGTCGAGGTTGGCTCGGTTGTCGTGCTAGTGGCCGTTGTCGTGCTAGTAGCCGTTGTCGTGGACGTTGGCTCAGTCGTGGTACTAGTGGCAGTCGTAGTCGAGGTCGGCTCCGTTGTCGTGCTAGTAGCCGTTGTCGTGGACGTTGGCTCAGTCGTGGTACTAGTGGCAGTCGTAGTCGAGGTCGGCTCCGTTGTCGTGCTAGTAGCCGTTGTCGTGGACGTTGGCTCAGTCGTGGTACTAGTGGCAGTCGTAGTCGAGGTCGGCTCCGTTGTCGTGCTAGTAGCCGTTGTCGTGGACGTTGGCTCAGTCGTGGTACTAGTGGCAGTCGTAGTCGAGGTCGGCTCCGTTGTCGTGCTAGTAGCCGTTGTCGTGGACGTTGGCTCAGTCGTGGTACTAGTGGCAGTCGTAGTCGAGGTCGGCTCCGTTGTCGTGCTAGTAGCCGTTGTCGTGGACGTTGGCTCAGTCGTGGTACTAGTGGCAGTCGTAGTCGAGGTTGGCTCGGTTGTCGTGCTAGTGGCCGTTGTCGTGCTAGTAGCCGTTGTCGTGGACGTTGGCTCAGTCGTGGTACTAGTGGCAGTCGTAGTCGAGGTCGGCTCCGTTGTCGTGCTAGTAGCCGTTGTCGTGGACGTTGGCTCAGTCGTGGTACTAGTGGCAGTCGTAGTCGAGGTCGGCTCCGTTGTCGTGCTAGTGGCCGTTGTCGTGGACGTTGGCTCAGTCGTGGTACTAGTGGCAGTCGTAGTCGAGGTCGGCTCCGTTGTCGTGCTAGTAGCCGTTGTCGTGGACGTTGGCTCAGTCGTGGTACTAGTGGCAGTCGTAGTCGAGGTCGGCTCCGTTGTCGTGCTAGTAGCCGTTGTCGTGGACGTTGGCTCAGTCGTGGTACTAGTGGCAGTCGTAGTCGAGGTCGGCTCCGTTGTCGTGCTAGTAGCCGTTGTCGTGGACGTTGGCTCAGTCGTGGTACTAGTGGCAGTCGTAGTCGAGGTCGGCTCCGTTGTCGTGCTAGTAGCCGTTGTCGTGGACGTTGGCTCAGTCGTGGTACTAGTGGCAGTCGTAGTCGAGGTTGGCTCCGTTGTCGTGCTAGTTCTGAAACTTCTCTCATTTCATATGAAGTTCATAAGTTCTTTTAGAATGATAATTCTTTTTTTATTCTTTCAACTCACATCGTGGTGCTGGCAGTTGTCGTGGACGTTGGTTCAGTCGTGGTACTAGTGGCAGTCGTAGTCGAGGTCGGCTCCGTTGTCGTGCTAGTGGCCGTTGTCGTGGACGTTGGCTCAGTCGTGGTACTAGTGACAGTCGAAGTCGAGGTTGGCTCGGTTGTCGTGCTAGTAGCCGTTTTCGTGCTAGTAGCCGTTGTCGTGGACGTTGGCTGAGTCGTGGTACTAGTGGCAGTCGTAGTCGAGGTTGGCTCCGTTGTCGTGCTAGTTCTGAAACTTCTCTCATTTCATATGAAGTTCATAAGTTCTTTTAGAATGATAATTCTTTTTTTATTCTTTCAACTCACATCGTGGTGCTGGCAGTTGTCGTGGACGTTGGCTCAGTCGTGGTACTAGTGGCAGTCGTAGTCGAGGTCGGCTCCGTTGTCGTGCTAGTAGCCGTTGTCGTGGACGTTGGCTCAGTCGTGGTACTAGTGGCAGTCGTAGTCGAGGTCGGCTCCGTTGTCGTGCTAGTGGCCGTTGTCGTGGACGTTGGCTCAGTCGTGGTACTAGTGGCAGTCGTAGTCGAGGTTGGCTCGGTTGTCGTGCTAGTGGCCGTTGTCGTGCTAGTAGCCGTTGTCGTGGACGTTGGCTCAGTCGTGGTACTAGTGGCAGTCGTAGTCGAGGTCGGCTCCGTTGTCGTGCTAGTAGCCGTTGTCGTGGACGTTGGCTCAGTCGTGGTACTAGTGGCAGTCGTAGTCGAAGTCGGCTCGGTTGTCGTGCTAGTAGCCGTTGTCGTGGACGTTGGCTCAGTCGTGGTACTAGTGGCAGTCGTAGTCGAGGTCGGCTCCGTTGTCGTGCTAGTAGCCGTTGTCGTGGACGTTGGCTCAGTCGTGGTACTAGTGGCAGTCGTAGTCGAGGTCGGCTCCGTTGTCGTGCTAGTAGCCGTTGTCGTGGACGTTGGCTCAGTCGTGGTACTAGTGGCAGTCGTAGTTGAGGTCGGCTCCGTTGTCGTGCTAGTGGCCGTTGTCGTGGACGTTGGCTCAGTCGTGGTACTAGTGGCAGTCGTAGTCGAGGTCGGCTCCGTTGTCGTGCTAGTAGCCGTTGTCGTGGACGTTGGCTCAGTCGTGGTACTAGTGGCAGTCGTGGTCGAGGTCGGCTCCGTTGTCGTGCTAGTAGCCGTTGTCGTGCTAGTAGCCGTTGTCGTGGACGTTGGCTCAGTCGTGGTACTAGTGGCAGTCGTAGTCGAGGTCGGCTCCGTTGTCGTGCTAGTAGCCGTTGTCGTGGACGTTGGCTCAGTCGTGGTACTAGTGACAGTCGAAGTCGAGGTTGGCTCCGTTGTCGTGCTAGTTCTGAAACTTCTCTCATTTTATATGAAGTTCCTAAGTTCTTTTAGAATGATAATTCTTTTTTTATTCTTTCAACTCACATCGTGGTGCTGGCAGTTGTCGTGGACGTCGGCTCAGTCGTGGTACTAGTGACAGTCGAAGTCGAGGTTGGCTCGGTTGTCGTGCTAGTAGCCGTTGTCGTGCTAGTGGCCGTTGTCGTGCTGGTAGCCGTTGTCGTGGACGTTGGCTCAGTCGTGGTACTAGTGACAGTCGAAGTCGAGGTTGGCTCCGTTGTCGTGCTAGTTCTGAAACTTCTCTCATTTTATATGAAGTTCCTAAGTTCTTTTAGAATGATAATTTTTTTTTTTATTCTTTCAACTCACATCGTGGTGCTGGCAGTTGTCGTGGACGTTGGCTCAGTCGTGGTACTAGTGACAGTCGTAGTCGAGGTTGGCTCGGTTGTCGTGCTAGTGGCCGTTGTCGTGGACGTTGGCTCAGTCGTGGTACTAGTGGCAGTCGTAGTCGAGGTTGGCTCGGTTGTCGTGCTAGTGGCCGTTGTCGTGGACGTTGGCTCAGTCGTGGTACTAGTGGCAGTCGTAGTCGAGGTCGGCTCCGTTGTCGTGCTAGTAGCCGTTGTCGTGGACGTTGGCTCAGTCGTGGTACTAGTGGCAGTCGTAGTCGAGGTCGGCTCCGTTGTCGTGCTAGTAGCCGTTGTCGTGGACGTTGGCTCAGTCGTGGTACTAGTGGCAGTCGTAGTCGAGGTCTGGCTCCGTTGTCGTGCTAGTAGCCGTTGTCGTGGACGTTGGCTCAGTCGTGGTACTAGTGGCAGTCGTAGTCGAGGTCGGCTCCGTTGTCGTGCTAGTAGCCGTTGTCGTGGACGTTGGCTCAGTCGTGGTACTAGTGACAGTCGAAGTCGAGGTTGGCTCCGTTGTCGTGCTAGTTCTGAAACTTCTCTCATTTTATATGAAGTTCCTAAGTTCTTTTAGAATGATAATTCTTTTTTTATTCTTTCAACTCACATCGTGGTGCTGGCAGTTGTCGTGGACGTTGGCTCAGTCGTGGTACTAGTGACAGTCGAAGTCGAGGTTGGCTCGGTTGTCGTGCTAGTGGCCGTTGTCGTGGACGTTGGCTCAGTCGTGGTACTAGTGACAGTCGTAGTCGAGGTTGGCTCGGTTGTCGTGCTAGTGGCCGTTGTCGTGCTAGTAGCCGTTGTCGTGGACGTTGGCTCAGTCGTGGTACTAGTGACAGTCGAAGTCGAGGTTGGCTCCGTTGTCGTGCTAGTTCTGAAACTTCTCTCATTTTATATGAAGTTCCTAAGTTCTTTTAGAATGATAATTTTTTTTTTTATTCTTTCAACTCACATCGTGGTGCTGGCAGTTGTCGTGGACGTTGGCTCAGTCGTGGTACTAGTGACAGTCGTAGTCGAAGTCGGCTCTGTTGTCGTGCTAGTGGCGGTTGTCGTGGACGTTGGCTCAGTCGTGGTACTAGTGACAGTCGTAGTCGAGGTTGGCTCGGTTGTCGTGCTAGTGGCCGTTGTCGTGGACGTTGGTTCAGTCGTGGTACTAGTGGCAGTCGTAGTCGAGGTTGGCTCGGTTGTCGTGCTAGTAGCCGTTGTCGTTGGCTCAGTCGTGGTACTAGTGGCAGTCGTAGTCGAGGTTGGCTCGGTTGTCGTGCTAGTAGCCGTTGTCGTGGACGTTGGCTCAGTCGTGGTACTAGTGGCAGTCGTAGTCGAGGTCGGCTCCGTTGTCGTGCTAGTGGCCGTTGTCGTGGACGTTGGCTCAGTCGTGGTACTAGTGGCAGTCGTAGTCGAGGTCGGCTCCGTTGTCGTGCTAGTAGCCGTTGTCGTGGACGTTGGCTCAGTCGTGGTACTAGTGGCAGTCGTAGTCGAGGTCGGCTCCGTTGTCGTGCTAGTGGCCGTTGTCGTGGACGTTGGCTCAGTCGTGGTACTAGTGGCAGTCGTAGTCGAGGTCGGCTCCGTTGTCGTGCTAGTGGCCGTTGTCGTGGACGTTGGCTCAGTCGTGGTACTAGTGGCAGTCGTAGTCGAGGTCGGCTCCGTTGTCGTGCTAGTAGCCGTTGTCGTGGACGTTGGCTCAGTCGTGGTACTAGTGGCAGTCGTAGTCGAGGTCGGCTCCGTTGTCGTGCTAGTAGCCGTTGTCGTGCTAGTGGCCGTTGTCGTGGACGTTGGCTCAGTCGTGGTACTAGTGGCAGTCGTAGTCGAGGTCGGCTCCGTTGTCGTGCTAGTAGCCGTTGTCGTGGACGTTGGCTCAGTCGTGGTACTAGTGACAGTCGAAGTCGAGGTTGGCTCCGTTGTCGTGCTAGTTCTGAAACTTCTCTCATTTTTATATGAAGTTCCTAAGTTCTTTTAGAATGATAATTCTTTTTTTATTCTTTCAACTCACATCGTGGTGCTGGCAGTTGTCGTGGACGTCGGCTCAGTCGTGGTACTAGTGACAGTCGAAGTCGAGGTTGGCTCGGTTGTCGTGCTAGTAGCCGTTGTCGTGCTAGTGGCCGTTGTCGTGCTAGTAGCCGTTGTCGTGGACGTTGGCTCAGTCGTGGTACTAGTGACAGTCGAAGTCGAGGTTGGCTCCGTTGTCGTGCTAGTTCTGAAACTTCTCTCATTTTTATATGAAGTTCCTAAGTTCTTTTTAGAATGATAATTCTTTTTTTATTCTTTCAACTCACATCGTGGTGCTGGCAGTTGTCGTGGACGTCGGCTCAGTCGTGGTACTAGTGACAGTCGAAGTCGAGGTTGGCTCGGTTGTCGTGCTAGTAGCCGTTGTCGTGCTAGTGGCCGTTGTCGTGCTAGTAGCCGTTGTCGTGGACGTTGGCTCAGTCGTGGTACTAGTGACAGTCGAAGTCGAGGTTGGCTCCGTTGTCGTGCTAGTTCTGAAACTTCTCTCATTTTATATGAAGTTCCTAAGTTCTTTTAGAATGATAATTCTTTTTTTATTCTTTCAACTCACATCGTGGTGCTGGCAGTTGTCGTGGACGTTGGCTCAGTCGTGGTACTAGTGACAGTCGAAGTCGAGGTTGGCTCGGTTGTCGTGCTAGTAGCCGTTGTCGTGGACGTTGGCTCAGTCGTGGTACTAGTGACAGTCGAAGTCGAGGTTGGCTCGGTTGTCGTGCTAGTAGCCGTTGTCGTGGACGTTGGCACAGTCGTGGTACTAGTGACAGTCGAAGTCGAGGTTGGCTCCGTTGTCGTGCTAGTTCTGAAACTTCTCTCATTTTTATGTGAAGTTCCTAAGTTCTTTTGTAGAATGATGAATTCTTTTTTTATTCTTTCAACTCACATCGTGGTGCTGGCAGTTGTCGTGGACGTCGGCTCAGTCGTGGTACTAGTGACAGTCGAAGTCGAGGTTGGCTCGGTTGTCGTGCTAGTAGCCGTTGTCGTGCTAGTGGCCGTTGTCGTGCTGGTAGCCGTTTTCGTGGACGTTGGCTCAGTCGTGGTACTAGTGACAGTCGAAGTCGAGGTTGGCTCCGTTGTCGTGCTAGTTCTGAAACTTCTCTCATTTTTATATGAAGTTCCTAAGTTCTTTTTAGAATGATAATATTCTTTCAACTCACATCGTGGTGCTGGCAGTTGTCGTGGACGTTGGCTCAGTCGTGGTACTAGTGACAGTCGTAGTCGAAGTCGGCTCTGTTGTCGTGCTAGTGGCGGTTGTCGTGGACGTTGGCTCAGTCGTGGTACTAGTGACAGTCGTAGTCGAGGTTGGCTCGGTTGTCGTGCTAGTGGCCGTTGTCGTGGACGTTGGTTCAGTCGTGGTACTAGTGGCAGTCGTAGTCGAGGTTGGCTCCGTTGTCGTGCTGGTCAGTGTTGTTGTACTCGTAGCAGTTGTAGTGCTTGTAGCTGTTGTGGTGGATGTGGTGGTTGTAGGTGGAATGTATTCACCAACTGGAATCAGGAAAGGAGGTTTCACCCTTTGTTCGAAACAAACCATCGCAAATGAATTCGTTGTTGAAGTCGTTGACACCACCCCATTGTCCACCTTGACAAGGTAGAGTAACTTCAATCACAACGGTTTCACCTTCATCACCAATATATCCATCAAGCTGCAAAAAGGGATTGTCTAGTAATATGTTACTCATTAATAATTTTTGAAACTCTTCGACATCTTCTTCGACAAACTCATTTTCTTCTGCTTTCTCATGCAGTCACTCACCGTCAGTGCCTCTTCGTTCGGATCGCCCGAAGTGGGAAGTAGCAGTTGAGCAAAAAAACCTCCGATGCAAGTTATCGTGAGTGTTTCGCATCCTGTTCCATCCGTCGTGTACTCGAAGTACATGTTGTCGGATGATATGCCGAATGTCCCCGAATCTCCATTCTCACGAGTGCCAATTTGTCCTTCTGGACATCCGCTGCCACAAGCTGCAGCTCTCTGAACATTCCTGGTTGCACTATTTTCTTATGCTTTCGGTTCTGAAAACTTTAGCTGAATCTGAAAGTCGTTTTGAATTTCATACTATTTTTCTTTACGACAAAATGTTTGAGCCTGCCCGGGGAAGAGTTCTTATAAATCACTTTATATCGCCGATGGGCCGCCGAACTTTTGGCGTCGGATAGATACTGCATGGCGTGTGGATGGAGCGCCACCATTGTGCGGTTTGTACCGTCGCGGTTGTTCTTGAGCCGGGCGAAGATCTTGAAACTTATCTGCCGGCGCTGAAAAAATACACTATTTGTTTCTGGAAGTATAAAAAATGGAGTTTGTGGTATTGAGCTATCTTCTGAAGCTCTGCCTTGCGTTTATAATCTTAATATCGAAAATTAAAGGTCTCATTTTTAGAGAAACACTTTTTTTCGAGGTCGGAAGAAAAAAGAGTTTGAATTTCCGAAAAAAACTTTTTCGCTTTTTCAGTAAAGCTGCTCCATTGATATAACAAAAAAATCTCCCTTTTTTTCTTATTTTTCATACGTTTTTTTATATTTATACTTTTTTTATACCAATTAAATAGATACTTTTGAGTTTTTTTAATTACAGAATCTCATTCGACGATTAGGAAATTGGGCATTTTGTGACTTTCAAGACCTTTTTCCTGATATTGAATTTTTTTTTTCTTGGCAACATTTTATAAATGGTTTCAGCGAACTTGTCCCGATTATTCCTAATTTCTACGAGAATTGTTACCAGCTATTTTTTTTTCTTTATTTTCAACAACTCTCAAATGTAAAGGGAAAAGAATTCTTGTGAAAACGTTTTCTTTCCGCGAGTCTCTCTCTGCGTCCTTGATTCTTCAGAATTTTGGTTATCTTTTTCCTGTCGGTTGCTTTGAATTTCGCGGAATTGCTTTGAACACGGCTTCGTAAAACTGTGCTAAAGTGTATTTTCAGAGCATGAGTCTCGCTTTTATTGAAGCGACTCTTCTCTCATGAACCGATGTTTCCATAGAAATTCGCAACGAACCGATTCATTGCCCCTAGACGTGTACTCCGCGAGCAGTTGCTGGATTTGCTGCTTGATCGACGGGTCGTCTTCTACAGACGTCGGTTTGTAGGTCGTGCCGTCGTCGTCGCTGTTGATCCAGCCGGTGCTGATGTCTATCAGACTGAAGAGTAATATCGCGCCGCATATCACTTTCATTGTGGGTACCCAAAGTTTGACCCGGGGGAGCCTGAAATTAGATATTTCGTCGCTGTAGAACTAAGGAGATTTCAAATCTTCAGAAATGCATAAAAAGTTTTCTAGTGGAAATAATTACGAATAATTCCCAGATCGTTACTTCTGAAATACTTTCAAAGAATAGATATAACTGTTTTGTATCTTCAAGTGTCGGAAATAAAGTTACTTTTTAGCGTGAATAATCAAATTTTTACATTCTTGTGAATGACTTTTTTTGGTTGTCTCAAGTATTTCATTGGAAATGTGAAATCTTGGATTGGTTTAATAGTTATTTTTTTATATGAAAAAAATGAAGATTGACTTTTTGAGCATGAAAAAAACCTGGGGTAGATGGCTGAAAATGGGAAGAGTTTTTCGATTGACTTTCAGTGGTTAGAAAAATAAATTAAACTAACGAAACTGCAAAAAAAGGGGGGAATAATAAAATGACGGTTTTTCAAATCAGTTTAATGTTCAATGTTTTTTTCAAAAAAAGTTATGGCTACAAAATATGAGTTTTTTTAAATAATAGTCCAGCTTTCTGTAGCGGTAATAGAAGGTAGAAAGTGAAATTTTTCGGGGCTATAAACCTCCGACTTGAGAATTTCAAAGTTTTTGAGAACGAGAAAAAAATTTTTGTCCATAAATGAAAATCGAATTTTAAATTGAAATTTTTTCAAATAGTGAGCTTTAAAGGCAGTCGTTATTTGATAAATCCATTTTACAGGTAAGAACAAAATTTAGTTCTGTCATCAATCTTGAGTCAGAAAAATGGATAAATTAGTGAAATATGACGGTCAAGATATCCTGATCTTTCAGGGAAAAATCATCGGTGATAACGAAGATTTTCGAATGAAATCGAAGCGACGAAGGAGAGACTGGGCGGATGAATGAGATGTGCCGGATTTGGTACTATTTAAAAGGGGTCCATATTTCGCAAAACTCGGATGTTTCGCTTGTGGTTTTTCTCGCCCGGCTTCGCCGCCTGTGAAAACAGAACAGAGCGTTTGGATACAGGAAAAAAAGAAAGATTCGAATTCCTTCTCCGTGCAGACGTCCTCCCAACACCCTGCAAAAGCTACCGTGTAGCTGATCGTTCTCTTTTTTTTTCGGTCTGGTCGTTTTCTGTTTGGTTTCAGATTCTTTTTTCCTTTTGCGAAACGTTCTATGATTGACCAGTTGCTCGTTCAGGGGCACGTCTTGGCGCTTCCGGTTCCTCGAAAGATTCCCGAAATTCGGATCGACGGTCCAGGTCGGTGGAGTAGAAGAATTTGAAACTCATAACTGGGTTTGGAATTTTCGAAGGCGCGGAAGTATTGTATAACAATTGCTCTTTGAGAATTTACTGTACCTTTCCAAGTTCCCTCAAGAAACCAGCGTTTTCAATTTATAGGAAATTCCATAGCTCTTCCTTCCTTTTACTGTTTTTCTAGGAGTGTCCAAGGTTTTTTTATTAGAAGAAAAATGCATTCATCTTTAATATTTTTAGACATGACAACGTTTTAAGCTATTCAATAGACTTTTTTTTTGGTTCCTAAATTTTTGTCGAAAAATCTCAAGAAAAGAATCGATATACGGTTCATCAAAGTTTAGGAAAAAAATTCTTGAACTGGAAACTTTTTCAATAATTAAAAAATGAGTGGTCTGAACTGATTAGTTACCCAAAACATTAATAGACCGAACTTTTTGAGTCCCCAATGATCCAGACTTCGTACGAATTTCGGAAAAACCTTTTTAAAAATTGCAAGTTTTTTTCTTTTTCGATTCTCATTAATTTGCTCGTTTTTTTACAGGTCAATTTTTTTCAATTTTTTTGAATTTTTTTCCATCAATTGGTGAAAAAAAGTTTTTTTGACTGTTTTTTTGAAAAAGATTAAAATCGCCAAAATTATTTTTAAATCAAGCTCTGTTTTGCTCATTCAACAGCTTTTGCAGTAACTGCACTTTTTAATTTTTCTATTTTTCCATCAATCAAATGAGGCTTCATCTTGTACTTCTTCTTATAGCATTTTGTTGACTTTGAACTTCGATCGGTGGTGCAGAAAACGTTTTTCCAGCAAATTAAAATGACTATTTCACATAAGTTAATTAATCACATGTTGAAAAGTTAAAATGATGCGTTTTGTTTGAATTCTTTGGATCCGAAAACTTTGAACCAAGAAAAAAGAAAAAGAATGAACAAATATTTTGCTGCAATTAGCAGGAATTTCATGTTTCTGTTTGCTTTTCTGGATGTGTCATAGAGAAGTCGGAAGCGGATTCGGAAAACTCGGAAGCAATTTTTTTTCATTCTGATGGTTTTAGAGTCCGGGCAAAAATCGGGCGGTTGGTTTTGTCTTCCTAGGCGCGTTTTCGGAAGCCAGGAAGCGGTTCGTAAAGTAACAAAACAAATTGACAGTGTATTGTTATGAAAGTTTAATAAATTTGCAAGTAGAATTAAGTCTTCAGAAACCTTTTGAGTTCAATTTTTTATTCTTTCAACTAGGAAAAGTTTTTTCTCTTTTTTTTCGAGTTATCAAGCTTCAAAGTTTGCAAAAAAACGCAAATTACTACAAAAAGGCGCTATTTTTTTATTTTTTTGTGCCGATGACTAATGATTAATTTCTCTTCAAAAAGATATTGTTAGAGTTCAAAAAAATTTATACGGTTTAAATAAAATATTTATTGTTCAAGACCGGACTCATAATTTTGATAATAACTACTCTAGTAGGTTCGATAAGATTTAATCGAACAAAAGCTTGGGGATTTCTTCTCATCCCTTTTATTTTTCTATTAACTTGAAGTTACAGAAAATCGAACATCAACTGGACCAATTAGATCAATTTGTGCCTCTTGTCATTTTATCCAGTTTTGAACTTTCTGTGGTCCCTTCCGATTGTGGGTCATTTTCACAAGGATTCTTCTGAAAAATTAAAATTAAATAAGAAAAATTTTTGACTCCTTTTTAACGGAATATCTATTGATTTTTTTCCTTTATTATTGCTGTAGAATTTTTTGGCTCGCTTTGAAAAGAGAAAAAAATTAGAAAAAAATTCATCGCCATAATGGTTTTTCAAACGAAAATTCAACTTTTTTTCTAGAAAATTGGTGCTCATTTAACCGCTTTTGCAGTAATTGCACTTTCATTTTTCTTCTTTTTTTCCACTAATCGAATTAATTCATCTTGTACTTATTCATATTATTCTGTTCCCTTTGAACTTCGATCGGTGGTTCAGAAAACGTTTTTCCAGCAAAATGGAATGACTAAGTTTCACATAAGTTATTTAATCAGATGTTGACAAGTTCAAGTGATGGATTGACTTTTTTGGGTTTGACGAATTTGAAATAAAGTAAAAGAGAACGTATATTTATTTTTGCTGCAGGTATTAGCAAAATTTTGATCTTTTGAAAATCTCTCAAGAATGATAATAATAATAAATTGTCAAAGTTATGTTGAGGCCTTAAATTTGATCTCCTACCATGGCTGACAGACTCGTAAGGATTTTGCTTGACTCAAAAGTTTTTTTCAAGGAATACAAGTATCCTGGCGGTCCAAGACGCTTACGGTAATCCAAAACTTCCTGGTTCAATCCTCTTCATGTTTTCACCATCGAAATAATGCCATTCTTTCAGTCTAGCTCTCCAATATTCTCAAGCTCGAAACAAAAAAAAGCTGGTCCAATAGTTCAAAACTTGCCGTGCGTAGGCGCCAATTCGCTTAATCAGGGGCGTATAATCCATTCTTGGCTGGTTTCCTCCCCGCTATTCTCATCTTTTTTTTTCCTCGGTGTCGCAATGTTTTCCCTCAAATATCATAAGCTTAATAGTCTTTTCTTATACTTTTCATTTTCCTTGCCCCCCATTGACGTCACACGCCCTTCTCTTGCGTGTTAGATAAATTGAAAAAAACTTTTGTGAGAATGTGAAAAGTTTTGAGAAAGGTTGGTGGCTTTTCAAGGCTGTACTTGAGAGTTTTAAATCATTTCAAAGCGAGTGAGACTTCATCTAATTTTTTTTTTTCTATTCTTTAAAGAAACACACTTTTTTTCTTGGTGAAATATTTGAGCTTAATCGATTTTTCCTATGCTTTTTCTGCCGTGAATTATCATAAACGACAGTTCTTCTCCTAGTATGATCAACTAAAGTTTGATTTAAAACTTCCACAGAAAAAAATTTTCAGTTCCCGTTAGGAAGAAGCTTGTATTGCTCATTTTACCTCAGCATTCAAATCTGTTTTTTTTAATTTAAAAAAAATTTTTCCAATTTCAAATTGATTTTTAACCTAGATTGTGATCACTCAGACAATAAAAGATGGTGTCGGATGGTTCGACGCGTATCCCCCGACCCAAAACGACTTGCGCCCAAGTTTATCAAGAGTTTTTTTTTTAAAACAAAAGGCTCAATATTAAGCCATTCCACATGCGGCCGCAGCGTTTCAAGCCAAAATGAACGAAAAAAATAAATCTAATTTTTGCAACTGGTTTTTCAAAATTTCCTGCTTTTTTTCAAATTTGAATTATCCAATAGAGTTTTTCTACCAGTAGAACAAACAAAAATTGAATTTTGAAAGGTTCAGCAGAAAACTTCTCTAAAACTTCATTAATTTGTTCAGAACCAGATAAAATGTTGCTCATTTTTACTCAGGATATTGAATTTCATGTTTTTATCACTTTCTCCATGGAAATGCGGCTTGAATTATCAGAATGCGTAGTGAAACCATTGAAAACTCTTCGCTAGTTTCAGAAGTGAATTTGAAGGGCATGTGAGTCCCAAGATCATCATCATCATCATCAGTTAGTGTCTTGCCGCTGATCAATTAATTATCACCCATAAAAGGCTAGAGGGAGGCGGAGTCGAGACGCGTCACTCGAGGCTCAAAAGAAGGGAAAAAAAAGACTCACAGAGTGAGCGATGAGTGTGAGGCCGCATAATCTTATAAGTCGGCCGAGGGGCCTCTATCCGTTATCAGTTATCAGTTATATTTATATTATAGCTCATTTGCCGCCGCTTCGAACACCTCGAAAACAGCTGCGAGACCTTTTTTGTTATTTTTAATTTGTTTGTCACTCATCCCTTTTATTTGACAAGGGAGGTCATTTCATTTTTTGGTTGGGATTTTCTGAAAAGTGGCCAGAAAACTCCTTGATGTTCCAGAAATTGATCCTGAAAGTTTCAACTTGCACATCTTCCTAATTTTTGAGTAATAAAGGCTCAAAGCCTCAAAATGGCCTGTTTTAACGGTTTCCTTTGACTTCATGTCCTTTCTGAAAAACTAGGACTTTTCTGGTATATCAAGAAGACTCCTAGCCGTTCTTCACGAATTTTCCGACAGCAAATTAAAATGACCTTCCTTGTGAGGATGCTGCAAATCTCTTTTCCATTAACAGCAAAATCTCGAAATTTCAGAAGAAATCGGTTTTCCTCACACAAAAAGGTTCCATCTGTGATATTTTGATACAAAATGTCGGCAAAAGGCTTTCAAAAAGATCTTTATCTTTCGTTTCCTAAAAGCTGTCTGAGAAAAGTTTTCATTTTTTGCCTGTTCCTTCCAGTTAAAAGGATTTTCAAAGCTTCGTTTTGTTTTTTTTTGTCAATACTCTACTTTTATAAACTTTTGATTCACAGAGTTGATACTTAAGATGAGTCGAAAGTCAGTTTTTCCACGTCAAAATTGTTAGGTTCCACTTGATTTTCCGATATATTGAGCAACTTGAAAAAACTCTGGATTGTAAAGTTTTTGAGGATTTTCCATGACTCCTGGTTTTTTTCTACACACTTAAGATTCAAAATATTCATTTAAACTTGAATTAAATAAACAATGGTATATAAAATCTCATGTTGATATTGATATATGATTATGTAGGGTAATCTCTAAATTGATACAACTTTTTTTTCTGAATACAGCGTTCTGGATATTTTCAAAATTCGATAACTTCTTCCGGCATTAAAAAACGGTGGAGACCGGTTTAGTGTAGTGACTTGTAAGCTTCAGTCTCTTTTTGTTTCTTTTCCGATATTTTTACGATAAATTAAGATTCTAGTTCACTGAATCATGGTGTAAAATCCGGAATTTCTCCCATATTTTCTAAAATTTGCCTTTGAAATTGAATTCCCCGCCAAAAACCGCGTCGCGACCGCAACGCTTCGCGTGAGAAGACCTGCCAACACTCAGTTCGACTCTCAATCAAGGATCTTTTAACCATTGCGAGATCGTTTCACAGAAAATATCCCAAAAGTTATTTATCGAGGAACTAGAATTTTCTGGCATAACTTTGGCTTCTGCAGATTGACGAGAAGCCAAAAATAAGCTGAACCTTCTATCTTTTTGCGTGTATAAATTGCGTTGCCTCATTTCCGTAATCCTTCCAAACGGCTGGCCCTTTGATCAAAGTGCACGAGCTTATCTTCCCCTTATCTCTTCCTTTCATTTCGTTTCAACATCGATGGAAAAAAGCTCTTTTCCAGGTTTCAGAGCCGATGGCGCCCACGTAGTCGTTTCCTTCTTTTATAAATAAGATTTTGGAATATAATAAATAGGAAATATCAAAATGCTGCTGTCGCCCGAACAGTTCTCACGACTCAGCGAATATGCAGCTTGTTGGTTTTTTCTTCTTTTTTTTGAATACCCTTACGGTAAGGGCCTTACCGGAGTGTTAGTCCAGCAGGGTCACTGAAAACAGCTCTTCTCCTCGATATCTTCAGGATAATAGTCTATGCGCCTTTAAAACCTGATCAACGGTTTTCAGTTCTAAAATAAACTCAGGATTTTTTTCATTTTTGAAAGAAATCTATATCTATTTAGAAATCAAAAAAATCAACGGAATGACGCCTCTTGAAGTTTATTTATTCAGCTGACTTTCCTGGATTCCCATTCCAAACGTTCGATTGAATAGAATTAACAAGAATGGTGAAAAAAAACCAATGACAAGCGTCAAAAATCGAACAGAAAATTAAAAAATGTGATTTACTATAGCTTCTGACAGTCGCGGTTGTAATGGATTCAATTGGGAATTTTTGAAGAAATTTGACAAATGAAGAAAATGGAAAATAAACTATGAAATGGTAAAAAAAAATAGATTTTCCCATTTCTTTCAGAAGTTTGCAATGGAAAATGAAGTAAATAAAAACTTTAGAATGAAAAATTGAAAATAGGCGCATAATTTCCATTGATGACGGCAATTTGTTGCAGATTCGAGCCGGAAACTGAAAGATATGCTCTGCGAGTTTCAGCCCGAGGGGAAGTTCTATCATTTCCTTTCCGAGGACACGCAGGTTTTTTTTGGGTTTTCTGTTTTCAGAATAAGATAATAGTTTCAGTTCTGAATAGTGTAACAGTGTTCGAAAATCATTGAAAATAAGCAAGGACGAATAATAATAACTTACTGCTCTTCTTTTTTTGGTGTTTTGCAATATTTTCCCTTTCTCGGTTAAGATCTCTAAATATTTAGAGTTAAATAGATAAGATCAATGGAAGGCTCAAACATTTTGAAAAAAAACGATTTTTATCACGGTATGCATGCAAGTACGCGTCACGGTGTATACGGGCTGCGCATTTTAAGCGACGACAGTTTCGAAAATAATTTTTCTTTTTTTTTATGTCGTGTTCAAAGTAATTTAGCGAAATGCGAAAGCCGGGAGTGAGTGAAAAATACGACGAAGTTTTGTGGATTTAGAGAAAATTTAGACTCGCGCAAAATTACTTTGAGGACGGCATTATTGTTTTTTTTTTCATTTGAACCATTTCCATTAAGTTCAAGAAACTTAAACAGAAATCTGTTTTTGTACTGATTCCCTTTTTGGTCTCTAGATTTTTTGACCCCATGATTTTAAAAAATATTCTACTTTATTTTTCTTGATTTTTTCTATACTTGCAGTTTTTCATCGATTTCAATTTTTTTTATTTAGACGATCTGTTTCGAAGGATTCCAAGCGTTCTTGCAAGATTACTTCGGAGCAGAGTTACCGTCGGATCTTATTGATCAACTCTTTTTCTCGTTTTCAAAACCACCGATCAAAGGTACGTTTTCATGGAACTACATATGATTAAAGTTGAGTTGAAATTGATGAACTTTTTAGGAACTTTTCGTTCATAAAAAAACACTCAATAACTACAGGTTTTTTGAAGCAACATGTTTTTTTTATTTTTGTGGCGAATTCTTTTTAACAGACTAATTCCCCTTGACCTAAGTTTGTTTTTCCTATAAACCAGATAGCTAACTGAACCTAAAAATAAGATTATGAATTTTTCAAACCTCAATCAAAGGGATTTCGTCTCATAAGTGGCTTACGATTAAAATTATCTAGATTAAGGGAAGACCTCCTGATATCTAGTTGCGTAACGGACAAAAGGGAAATAAATCTGGCTACCGTAGGGCGTCCTTTTCCGTCATGACATTTGCGCAACGGATTTGGCCGGCTTAAAATCTTTCCTCTTTTCTTTTTTCTTCAAGCTATTCGATTTCAACGAAAAATGATGAACATCTGGAAGACTGGAATAGAATATTGATTTTTCGAGAAAGACGAACGAGCGTGTTCGAGGATGCGATCTCGACGGTCAAGGCCAAGTTCACCGAGTCTTTGTCGGGAAGACTCGAGAAGCTGTCGATGGGACAGCACGACGTCTCGCCCGGACCTCCGCTCGATCGGATCCCCGAGGATGGTGCGCAGATTTTTGTGGAAATCACGACTTTTCGAGAAAAAAGTTTTTCACAATTCATTCACGGCTCATGAAAGGCTTAAATTTTCGAGCCGTTCGACTAGAAAACATTTTTCAGCTCAGGAAATCTTAGTTCCCAGAAAAAAAAGCTTTTTCAGAAATTTTTCTTGGCTTTTTCAGCTTCTTCAAAAAGTATGAGGCAAGAGCAAGAAAGTGATTGAAAATTGAAGTTTTTGCGTTTTTCTTTTTCTCGGATCTCGATTACGCAAATAGGACGCCTTGCTGGTGTTTCTAAGCATTTCTAGTGATCCCTTTAGCAACTTCAGCACTCTCAAATGGCTACTGGAAAATTCAGGGGTCCAGTTTGTGTTACAGAAGGGCCGATTTATTCTTGGTTAGCAAAAGAGCGCACTTTCACAGATGAGAGTTTCTTTTAGTCTTGGCTAGCTCACAAAAGACAAAAACCTTGCTTGGAGCAAGAAAAAGTCGGTCTTTTTTAAGTGACCACTTAAGAGAGAAAAACTCTGTTTAAGTGGCCAGTTAGGACTTTCCAGGACACTTCATTTAGAGAAATGTTTGAGACTTGAAGTTTACTTTTTGAGATTTTAGGAGCCCTTATACCTTTGAAACATGGAGAAAACTGATTTTTTTTTCAGCCATGATGGTTTCGAAACCGGTCTGCAGTAGTCAGGAGCCACGGATTCCTTTGAAACCGCTGATTTGTACCCTTTCTCTTTTGGAAGCCGATACACCGGAGAATAAACTTGAAGGTTCGTTTCGAAAACTTTTTTCATACATAGTTTATTTTTCTCGGCTTTTTTTGCATATACAGTAGTGCCGAAAAATGGTCGAAAATTGTCGCATTTTTTGATTTTCTTTTTAAAAAATAAGTAACTTCATCAATCAATCCCCAAAGGAGGTTTTTTGGCATTCTGTATTGAATAGAGGACGATAATATCCACTAATCCGATAATTTTTGAATTGGCGCCAAAACGTGTCGCATACGCACTGTAGCACTCCGCCGTTGCAAGTCTAAACTAAAAGATTATAGAGAAGAAAGTTTGGAGTTCCATAAATTTGAAAACTTTTTCACTCTGTCTTTTTTTTCGCACTTTCATTTAGAAAACAAAAGACGTGTCCTAAAGAACTGATTTTTCAAGTTTTTACGATTATTTTACTCTGGAAATGGAAACCATCAAAAAATCGAAGGTAATACAAACTATATCATGATTTTCAAAAAATGTTGATGATTTAGACACTAAGTGATTCACTATTCCATGACATGACTGACCAAATCGGATTAAAATCCTGCAATTTTTGTCGTTGTTCCATTTTCCATGAACATCCGGAATCACATGTTTTATACTATTTGTTGAGGAAAAGGTGAATTTTCGGCTATTTTTAGTTTTCAAAGTGTGTTAGTTTTTTACGAGTCAAAAATAGATTATTTTGAAGCGGGGTATCATTCATAAATTATCTCATTCCAATTTTTTCAATGATCTTCAAGAGCGTTTCCCTTCTTCTACTCCAAAAAAATGTTTTTTGTTTTTTTCCAATTTTTTTCGAGTTTTTCTGATAGTTTTGAAGTAAAAAAAGTCGGTTTTAGTATGATGTTGATTGATTTTTTTGGAGAAAATAGTGCTGGTCCGATTTAAAAAATGTTGAAAAAAACAAGAAGGTTTTTGGGAAAAAAATTGACAGAGAATGCAAAGTTTTTTAGAAGTCTGTCTCATTTTTTCTTTTGATTTTTGGCTGTATATATTTTTCCCTTGGAAAAGCTGTGATTTTTTTCAAGTTTTGGTCATTTTCCAGTCGTTTTCCACGTCTACGACTCGGACGCCAACGGATTTCTGGACAAGGCCGAAATTGACGGAATCATCGAGCAAATGATGAACGTCGCCAGGTATCAACAGTGGGACACCATCGAGCTGGAGCAGGTTTGACCCCTTTTTTTGAGATTTCAATATAGGTTATTTTTTTGATTTAAAAAAATCTTTTTTTCTCGGTTCTTTGTGAATGCAACTTTTTTTAATTTCGATTTTCGCCATTTTCCAAATGGTTTAAGGTGAAAGAAGTTAGGAAGGTGGTGAGAAATTTGAAAAAAATTGAATAAGTAATTTACTTTTGCTGCCTTATTCTAGCCCTGATACTATCAATACTACAAATTATGAAATCCAAAAATAAAACAAAAATACTTTATCTGACTTTTAAAGATTTGAGCCATTCCAAACGCGACCACCGAAGGGATTCGGCGTTTGTATCTATAGATTTTTAGGATCCTTATCATTCTTAAAATTGAACCGTGAAGTCGAAAAATAAGATCGAAACCGCGTTTCGAAATAAATCGGAAAAGCTGAAAATTGGTTAGCCCAAGAAGGGCCATTCCCAACGCGACCACCGGAGAATCCAGCTTCTTTCTGAATTTCCAAAGGTTTTCAGGTCCTGCGACAGATGATGGCCGACATTGACTACGACAACGACGGGATCGTCTCGCTGGACGAATGGCGTCGGGGAGGACTCACCAATATTCCGCTCCTCGTTCTGCTCGGCTTCGACACGGTGACTCTTTCCTTCCGCGTTGATTGATCGAGTGAAAAGCCCTTTGTCTTGTGTTTAATCGGTACTTAAGCAGTTATAGAACTCTGTTTGACCAGAAGAAGGAATCGACTTACGGAAGCTTTAAAAAATGACTATGCGCACCACTTTTCCAGTTTTCCAGAAAACGTTTGATCAACTCCAAATATGGGAGATTTGAATTATTGCGAATCCCCAGTTCATTTTCATAAAATTTTTCTTTTTCTCCAGGAGATGAAAGAAGACGGTTCACATGCCTGGCGGTTGAGACATTTCAGTAAACCGACCTACTGCAATGCTTGCTGCAGTTTGCTCGTCGGGTGGGGTGGAAAACAGGGCCTCAGTTGCTCGCGTAAGTTTCTAAAAGTCCAAAAAGAAAATTCGACAGAAGTTCAAACTAATTTTTTTCTTCTCTAATGTTAATATGGAACATCTCTTGAATTTCCCCTCATAAAGATTATATGAGTAGTTGAAATTTATTTTTTTTTAACGTTTCATTCAATTTTTGTGCTTGTGTTCCTTTCATGAAAGAGTAACAGAATTTTTTTCAGTATGAACGGCTTTTTTTTTGAGAGCTCACTTTGAGGGTTTGAAAAATCTAAAAACTACCAGAAAACGAGTACTTTATTAAGCTTTTCTTGGCTCCTTCAAAGCCCTTCAATAGATCGAAACCCTTTGAATTGACTTTTTTTTCATTCAGTAGTAGACCAAATAAATTATAATTTACTTGGTGGAGCTCCCGTTTTGAAAAACTTGTATAGCGAGTTTTTTTCACCCTTGTTAAAATTCACAAACGTGAAAAGTTGAATAAGGCCCTCGAAAAATGTTAAGTTTAACTTGAGATGTTTTTTAAGAACTATGTTGATTATAGAATACTTAATGGTTGAGCCTTCGAATTAACAGCTATTTCTAAGAAAGCTGAGAAACGTTGGCTATCTTGTCTTGATTTGCTTTATAAAAATCAGTTTTTGAGAAGAAAAGTTGATAATGTGGTGGTATTCGAGTGAAATTTATTTCTGGGATGTCGGAGGAGCCTCGAAAAGTTCTTTGAATATTCTTACGGGATATTGAGCCCGTTTCTTTCCCTTTTGTCAATCTATTCTCATGTTGGCCAGTAGCACCCGTGGATGCTACCGTCGTTCACATATTTCACCCCAGCCGGACACCCGAAACGCCATTCTAGAGCCCGATCAATTCCAGCGGATCTATAGCTGATTCACGGCTGGCTTGAGCCATCGAAAAAGGGGTCCTGACACGATAATGCGTGAGATAGTGCCTGGCTCGTGGAGAGCGCAGACAGGCCACGCCCCTTAACGTCCCAAGCTAGCCGTAAATCAGCTATACGCAAACGCCCAACTTGTGCACCGAACCCCCGTTCAAGTCCCGTGGATCACCCGAAACGTTAAAAAAAACATCGGGTGGTTGCACCCGTTTTGAAAAGTTATGATGTATTATCCCGACGGTTTTTTATGTCAAGTGCAATGACGTCATTCAAAAACACTCTGTGGATGGCTCGCTCTCTGATTGGTTTATCGCACCATTAGGGGCGGAGCTTGAGCGACGACTTGAAATTCAAAATCTGAACAGACTATACTGGCCAAAGTTAGAGTAGGAGATCAAACTTCAAAAGTCCTTATAAAAACTTGCCTAGAAAAAAGATTTTCCAGTTTGCAAGTACACTGTACATGAGAGATGTGTACGGTCAGCGGCGAATAATTGCATCCGAACTTTTTCGAGTCGACAACAAGGTTTTCTGACCCTTAAAATGATATTGTTCTTATTTCGATTCAGACAAGCTCTATCATCACTGGCAAGACGCGAACACGACGTCGAAGTGCGTGAAATGTCGCGCCACAGTTGGCGCTTTCCAAGGGAAACGCTGTCGTTGGTGTCACAATTATGTATGTTTGAGAAAAAAATGAAGATACTCCGTTTTTTGCGATTTGAAACTTTTTTTTTTCTCTGCACCCTTCGTCTTTCAGCGACCCTTTTCTTTTTACGTGCTGTTTTCTTGTTCCTCTGACCTCGCCGGTGAGAGAACAGAGACGCAGAAACTCAAAAAGTTTCAAGTTGCGGCGAAAGGACTATAAGAAACATGAATGAAAATTTCAAACAGGTTTTAAAAAAATAACTTGCAAACTAAGTAGACGCTTTTTAAAGCCCCCTTAAGTTAACCCTAAAGAAATCCAAGTAGCCGCTTTAAAAAGTATTATTCTTGTGCCTACTGAAAGTCTCAGTAGGCACAGAAATCGCGTAAATTTTCAAGTTACACCTTTTTGAACGCTTGTTTTTGAGTTTCAACCGAATTCCTTCAGGTTCACCACCGCTGTATGTCTTTTTTGCCACAAGAGTGTGATTTGGGTACACTGGCCTATCATATTCTTCCGCCGACTCACATTTTCCCGGCCTTTCTCGAACGAAAATCCTCGTCGTCTTTTAGAAATAATCATCCGGGCAGTGGGACGAGTTTGTTGCAGGTTAGTCAGAAAAGGAGTGAATAAATATTGAAAATGAGCTCATTTGGAATTAAAAAATTAAATTTAATTTAAAGTCGTACTTATCGGGCTCCCCTTCACTCAAAGTCTTCCTCTTGAAATATTCTGTATTTTTTTGTTTGAGTGAAATAAATAAATAAATACATAAATACTTTTTCCTAGGCCTTATCACCCGGTCAATCTGTCAGGCCTCTTCTGGTCCTCGTCAATCCGAAAAGTGGCGGAAAACAAGGCATCAAGATTCTTCAGAAGTTCGAGTACCTTTTGAACCCTCGACAAGTCTACGACCTCTGCAAAACTGGACCTGAGCCGGGGTGAATCGATTTTTCATTTTAATCAAGTGAAATATCAGCTATTGTAAAATCACCCAACTCATCATTTTCATTGGAAATGTTTTATGTCAATATTTCTTTTTGAGAAATTTTGTTTCGGAAGGAAAGAGGAGAAGAGCCATTGCAGGGTTTTTTTCATGGGAAGATTCTGCTCCTTCGAGTAGATCAAATGAAGTTCTCAAAAAAAGCATCAGTAGAAATCAAATTATCAGTTTCTGAGTATTTTTTGGATTTTTTTTTCCAGCCTTCAACTTTTTGCGAGTTTACCCAATAGCAACGTGTTGGTTTGTGGAGGCGATGGAACTATCGGCTGGGTTTTGGAGTCGATGGGTTCGTTTCGAAATAGATGAACTGGGTAGAAATTGAACTATTTTTAAAGATAAAATGACATTCCCACACGGGCGGCCGCCAGTGGCTGTACTTCCATTAGGAACCGGCAACGACTTGGCGAGGTAGGTCTTTAGAAATTTGGAGGAAAATCGTTGAGTTAAGAAGTGAGATTGTTGTAAAGATCATTCTTTTTTGATTGAAAAAATTTTAATTACGGTCTTGAAACGATTTTAAGAGTAATGGGCGAAAAAAAGAGTTATTTATAGACGTCTCTGTAGTATTCTCTATCCCAAAAATGGGTTGTGGCTTTTCTGATTTTTCTATTTTTGGGAGTTTTCATTTTTCAAAAAGTCTCTTTCAAAGTATGGCTAGAAAACTGCAAACAAAATTTTTTACTAGCCCTTTAAAAAAAGTTCGAGACTCTGTTTTTTTTTAATTGATTTTCTTGTCGAAAACATCGACCAAATGCCGAAGAAAGGGTTTACATTGTCATTTGAAAATTTTCAGCTTAAAATGCGAAATTCAGATGCCTAAGATGGGGCGGTGGATATGAGAACGAAAGTCTGTACAAAATCCTCCAGCAAATCGAAAAAGCTACTTTGGTAAAAAAAAAAAACTCATTATGTTCCAAATAAGGAGGTTCAGATCGAAATGGACCGGTGGCAGATCAAAATCGAGCCTTCGGAGTCGAAAAGTGGACGGAAAAGCGAAAAAGGCGACCCGCCTCCCTATAACATCATCAATAACTATTTTTCGATTGGGGTGGTAGGTTTTCGAAAAAGTCGATTTTTCCTTGAATTTCTTGCGTTTTCATAGAATAGCTGGTAACCCAATTATAAAGTTCAAAAATTAATCTAACCAGGACGCTTCGATTGCTCATCGTTTCCACGTGATGCGAGAAAAGTTCCCCGAAAAGTTCAACAGCCGAATGCGGAACAAACTGTGGTACTTCGAATTGGGGACCAGCGAGACCTTGTCCAGCTCTTGTAAGAACCTCCACGAGCAGATTGACATCTTGGTCAGTTGGATGGAAAGGGTTGTGAATTTAATCACTTTGTGGTGAGAAAAGTCACCAAGTTTTTATTTTATTTTTTTAGAAGTTGGACCTCCAACAAGCTCAAGATTCGTCTTTATCCTTGTTTTTTCAGTATCTTTTTTTTTTCCTTGAAATGGCTTTTGAAAACTGGCTTCCAGAATATAAATGAGAACTCAGATTATAGATCAGTTAAAAATAATGGGACTACTCGTTTCCTTTCTAAAATGTTCGTCCAAAAACTGGCCATCAAGTACTAATGCTTGTCTTGCAATTATTATGGTAAACTTTGAAGTGGAGGTATCAGGAAGTCCAAGCGGAGCCAAATTTCAACTCAGTCATATAGTTTTTTTTGCTTGTACACCTTATCCGAATGCAACTGCGGAAAAAACCACAACGCATGGTTTCTCAAAAATTAATGAATTTTTTCCTTTTTTGAAGACTTCAAGACCCATCTAATAACTTTTTGGAGCGTTTTCCAGATTTTCTTTTCAAATTTTGGGCGCATATTTTCATTCAGTGATCTCTGAAGCTTCTAGGTTGTAACCTTTGGGAGTTTTTTTTTCAAAATTTCATTCCAAGGTTTTAAAAATCGTGATAGTCCGAAATATTCACGCTTCAGACTACAACTGTATAGTGAAAGAATATTTGAACAAACGAGATTCTGTTTGCCCAGACAAGCGTTTTCTGATCATCATTGCTTTCGCGAAAAAAAATATCATTCTTATAATAAATTTAGAACTACAACGACTTACAGAAAATTTGAAATCAGTCCATTTGAAACATTTTAATTTTATTCTTTTTCGAGTTTCCGCCAAAAATAAGCCTTCAAGGGCCTTGAGGTTGCCCCTATAGGGACCATTCTGGAGTCCCTAAGATTATCATTTTTTCATACATTCCTGAAAAGACTTTTTGAAATAAATTTTTTGAGGATCAGTTGAGATTTTCTTTCAGTGCGACGGCGAGTCGATCGATCTTGGCCAAGACGCTTCCTTGGAAGGAATCGCCTTGTTGAATATCCATTCGATCTACGGCGGCTCGAATTTGTGGGGCCGGAGTCGGAAAGGAAAACCGAGGATGCCGACTTTGTTTCATTCGACGCCTTCTGAAAAAGTTCTAACTCAATAATTTGTTAAATTTTTGGAGAAAATGACGTTTTAGAGGCTGCAGGCGCAGTTGCAGAATCGTGTTCAGGACATTGGCGACGGCCTTATTGAGGTGCTTTTTTGAGAAATTTTCAGGTCTTAGAGAAGAAAGAATTGATTGAATGATTAAATTTTAAGCATTTTTGCCCTAGTAAACTCCATAATTTTGAGAGAAAAAAGTGGCTACTCAGACGCAAAGAATTGGCTTCTATAGAGGTGGTTTTAATGGCCACTTCGGGGTCCTCTCCAAGTGGTCCTTGAGAAATCTTTCAAGTTGCCGCTAAAGCTCTTTCCAGTCTTTATAAACTGGAGAGAGTTATGCTCAAAACCCTCAAGGGACCTTGAAGATATTCATCTAGAACCGCTTTACCTCCCCCTCTAGGGACCACTCAGGCGTTCCTCAGTAAGTGAGCTTCAGTAAAGCTTAGAAAATGATTTTTAGTAGGGTTTATCAGAACTTGGTTTCGCCCGAGCGCACTTGATAAGCTCAAAAAGCAAAAAAATAAAAAAGGTAAAATCCGAATATTCTAGCTTGTCGGCCTGGAATCGGCAATCCAAATGGGTCAAATCAAAGCGGGTGTCCGGGGCGCCAGGAGGCTTTCCCAATGTTCGACTGTTGTTATACAGTTTGTCCTTATCCTTGTCATTTTGCGGTATTACCCATGTTTAGAACTCATAAATCGTTCCCGATGCAAATCGACGGCGAACCCTGGATGCAACCGCCGTGCATCATCCAAATAACCAACAAAAATCAAGTCAAGATGCTTGTTGGTGGGTTTTTTATATCGAATAGTAAAATGGTCTCGGAATAGTTAATTTTCCAAAGAAAAAATTGAGAAAGAAAGAATGAAGGAAAAGTTTATTTTCGAGTATTTCAGCCCCCCGAAAGCGAAGCTCCTGGTCACTACTCAAACGGCAGTCAACTGCGGAAGATAATTAATATTTGGAAAATAAAGGGATAAGATTCAAAATCTCAACTTTATACAAGATCTCCCATCATTTCGACTTATTGTTTGTATTGTGATGATTGAAAAATAAAAGATTTCTATGGTTTTTTTCAACTCTGCAAAGAAGTTTCATGAAAGTTCTCAGTGATCAAGGCCTTTTTCATAAGGGCTATATTTTTTTAAAATTATGAAAAAAAGTGTCTTATTTATACATTAATTTACCATTGGAGCTTGATTTGAAACAAAAAAAACAACGAAATTCGCATCGGTACCAAAAATTAGCCTTGGCTTCTCAAGAAAGATAGTTTTTTTAGCGAGTTTTTTTGATTTCTTTCTTTTTTTATCATCATTCGAAATAAATAAGATATATTGGAATTTTTTTATAACTTCTTAATATTTCGATAAAGAGATGTTTCTACAAGAATTACAGCCGCTATTTCCATTTTTCTGAGTGCGTCGCCATGGAAACGAAGCCCGTCGTCGTCTTCACCAGGTTTGGCCTTTTTTTCTTTGTTTTCACAATTTTTTTATTTTTTTATTATTATTGTCAGATCATGATGACTGGTATCATTATTGAAATTTGTTAAAAAAATTGAATTGAATTTGCAAGAAAAAAATGATTTAATCGAGGCAAAATTTCGTTCTTCCTGAGAAAAATCGTCTTTCAGTGAACCAGTGGAACTCAGAGTTGAATCACAATTAAATTATAATCATTTTTATTTGGAAGATTGTTCAATAAAATTTATCTGCATGATGTTTTTTTAGAAAATCGCGAGAAACTGCTATATATATATATTTACGAGTTTCGAATAAAAAGTTCAATATTCTCTGGTAAATCTTTGTTTTTCTATAAATTTTTTTGTTTTTAAGAAGCATTGTTTTTCTAATAAACCTTCAAGCAATTTGCTGTTATCGATAAAGTTTCCAAGTTTTAGACATTTTTTTTGAACTTTTTCTTTAAAAAATCTCAAAACTAATGCCGTGTTTAAAGTAAATTTGCCAATTTCAAAATTATCTCTGAATATCCAAAATATAGTTATCTTTTTCACTCTCTGATCGCTTAGAACTTCTCGAAATAATTTTTGAACACGATATAAATTTTTCTACCGATATATTTCCCTAGAAATGACGGCAAATGGAAACGGAGACATGAACCACATCGAAGATCCTTCTGAAGACGTCGAGATTCTTGGTCCGCCTGAACCGATCGACATTCCCAGCGAAAATGAGCATCATAGCGGTCCAGAGGTTTTTTTTTTGAATTTGTGAAAAGTTGCGCATTATTTCATTGAACATTCTGAATTCTCCATATTTCAGACGCCGAAAGACGTCGCTCCATCGCCGTTTCCGGACCCGAACTCGACGAGAATCGATCTTTTGGACTGCAACGCCAACAATGGCTTCATCTACCAACTGTACATCCAGGGAGATTTCCTCGAGTGCAAGGCTTTGATCGGAGTTGGTCCAACTAATTTGTTTAGTTGACTTGAGACAAAAATCGGACGTTTTTCGAAAAACAAAAGATGATTTTTTTAAGCCATATAAAAATGGAAAATTATTTTCCGCCGATTCAATAGAGAAGGTCTGAAAAGCGGAATAAAAATATTGATTTTGACCTTTTCTCATGTAATTAGAAGGTTTAGACAGGAAAGAACAGATTTTCGTAAAAAAAAAACCAGTTAGAGTCATTTTCAAGTTTCAGGAAAATCGAAATTTTGAAGTTTTTGCGGTTTTCTAGTGTAGAGAAGTATCAGGCGACCATTAAATAAATTTTTTAGTTGCAGGTACAAAATTTTACGTTCTGTAAATGCTTATTTTTTTTTAATTCTCTAAAAAATCCCACAAATCTCATCATTTTTGCTTACTATTTTGCTGATACTGTCTCAAATCGACTGTAAAAAAGTTTAAAACATGAAAAAAAAAATGCAAAAAAGCGATTTCAAGGAAACACAAGCGAAATTCGACGGGAAATGCGAGTACGCGATGAACATCCGCGGATGCATTGCGCGAGAAGAAGGCCAACTGATGGACGCCTTGGAATGGTTCGAGAAGGCGTTTGCCGCTTCTGGAAGGAATTATAAGTATGCATTTCGAGGAACCGAATTTCGTAAAATAGAACTCGGCTCTGAAATTCGTCCTGTGGTTTCACAATTAGCATAAATTTATGATTCGGGAGAACTTTGAGAAATAAATTTTTTTTTCATAATTTTTTCTGTTAAACTTTGAGCAGAACTCACATAGTTCGTTATCACTTTTATCATCTTATCGACACGAAATATTAAACTTACTAAGTTTTTTTCGAAATCGTTTTTTTGAAAGATTCTCGGGAAAATTGTATTCATTTATTGTTATAGATGAACCTTTTCTAGAAAAAAATTCCATTAAAAGGCGCTAGAAAATTTTTTTAAAAGCACCCAAATCTATTAAACTTTCGTTACATCGTCTCAAACCCAAATAATACACTAGAAACTTCGAAAACATTGTTGGAATTTCATCCTTTCTTCATTGAACTCGGAAATCTCAGGTACTACATAGAGCTTGGCCGAGTAAATGTGCTCCTTGGAAGACATGCAGTCGCTGTGGAACAGTTGGAACTGGCGGCCCAGAATTGTCCCGAAAATCCGGTATGAGAGAGAAAAAATTCAGATATTATGACATTGACAAAATGAAAAAAAGGAACACAAGATTAAAATTTGACCGAAATTCAAGCAGTTTTGAGATAAAATTCATTAAAAATTACACAGGTGAGACGAGAAAAAATCATCTTGTATGATGACTTGAATTAAATTAAGAACAGCATGAAGAATTAAAAAAAGTTTTTATGAAATTACTGTCAATTTTTTTTTTCAAAAATTGAATGACGTCACTATTAGATGACGCTATGACGTCATAAGAAATTTTCCTGAAATTAATAGCCTTTAAGAACATTTTCATTGCTGTCAATATCTCCTTTAAAAAGATCCAAAAATCTTTCTTGTAATGATTTCTTGTTGATGACGTCATTTTTATTCTAAAAGTTACAGTAGAGATGTCTGAACTTTACATTTTGTCCAGTCTTTCGTTAATTCTTTCCTGAAATCTTTCTCATTTTTTCCTCAACCCAGCGATGAATCTACTACAAATTTCCAGAAAGTCTTCTTTTGGTTGGCCAGAGCCCTATGCGGCCTCGAGATCAAATCGAAGGACTTCAACCCCAAAGAAAAGGCCCGAGATCTTCTCATGAAGTCTATCTACTCAATTCATCCGAACTTGTCAATTTTCGAAGCTTAGGAGCCCCTTGATCGGTACCGATCCACTGTTGCTGAAGTATCTGGCAGAAGTTCTGGAAGAATTGAATGATTTTCCCGCTGCCGTTGCCGCTTATAAGGGCGTTCTGGAGGTGAGAAATCGGTTTGCGACCACAATAAGTCCGTAAAGGGCTGAGCTTTTCTGCACTTTCCTCGTCTCTCGGCAACTCTCTTATTTTGACGGGCTATTTTTTATGTATCTCTGACCTTGCTGGAAGAGAACAAAGAGACGCAGAAACTCGAAAAAAAGTCAAGTCGAGACAAACGGACTATTTTCCCCAAGTTGTTCATTTTTTGAATAGTTTGTTCTAATTTTTTATAATTATCACTGATTCAATATGGAACATTCCGTCAAAATGCGTACAGTTGCAAGATCTGGGCATTCATAGTTTCTTCATTGAGCGTTTAAGACTTAAATTTTCCTCAAACTCTTCCCATTTTCCTGTAGAAGTAACTATGAGATGATTAAAAAAAGGATAGATATAATATGCCGGTTGAAGCTTTGAAAAATCTCAAAATAAAATTTAGTCAATAAATTATATAATTTTCCCGTTTGGACGATCAGTATGGGTAATTCAAACATTCATTTATTCAGATATCAAAAAAAAAAAAAAGGCTTTTTATGAATCATCGTAGCTGATTATAAAAATATTGTTTTCATCATGAAACAAATTAGAACCGTCCGAACTTTCCAGATAGTCTTGAAAATGTCCGGAAATTCAGCTTCAACCGGAGAACATCGACGTGATGGTGAAGTTGGGCCTGTTGCACTTGAGAGCCGGCGACGAAGATCCGGCTTTCGCCATCTTGGGACAGTGTTTGGCCTTCGATCCGACCAATGCGGAAGTTCGTGTGGTTGATATGATGTATAGGCTAAGATTCGTTAAAGAGACTGCTCGCGTTTGAGTTTGTGTAATCCACAATTATTCTCGTTATCTTTCTGGATTCACTATAGCCGATCCACGGCTGACTCGTGCCTTTCTAAAACGAGAAGGGAAATGAATCTCCTACTGAGTAAAGTTGCAAATTTCAATTTTGCAGGCGATTCTGGCCCTCGGATCAATAATGCAAGTCCATGGAGATCATGACGTCGCTCTCAACAAATACAGGTCTCGATTTGTTGAAAAATACCTGGATAGGAAGTTTGAAATAGTCTTCGTTTGTTTGAGAGTCTCCGATACGTTATCCAATTCGAATTGATTTTTTTTTTGTTTAAACGAACTTTGAAAGATTGGAAAAACGGGAAGTTAACGTATACTAATCTTTTTTTGGCGAGCATCGCTGATCCCGGTCAAAGATCTGCTTTAGGCGATTCCAGGTGGGAATACTCAAGAAAAGGAGAATTTTGTGCTAAGAAGTTGGAAATTTCTTGAAAACTGGCCGGAACAGTCATTTATGTACCATAAAAAGATCCTGAAAGTTTCAACCTGTTAAAATTCATATATATATTTTTTTTATTGGGAGCTTAAAATCTCAAAATAGCCTTGTCAAAGGGATTTTTCAGTTAAATATTGGAAAATTCTGTTTGGCTTCCTCGGAAGGCCAGAACCTTTCCTACAAGCGGACTTCCAGATAGTTTCCTAAGGCCTTCTACTCAGAAAAAAGTTGCCAGAAGCATTCCAGCAGGCTTCTGGAACCTTCCAATCACCTTCCAACTCCCTTTTCAAGACCTTCTAGCTTTCATTCGCCTTCCAACCTCCTGCTGGTTACCTCCTTGAAATTACCCAGGAATCGCCTGACTAGGGAACTACTCGGACTCGGGTTTCGAGTTGAAACTTTAGTGGTTTATAGACCCAAGTTAGAGAACTTGAAAACAAGAGAGAATATCTGCAAAATGTTCATTTTCAAAAAGCTTTTTTTCAGAAGCCTTTGGGGTTTAGCAGATATTCTCTCTTGTTTCCAAGTACTCTTACCCTGGTCTATGAGCCACCAAAGTTTCAACTCGAAACGCGTACCCGAGCCCGAGTAGTTCCCTAGTGAGGTCGGAGATTTTCTCAGACTTTGAGGTGTTCTTTCTCAAAAACTAGGAACTTTCGCAGGTTGAGACTTTCAGAAGTTCCATCCGGAACACCAAGAAATCTTCTGGTCAGTTTCCGGATAACTCCCAAGGTGAAATGATTTGAGGTTACCGAGAGAGAGCCGGTTAAAAATGTAGGGGAAACACCTGGAAATGGCTTTTCTTAACAAATTCAGTTATTTAATACTCATACCTGGGATCACCAGCAACAAGAGGTGCGATTTCCACCTCAAAAACTTCCATCTCCAGAAGAAAAGGATGAACTTCAGAGTGGCCGCCTCGGTTTGCGACTACAACGGCTGTTTGTGGAACAATATCGGAGTTGGGATGCTGGCTCGGGACAAATTGGCGGCGGCGCATTCTTCCCTCAAAAAAGCCGCCTATATCATGCCGCTGGACTATAAGTTTGTGATTGGCGATTTCAGAAACCCTTGAAATTGAATTTTGGTATCGGAAGGCAGAGATTTTAAAAAATTTCGCTAAAAAAAAATCACAAATCAATCGTGAAAAACTCGAGTGGCCACTTAAGAGGATTCTTTAGGAAGACTTAGGGAAGAGACTAAAGTGGTCACTAACTTTGCTACTCTAGTGGTCAATGTAACGTTGAGATCCTAAAAAGCTTTGTAAAAAATTTTCCCAGAATCTCTAAAGAAAAAAAATTTCATTTGAGTAATCACTTAGCTTTGCGTAGTGGTCACTTTAGAAACTACTTCCGCGATTGGAGCTTTCCGTCTAATTCTCTCGATTTTTCACACTGTTTCGCTTGTCTTTGTAGAGCCATTTTATTGAAAAGTTGACTGATCCTCTTTTTCTGACAAATTGGAATATGAATATGGAAAAAATTCTCATGATTTGTTTTTTCAGAATCAACTTCAACTTGGGCGTTCTCCACGAGTCGATGGGATTGAACTGCTCGGCTCTGTTTTTTCTCAAAAAAGCGGCCGATTTGAAAAGAGACGATCCGAAACTGATCGGAGCGATGGCTGGTGAGATTTGAGGGGTTCTGGATTTTCATAACATTGAATGTATTTTGATAAAGCCGAAAATTATATTTTCTCCTATGATTTTTGACTTCTTTCAATCTATTAAGGGGCGAAAAAAAGTTAAAATTTTTCTCAAAGCGGCGCGGTCGGGTTGCGGTTTTAACCGGTTGTACAGTAGACTTAATATTCAGCAGCTTGCTTCAATGTTTTCATATACCCCGACGCGCAAGCCGTTTCAAGTCGGTTGCACTTAGGAGAAGCCTAGACAACCCAAGCTAAGTCATCGGTTTTATGGTTATTTAAGGCATGAATCATACTTCCTATGAATCACATTCTCAAAACCTACCTGAAATATTCCGTACTTCTTGTTTTTCAAAACCTTCTGTTTATCACAAATCACTGCACGCTCCACTGATTTTCCGCACTCACAGACCAAATTTTCAAACAGCAATTTTTACGGTCCGATACACCGCCTACGTAGAAAAATGACACAGCTTTTACTTCCCTGGACGTTTTATTCATCAAAAATATTTATACGAGGCAAAACTTAACAAGTAAATTTGTACAAAAAACAAGCGGAAGAAAAACGAGAAAAACAATTTTTTAGCTTGGTGGGAGCATATTTGGAGGGAGAATAACTGGAAGAAAGATCGGTTCAGTGTTCCTTCGGTCACTTTTCAGCATATTCCGATAAGGCGGGTCTTTTGAAGATTCTGTCGTCCAGGCGGCTGAAAATGGAAGGGTTACGGTAGCTATAGGTTGCATGTACAATTCAATTGAAGAATCTTCAAAAAAAAACCGTTTTTGAGGTCGTTAGCTTTTTTCGCGCATTCAGTGTTACTGGGAAAAACTGTAGTGGATCTTTGAAGTGTTTCTCAAGGACTACTTGGAGAGAACACTAAAGTAGCCACTAGAACCACCTTTTTAGAAGCCACTATTTTGCGTCTTAGTTTTCTCTGCAATAGTTTTAGAGGTTATAAGTACCAATTAGACACCCAAAGAGGCCGCTACCTCGACTACTATAGGGGCCACTAAACGTTAAAACCCTAAAGTTGCTACTAAAATTTTCCGAGAAATCATGAAGTTTGCACTAAAAGAATCATCAAAACAAAGTTTCAAAAAAACTAAATATTAACTAGGAACTAAACTTTCGCGCTCTAATGATAATCGAAACATGTGACGATGAAAATTTGATTTTTGTATGGTTTTTTAACAAATGAACCGTGCAAATTTTGAAAGCCTTTTACTCTTAAAAAAAAAATGTTAAAGCATAAAAAAGGGGAATTGCCCTTGGAGCGCAGGAGTTAGGAACTTTATAGACAATTTTTTCAAAAAATAATTTTCGAGCTTTTCGAAGAGCTTTTCTTACGTTTTTTCAAGAAAAACACTGTTGGGTCTGAAATTTTGAAGATAAATGAAACATTTCATGAGGAAGTTCCTTTTTTGCACTAAATTTTATAAATAGATAAACTTTTTCCCATTTTTTCTTTGAGTAAATACATCAAATTTCAAATATTCGATTCGATTAAAATATAAAGCAGAAGTTGTAGCTTGAGAGTATGAAAAACGTGGATGGTCCTAGAATTGAAAAAAAAACGAAAATTTATAGGTTTCTAACTTCTAAATGCTCTCTCGCCTTTAATTTTTTCAAATATTCCGATCTGGATTTTTTTTTTAGTTCAATAGTCTGTCCAAGTATCATTGCTAGCTATTTCAAAAAGAGATTAGGACTAATTTTGAAAAAAATGACGAAGCGAAGAACCCTTTTCAATTCTATTTTTGGTTAGAAGATCTTTATATCCCTCTGAAACCTTCAGAAAAAATTTTGAAGTGATTTCTATTAACTTGAAGAGGACTCTGATAAGAAAATTAGACAACCAACCTTTCTTAACCGGTCTCCAGAAGCAAAAAAGTCGGTAGAAGCAGCCGGGATTCGGTGCCAAAGGGGCAAGGTGATAAATAGCGTAATTATTCTTCGATCGATTTCCGATGCTTCTCGGAGGCTCCCAGATCGAAAGATATTCCTTGGTAGATGTTTCCATGACTTTTGTGGTCATTGGATTGAGGTGGAGGAAGGAAAAGCGAAGGAAGTAGAGCTCGACTCCGCCTCCAATGGACTTTGTCTTAAAGGAGTGTCTGAGGGGAACATTGAAGATCTGGTCCTATCTACTGTGACAGGTAGTCCACGACGGTGTTTCTCGGAAACGAAAAGAAGTACCTGCTAGGCGGTATGAGGTACCGGGAAAAAATCCGGTCGAAAATGCACAGGAAATGCTCAAAAACTGTTTCGTATCTAATTTTAGAAGACGAATCTTTTTTCTCGTGTTGCTCAGGATACGATGGGCTAAGAAATTGTTTTTCGATTTAAATCTTCGAAGTAAAACAGCTTCTAACCAGGGAACGTTTTTTACCCCCCGGTTGAACTTTTGCTGAAACTTTGCTGAGTTGTACTTTCGGACCCCCTGATTGCAGATCAAGAAAAACATTTCTCGCAATAGATCTCGTTTCCGAGTTATGAAGCTTCAAAGTGTGCAAAATAAGCAAATTAGGCCAAAAAGCGCTATTTCGGGCTTTTGAAGTGTCCTAACTCGACAACGAGATCTATTGCGAGAAATTAAAAAAAAACGTTCCCTGGTAAGCATACCCTGTACATTTTCGGTCGTAGTTTTTTCGATACCTTATGACGCTTAGCAGATATTTTTTTTTGTTTTCGAGTACTATATGAAAGTTTATAATAGGAAGTTCTTCAAGAGTTTCAGATCAATCGCTTGCAAATCATAATCGCTGAAGAAAAGAATTTTTCAAAAAGCGCTTTTTGAAGCTTTCCTGACGCCATTTTTTCAGACTTTTTGTATCCTCAGCCTCCAAGAGTCAAACGTCACTTATTTTTTGAGAATTTGCAGAAATGCTGGGAATGAGAGCTAAATAGCATAAAAAAACTTTTTCTTAAAGGGATATTTATACTTAACTCCAGGTTATTGAGAAATAAACTGTATGGATCGAGAAAAAAAGAAGAATATTCGACTAAAAGTTCGGTCAGTTCCATGAGAAAACAGTCATCGGTAAAAAAATCTCGAAAAAAAGATCCAGTTTTAATTTTTAAAAATTTCAGTCGTTCAAGGGAAAAACATCAAAAAATTAAAATCCATAAACTCATAATTTTTACTTTGGTCGTTGTTCTGAGCATTTTTTTGAAATTGAAAGTCTCCTGACGTTTTAGGGAGTTTTTTATGAGTTTTGGTTTGCAAATTCAAAAAAAAAGGGCAAGGAATATTTTCAAATTTTACCGTAAAGTGCAACTTTGCCGGAACTGCTCAAAACTTTCGAGACTTTTAAATTTGCTGGAAATGATTATTCGATTCGTACTTTTATGAATGTCAGTATCACGTGTAGATTATTTCAATTAGTGGTTTATTGCCTTTCAAAAAAATATTTGGTCGGAAAGGATCATTTGAGCCTTTTCTATGTACTTCTTTTAATTCTTGCGCGAGCTTTCCATAAGGAATTTTAACGTTTGCTGTACACAAAAATATAAAAATCTACTTTATTGGTTCTAACAGATGAAAACAAAACAAAGAAGAGCATTGAATCAATCTTGAAGAAGATTTTTCCTTCTTCGTGCCCCATTTTTCGGCTCCCGTCGGTTCTCATTCGAACTTTCCCCTGAATTTTCCTCTTCAGCTGGAGTTGTAGATGCTGGCCAGGTTGTGATGTAGCCGTCTGGAAAATCGGAATGGTTCCGTTTAAAAAAATTAGAATGGTTTAGCTGAATAAAAAAAATTTTTAAATGACAAAAAAAGAGAGATCGAAAAAAAAATTAACCCCGGATGCTCGAAACTGAGAAGCTGCGCTCCATAGAAAATTTTTAACTTTTTATTCTAAACGCGGAGTTTTTATGCAGGAAATTATTCCAAGTTTACCTCTATCTGTATTGGTGATCAACCTCATGATCGCCGCAAATAACCAGAGAATCAAAAGGCAGAAAACGATGACCATCCACCGAGCAATGTTCTTCTGCCATCTGGAAACTATTTGTTCAAAAAATTTCGAAAACTTCGGTTTTCTGTTTCAAACCGATTTATTAAAAAGTTCCATTTTCCTTGTTTTTGTTATTTCTGCATCGCTGAAATGCTAGTATGAGCCTTAAAAAATTTGACGAGTGTTCATAAAAAACGAGATTTCGTGGTCCTGAATCTCTAGTTAATGATCGAAGGGCTTTTTTTCAATTTTTTTTTATTTACTCCAAAAAAGACATGGATTCAACAGGCTGTCAGGAAATTTAAAAAAAACGAACAAAAGTAATCTCAGGCAAAAGTTATAGAGAACAGGAAATGAAAAGAAGTTCAGACAGAGAAAAAAAAAGTGGCGGAACCCTCCATTTTTTTATTCACTCTCTAATTCATAAATTGGAAGTTTTGAGGTTATAAGAAAGTGAGAAAAAATGGAGACATTTAGGGAATCATAGAAAGCCAAAATGTCTGGAACCCTCTCTTTTTCACGTACTTTCTCGTTTTGGTTCTGAACTCCTTTTGAAAAGCTTGATGAAAAATATCAAAAATTCTTATTCTCTACAGTTCGAATTCAGTCTGAAAAAAAAATCAACCAAGGTTTCTTTTTCCTTCAATATTTCTTCAAGATGTCCGAAATCCTTTTTTTCAAATTTTTTCAAATAAAAAAGTCAAGAAACCTCGGGGCAGACTCGTCGAAAAGCAAGTTCTGCAAGCCATCCTGTAGGTAGAATATCGCTTGAATCAGATGATTTCTCATCGAACAAAGGAAATTCGTCGGAGAAATCGGAGAAGAAAATCCGGAGAGAGGCGTCGGTTGCCATGGGAGACGGGGATGGATAAGAATGGCTCAGCCGCTATAATTTATCTTTTTTTTGCTCGAGACGCCTCGTAAAGGTTGATGGGAAAATTGGCTGCGACCATTAAAATTGGTCTATTTTTGGATTCTTAGTTTTTCCTCCCCCTGTTTCCCACGCATCATGGTTGCAAAGAGGCCGGTTTGAAAAAAAAAACTTGCCCAAACGTTTCCTGATGACTCCGAGCGCAAGTCGTTTTGGGTCGGGTGCGTCGAGCTATTCCATGGGCCTGGACCCCTAAGTGAAGAGGAATCGAAATTTCAGAGGGTTAAGATGTTAGATGAAGAGAGGAGAATTGGATAGATTTTTGTCAGTCAAATTTTCTCCGCGCGTAAGTCGTTTTGGGTCGGGTGCAACAAGCCTCTCCACGGCTGACCAGAAAATCATATGGAATCTATGAATTTCTTAAAACATTAGTTTTGTTTATCTTTGGAGTTTCATCAATTATTCAATTGGGAACTTTTTTCAAGCTATAAAATTGAACCTCAATCAAGATTGGGATTTTCACTTCTCTGAAAAAGTTGATTTTTTATTTTACAACAAAAAAGGAGTGTTTGAAATCAACTTTGATTGTTTCAAAAGTTCAAAAAATCCAATTTTCAGTGGTTCTTTCACATATGAAGGACTACACGAATGCCCGACGGGCCTATGTGAAATCGATCGAATTGGGCGCCGATTCTTCCACGGTACTATATTTTTCCTTTGAAGTTATTGAAAGAACAACATTTTACATTTGTCTGACCTTTCTGCGCTCTCTTCTCTCTCCAGATATGAGATAGTCTCGGTGGGAACTGAAAAAGGGGAGGGACTTGGCAAAAAAAAGGAGAATAAGGGGGGTTGGCAAAAACCGTAAAGGAAGGGGGTGCTTGGCATTAAGGGGAGGGGGGGGGACTTGGCTGTCGCCAGTCATGCTCATCCCTCCCATGTATAGCGTCTGAAAGGTGTGTTAAAAGCTTCTAAAAGGTTTGTTTCGATGGACAGAACTTTGAGTTCTGACACCTAGAAAAACAGGAGAGTTCTGTCTAGGAGGCAGAGAGCGCAGACAAATCATACTTGACAAATTTTGTAAAAAGAGATTCATTGATAAAAAGTAAAAGAAACGTTTCAGGTCCTGAACTACGCCATTTTCGAGTATCATCAAGAAAGAAAAGAAGCTTCTATGACGGCTCTCAACCATTTTTAGAACCTTGGAAAGTTCTGGAGGTGTTCGACAGGTTCGTTTTTAACGTTTCAGGGGCTAGAAATAAAAAAAGGTTTCAAAAAAATTTAAATAAATCTGCAAAGTTTATCCGTGGAGCGCAATTGCGATAACTTCTAACGGCTATTTTTTAACGTTAATTTTTATCAAGTATTTTCCTGTAATTTAATCTGTGACACGGATGTCTCAAAAATTATATGATTTAGGACCAATTATCGGTGGCCAATCTGTTGGAAGACGCTCTGGCCGCACGGGACGACGTTTCGAATGTTGGCAACGACATTCTCAGCCAGCAACTTTGAATAATTGAATATCTTATTTTATTTTTTACTTTATCGCAAATGTGATAAAAATGAGCTTTTCTCCGAAAACCTTGGATTTCGTTTAAAAAAAATCTTCGACTTACTTTTTATGATAATTTGAGTGATTAAAGATTTTCCGAATTATAGAAAACCTCATAATAAATCAGCCGGGCTTACTTTTTTAACGTGCTGAAAAATACTGTTTCAGTAGAAGTCCTGCTTTGAAATGATTTCCGTGGGCAAAATCTGGAGCCCCTGAATTTTTTCAGAGTGTTCCAGTCAAATTGATGCATTTTTGAGATCTTCCTTCATATGACGTTCAAAGGCACGGAAATTGCTTGAAATAATACAAAAAACGGTTTTTCACCTTGAGACCAGTTTGAAGTTTTTTTTTCTATACTCCTTCAATAAAACAAGACTTTTGAGAAAACTCTGTGAGATTTTTTTTTTCTTTAAAAAAACATCAAAAAGCCGTACAGTCAGGGCTAAAATGCCAACACAACATTTTCCTTCCATTAGAGCAAAGAAAAACAAAAAAGCCTCCGCTCAGAAAGTAAGGGCGATGTCTCATAGGTTGCCACAGTCTCTCTCCAAGACCTGAAAAAGTTTTCGATTACAACGTGGTTGAACGGTCTGCAAGAAGACGGAGCGCCGTCCTAGCCGCTTTCTTTGTCTTTTTACGATTTAGCCTGTTTTAAAGAAGCACTAGGAAAATTTTTAGTGGCCACTATAGAGGCTCGCCGAGGACTACTTGGAGAGGACACTGAAGTGGCCACTAAGCCCACCTCTATAGTGGCCACTATTTTCCGTTTTAGTGGACACTATAGAGGCTCTATATTTAGTGACTAATTCAGTAGATTTCACCCAGTATCTCTTTCATCCAATATTCTTTCCAGTAACCGTGATAATTTTAAAACAAACATATTGGACCAGTCATGTTGATTCATTGACCCCTAAAGTGGCCACTAAAATTCTTAGTGGTCTAGTAGTAGCACTTAGAACTCTATAGTGGCCACTTTTTAACACCTTAAATAGACACTAATTTGACTACTATAGGGGACACTAAAACGTCAAAACCTCTAAAAATTTTCCCAGCACGGAGAAATTTCCGTGACAAGAAAGGTCATTTTACTTTGCAATAAGAATTTTTCTGAAATTTGGCCAGAATATTCCTTGATGTACCAGATGAAGATACAGAAAGGCTCAACCCGCATAACTTTCCAGTTTTCGAGAAAAACGAACTTGAAATCGAAAAAACCGTCAAAATCGGGAAAATGAGTAGTTTTCGGGCTTTGAGTCCTTATTTAGGAAGTTGGGCAGATTGAGAGTTTCAGAATCTTCATATAGTTCATCAAGGAGTGTTCTGGCCGAACTTCAGGAATTTCCGACTGCAAACTAAAATGATCTTCCTTATTTTTTTAAAAGTGTCACCATTATTGTTCTTTTCTTGATACTTCTTTTGGACAACGTTTGTTTCAATATGGCTCTTTAAGAGACGAAAGTGTGCTCTATAGCAAATAAAAACCATAAATTTTCCGAATATTCCTGTGTCACACCTTGTTTATTGTCCAAATAAATAAATTTTGTTAATTTTTTTTCGTCATGTTCATTGAAATCGATGTTTTTCACGCCTTTGTGTCATGTTACTTTGGATTGAATATTTTTAAAGGTCAAGTTTCTCTTTTTTTTTAATTGGCTTCATTTGACCTCGAGGGCTCCATGATTTCTCTCTCGAAGAGCGAAAAGTTCAACAAGAGAGAAATTACTCGATTGCTTAGATTGAATTTGAAAAAAATATAAGACTAATTATAATATTTATATCATTTCAAAAAAATCTATAAATTATTTAAAAATTGTTTTTTTGCGCCATTCATGCTGAGATTTAATACTTTTTCACTGTTGGAAAGGAGAATCAACATGTTTTTTTAACCCAAAGATAGAACATTTCGTTCCGAAAACCGCGAATCCGCGAGGAGATCAACGGCAGATGCAATTTCACAATGGAGCGCATTTTCCTTTTCGCTTAAATTTGGAGGGAAACCCGTTCAAATTCGTGTTCTTATTCTTTTTTTTTCATTATGTTTTTCTTTTTCGGATTTTATTTTTTTCTACGAATAATATCATATTGATCTGTATTTCCTATTATTGGGACGAACGAAGTAAGCTTTTTTTCTGTTGGATTTTTTGAAGCTGTTGAAGGTTTTAAAAAAAAGATGACAATTATTTTTTTTTTCTCATAACGTATAATATTTTCATAAAAATCAACTGCAAAATTTTCTTGCATTTTTACTAGTGACTTTTAGAAAGCGCTGCTTTTTTTTAAGTCCGAAAATTATTTTTAATTTTTTTTAGGCATGCCTCCTCGGCCAAAAGTGGCACGGCGCACTAAAACTAGCGGTATATTATTTTTTTCCCCGATTTTTCATGGTTTCGATTTTTCAATTTCAGCGGCCACTCCATCCAAACGGCGGAAAAAAATGATCCAGAAGAGGAAGAACAAGTGGTATTTCTAATTTTTTTTTTGTTTTGATAAAAGATATTTTGGTATTTTAGGTAGAAGAACCAGTTCCAGTTTCTCATGTAGTAGAAGATGACGATTATAATTCCGATGAAGACCTAATAAACATTGTGAGTGAAGAAATTACGAAAAAAGTTTTGATTTCAATACTGATTTTAAATTTTTTTTCAATGTTTATATCAAATTTTCAGACGATTCCTCCAAGGTTTGCCGAGTTGGAACGAAATGTCCCTGGACGTCTGTCGATTGCCAAAATCGAAATGACCAATTTCAAAAGTTATTATGGAACTTGTACTGTTGGCCCTTTTCACAAGGTAGAGTCTCTAGAGAAAAAAATATTATACGAACATCAAGAAAAATTTTTTTAAAATTTACAACTTTATATAATTCTTAATAAAGCTCGTACTTGAATCGTTGATTTTTTTCGAACGATTTTTTTGAAAGTTTCTTGTGAAAAATATAAGTGAAAAATGATTGAAATTTAGGATCAAAGTGAGTCTTTTTTTAAATTTAGATTATTTTTTTCACTCATTTTTTTCCTGAACTGTTTACAGCTGCGTTCGACAGGCAGAGCAACATTTTGCACAGAAAAAAAGAGCATTTTTTTCGTGTTTATTTTTTTTGAAAGTTGAAAAAAAGGGCTGATTTTGACTCTTTTTTTGCGTCATTGAAGATCATAAAATACTTCTGCTCCTTCAGAGATATCTGGAAAATTTTTTTGTAAACATATTATATTTTTTTCCAGCTCAAGCTCTAATCAAAACGTTGAAAAAAATGATAATCTCCGGTTTTTTTAGTCATTCACTTCGGTTATCGGCCCGAACGGTTCCGGAAAATCGAACGTTATCGACGCGTTGCTCTTCGTTTTTGGCTTTCGAGTTTATTTTCTTCTCAAAATGTCTTAAGTTCATATGTTTTTCTTTCAGTCAGCCAAAATCCGCGCGAAAAAAGTGACGGCTTTGATTCACAAGAGCGCCAATCATCAGTGTGAATCTTGTAATGTCCGCATCGTTTTTCACAACATTATCGATCGGGTTTGTCATTTTTTTAATTGAAGTTCAGATCGAAATTTATAAATTTTTTTATCTGTAAAAAGTTCTAAAAAAATTTTTTTATTTTTCTGGAAATTATCTTTATGTTAGTTCAGTCGTTGCCCAAAAAAATATTTAGCAAGTTTTACAAATTCGGAAAAATCGTGTTTTTTTCAGGAAATTTTGGAGTGGGTTTATTATTAATGTAAATTTGATAGAAACTTAAAAATTTTTGAGTTTTTTTCAATTTTTTTAAAACTTGAAGAAGATTTTTTTGAGATATGTCGATAATTTTTTTGAATAAATTTTCATATTTTTTTCTTCGAGTTCATTTGTTCATGTATTTTCAGGGCGAAGATGACTATTATATAATCGAAGGGACGACTTTTTTTCCATTTCCAGATCGGTAACTATGCGTGGCGACAGTAAATATGACATCGATGGAAAGGTAAGAAATTTATTTTATTTTTTTTAACTCTGCAACGATTTTCGAATTTCAAAATTTTTCTTTCTTAGCCTGTTTGGACTTTCAGAGAACATCGTATTAACTCAGAAATTTCGGTTTTTTCTTTTTGAAGAATTCAGGGAAACATTTTCTTTTTTTCTAATTCTATTCTTCCAGACAGTCACTCATAAAGAAGTTGAAACGAAGCTGAAAAGTCTGGGAATCGATCTGGTTCACAATCGTTTTCTGATCTTACAAGTGAGTTCTGTGAGAAAATATCTAGAAAAACGACTTTTAAAGACTTTGAAGGCACATTTCTGTTCAAGGATTTTTAGGGAATTCTGAAGTATAAAATTTTTAAAATAACTAAACTAACCTCGAAAACATATGCTTATTTCAAAATTTTCGAAAAATTTCTTCGAAATGATATCTTATGAATTTGGTTAAAAATCTCTAAAAGATAATTTCTGGAAAATTTTAACAGAGTTGGCAGTAATTTAATTTTTTCCCCAAGGGAGAAGTTGAAACGATCGCTTCGATGAAGCCGAAAGGAGGTCCTGGCGAAGAAGGAATGTTGGAATATTTGGAGGATATCATCGGCTCCAGCAGATATTTGGTATTGCCAGTTTCTTTTATAAACAACTTTTCAATATAATAAATTTTCATGGACTTCAGACGGCATATATAGTATGAAAAAAAAAACGGTCGCTTATAAATTTATCGAGTATCACTAATGTCAGTGCAGATTAAATTGATTTATTTGAAAAAAATATCATTAAAAATTCTGAAAAGTAGTTAGGCGCAGACTTGTTCTGCGCCATTTGGGTTTAGGATGAGTTGGGAAAAAAAAGAGCGTTATGATAACTTTTTCTGTAAATCAAATGTTGTAAAATTTTTGTTGAGTTTATGATAAGTTTAGCTTTTTTTTTTGAATGTGAAGCTCGAAAAATCTCCCAAAAGTTTGAGGATGAAAAAAATGCAGAAATACAATTTGAAGTCATTTATTCGCTGAAAAATTCCGAATAAACTTTTTGAAAGTAGTTTTCGTGATTATTATCAAAAAATTTATCCATTTTTTTAAAAGTAAAAAAAAAAAATTGACCCATTCCAATTCTTAAGTCGATAGAAATAGCTTATCTATGAAGTACACGAATTCTTAAACTTTCTACCGACAAAGTCAAAACTTTTGTGGACCTCGTGAAAGTTGACACGTTCAATTTAACTTTGATTTATGTAGGTGTGTTTTTGTGACTTCGTAAATTTTCGTCCATAAAGTTTGATTTACAGCCGGCAATCAGAAAGTTGGATCGACGTCTGGACAAAATGAAGGCCATTTTATCTCAACAAGAAGCAAGGTAATTGAAATAAAAATAAATTCCATTAACCTTCAAATCAATTCTATAAAGCAAATTTTGTTGATTTAATACACAAATACGTATTCAGAAAGCTTCAAATACTTTTACTCCGTGTTTTCTGAAAATTTACGAGGTTTATGAATGTTTGTTTCGAGTAAATTTTTTTTTTTGCTCTGAAAAAATGCTTAAAAAAAAGGCTCAGTAACTCCTAGAAATCGATTTTTGATCCGTAATCAGACGAAAATTTTGTTAACGTTTGTAAGATGTTGCAAGTTTCTGGCGGTCACAATCAGTTGAAGGAAAAAAAAATTACGAATTTTCGTTTCCAAAAAAGGGATTTTTTAATTTTCCTCTTCAAAAATCAATTTTTTTTTTCTAACTTTATCATATGACATATAACTTTGTTCGATATCATAATTTATTTATTGAAAAAAATTCAAAAAAACATGAAAAACATCTGGTTATTCATTTTTTTCTTTTTATAAATTCTAAGAAACGTATTATCACTTTTTTTCACGCTGTCTCCGTTATTCTCAAAAACAACGGGTACAATAAAAAAAAACATATGTTTTAATTAGGATGAAACTTCATCCAGTATAATTGTCCGTCATCAGAAATGCGGACCCAACTTTTTGAGCCATTCCCTCTTACTGTAGCCGGGTTACGGTAGGAAAGTGGACATCTGCGTATCTAAGTATTGAAGAGTTTTTATTAGGCAAGTGATATATCAATCGATAGGTAATCCAATTTTGAGAACTTTTACAGTACATACCATCTTATGTTACGGTGGAAAAATTTTGAGTTACGGTACTTTTTGCGTCTGCCGAGTCAGTTTTTCGGCCACCACGAGCTTGAGCCAGGAGATCAATTCTTTCTAGCTCATCAAAAGATACCTTTCGAAAAGCTCTACAAGGTGATACTAGTTTGAAAGAATCTTAGGTGGACCATCATTTAGAAAAATCGCTCCGAAGGCGCGCAATCGTGGTCTTGCGGCGACCAAATGGGTGAAGTCCATGATGCCTGACGGCTCATTCTTCACTGATCCATTCTAAACTTTGTTTCCATTTCACTTAAAATTATCTATCATTGATTTTTATTGCAACATGAGATGATTCCAGGTTGACCATCATCTCGAAGTTTCATTTTGAATCCAAATTTGGCCCCGTAAAAACGTTCCCTAGTCAGAGAAACTGAGGAAAAAGATTTTCATGTCAATTTTTCTGAAAAAAAAAGTCAATTCTTTCAGGCAAACTCAGTACCGAGAAGCGGCGGAACATCTCCGGCCAATCGCCGAGGAAACTGTCGAATATTTGCGGAATGAGAATGAGTTGGCCAATACGCAGGCGAGGCTTCTTCAGTGCAAAAAGTGAACTTGAATCGAACTCATCTCAGAATTAATAGAAATTGGTTCAGACACGAGCTGACGACGACTTTGGATCAAGTAACCCTGGATTTCGAGGCGAAAAGTTTGGCCAAAGATAACGCCGTCGAAGATTTGGCCAAGATCAAGGCGGAGATCGTCGATATTGAGCGAAAGGAGAAGGAATTCGAGAAGTTGGTCTTGGAAAAAAGGGCGTTTTCTTGGAAGGATTAAAAGTAATGTCGCAACGAACAGACAGATTTTATGAGATATTTTGGTATGGCTTGGAGTTTCCTCTCTTATAGTTTCTTCGTACTTTTCTTCATTTTTCCGAAATTTCATTCAAATCGGTTAGGTATAAATCAGAGATGCGCGGAACTGAATTTTTAACTTGCGGAATGCGGAATAAATTTATTTTGTGCGGAAGGAGTGACGATTTCCCTAGTAGTAAGCACAATTTTCGGATTTCAAGGTAAAATTTATGTATTTTTCCTTTTCAAAATGATATTTTTCCACGGATACTGGTTAAAAAATGATCAGAAATTTCAACAAGTCAGGATATATTTTCGAGAAGTTGAAAAGCCATATCGAAAAACCGAGAACGCGGAAAAATATTTTTTGCGTAGGGCGGAACTTAGCCCATCTCTGGTAAAATTCCGAAAAAGGGAATAATTTCATAGCTGCAGGGCTTATCAAGAACCTAACATGATATATTTCAATACACAAACCGAAAACAAATATTTTGCTTTTTCAAAAATCTTTCTGGAAAAATGTGCCTTTTTTGACTTCTTTTTTTTTGAGGGGCGGGGCGGAATAAAACTCTAATTTGTGCATCATATTTATAGACCCCTTTATTTTTTTGCAGTTTTTTTGAAAAATTTTGTCAAATATTCTTGCAAAAAAAGTCCTTTTTTTATAATGTATCTCACCACATTGCCTTCTTAGTTCAAAAAAATCAAATTTTTATAAAAAAATCCAGTACAAAGTTTATTGGAATATTCATATCGACACGGTCATAATTATAGGCTTTCTCTGCATTAGAGCTTGTTTTCATTTTTTTTTTTTCATTTTTCACTTTCAGTTTCGGTTTCCAATAAAAAGTCTAGTTAGAGATTGTAGGTTATAAAATAATGATTATCAGTCGGTTTTCTTGAACATAAAAAAGTTTTTTTTCACCAAAAGAACTTGCAGAGAACTCGCCGAGCTGCAGAAAAAGTTGGAGGAGAAGAACAAACTGGTTGCCGAGCACATGAAAGAAGAAGTCGGCCGTCGGGAGGACCTCAAAAAATGCAATAAACTGCTCAGCACCTGCGATCAATGCATCGAATCGACCAAAAAAGCTGTTCGTCTTCATTTTTTTTTTGGACGAAGTCTGACTTCTTCCCGAGTTTTAGTTGGAAAAACGGATACAAGAAAGGGAAGAGGCGATCCGACCGGAAACCCCGTCGGAAATGAGACAGTGCTATATGAACTATGAGAAGTTCAAGGCTGTGGTTGGGTCTTTCCATGGAAAATCGGAATAATTGGTCTTCGATTTGATCAGGCCGATGATAACCTGGACAAGTTCGACCAGAAGTCCAAAAGATTGAGGGATCAGAGAAGAAACGTCGAGAGAGACTTCGCCAACAAGAAGGACAACTTCAATAATCTCAATGCTAAGGTATAAATCTTGTTTTTCAAAACGTTAAGGTCTTTTTTTAAGAATTGAGTTCTCTGACAAACGCTAGCACGTGAAAAAATATCTGAACCTTTTTATAACCCAGTTTTTCGCCTAGAAACTTGTAAAATATAGACCAAAGCTAGCTGTCAATGAGCTACCAAAAATCCATAGGTTTATTTGGAGAAGCTTGAAAAGTGTTTATTTCTTAACATTTGACCTTCGAAAATTGTCAAGTTCCAGGCTTTCAAAAGTTTTTGGGTTTTTGTTTGTAAAATGGAGGCTCGATATTTTCATTAAAAAAAAACTGATGATGATTTTTTTATCACGAATAATTCATAAAGTTTACACGAGTTTTTAAAATCATTACTGTAATTTTAAATCTTATTTTCTTTTTAATGATTGGGGGTCAATCTTTCTATATTCGAGAGTAATATCGGTGTTAAGGGCTCAAAAAACTGTGAAGAAAAGTCGAATATAGCTTTTAAAGCTGAAAAAGTTCCGTAATAGCTGAATTCTTCTCACGAGTTGGAACTCAAAAAAATCAAAAGGATCGCTGGTTTCAATTATGTGACCACCTATGATGATAGAAGAAAAAGCCTGATATAGTTTTTGAAATAAATATTCAAGTATTAAAATAGTTGTCAAAGCTGATAATCTGACTAAACTAAATTTTTTAATGTTCACGCTCAAGAAATCGAAGTTTCATAACGTAGCGTGATGACTGAATTTTTTCTTACGATCAAGTTTGAAAAAATCGAGAAGCTCCCCTAGATTTCGAATCTGTGGTCAGTTCTTGAAGAAAAACTAAGAAAAAAGCTCAATATAGCGTTCTAAAGCGGATAACCTGACGTAATGATTTTAAGAGATCAGTTCATTATCTAAACAGTCGATTTGTAGTTGATGGTGGCCGAGTCAGAGCTCGAAGATCTGATAGCGTTATCGAGTCGAGACCGGGTCAGACTTGCCGAACTTCAGAAGACCTTGGCCGACACTGAGAGAAAGGAGGCTGAAGATAATAAGTCGAACTTCTTACTGAGAAAATTCCCTAATAAAACGGCTCTTTTTCAGCACTTTAATCGAAATAAAAGCGGAACTGCCCATAAGGGAGGCCGAAGTGACCCAAATCGAGGCCGACGTCGCGAAACTGCGCGAAGAGGACAACGCTCTGAGAGCCGAGGTGCAGAAGAAAAAAGATGGAAATTGATTGGTTTTCCCAGGTCCTAACGCTGAACCGGCTGATCGACTCGCAGGTCAACGATTTCCAGCAGAAAACCAACAAAACCAAAGTGGCGACGGCCCTGACCGAGGCCCGAAGAAACGGCAGTTTGCCGGGGTTCATCGGTCGTCTGGTTGGTTCTTCATCCAATTTCGAAATAATATGCCCGCAACCATCTTATGGAGCTTCTCATCGCGGTCCTAGTGGTGTATTTCGAATCGCATAGTTGGTAGTTTTGAAAAAAATGAAAATTTTTTACCAAAAGACAAACAAAGTTCTCCTGAAAAAAAAAATCAAAATTTCTCAAAAACTAACAAATTATCGAGAAGGCATTTCACTTGTCGGCTTAAAATTTTCTAGAAATTTTCTTAAATTTTCTCTGAATATTTTTATTAAAATCCACCAAAGATGCAACTCGCGTCAGCTTCTAGTTTTTAAGTTAATTAATTTAAAGGTCGAAAAGTTAGGCCTAAAACCAGTTTTTCGCAATTTTAAAAAATAAATCAAAAAATAGAAGTTTACGCAGGTACTTTGAATGATCTTCATCTAGACCTTCAGAGTGTGCTTGAGCAAATTTGTAGAAAATTCCAAACCGCAAGGTAAAATGCCCTCCCTTGCTAGGTTAGGCTGCTAGGTAAAGAAGGTATTTTCTTTGGAATTGGAATTTTTCCGAAGGTTAATCAGAATCTCCTTGGAACGCTGTGAGAAGCTCTACAAAACTGCATGCGAAGTGCCTTTCTTAAAGCTCCTACTTCTCAAAAACTTCTTTCCTATTCTATCCCCTCTACCATTTTCCGCCTATCTTCAAACACCCAATTTTAGAAATGCGCTAGAACATCCTTTTTTGAGTGGAGGTAGCCCTTTTTATTAGTTGAAATATTCTTGAATTTTCCTCATCGTTTTCCGTACTAGGGGGATTTGGCGGGGATCGATATTTTATATGACAAGGCGATTTCGACGACTTGCGCCGCTCTCGACTATTTCGTGGTGGAAACGAAGGACGACGGAGAGCGGGCCATCGACTTCCTCAACGAGGTCCGTTTCTTCTTGTGTTTCTTTGAATAGGATCATTCAGATTAGATTTATTCAGAACCGAATTTTAATAAAAAATCATTTTCTGTACATTTTCGACTTTTGCTCAGCGGATAATTTTTTTCCAATGTCTCCCTGCCTATGACTACCTACCACAAAAATTTTTGAAATGAAAAAAATATTTCTTTTTTTTCAAAGTGGGAATCTTGCTTAAAAGCTCTCTGAACATATAGAACGAGTCAATCAAAAAAAAAAAAACAACCCTGAATTTTTTTGAAAATTTATCACTGGAATGGGGAATTCAGAAAGAAGCTTGTATTTTCTGAATTTTTGCTCTTTCTGATAGTAATGTTCTGGGGTATGAGTTTTTGGAAAGTACACATTCAACAAAAAAACTGTTCTGGAGCTCAAATATTTTTTATAATTTTTAAAAAAACTGGAAAATAGCGCAGGTACGAAGGACCTTTTTCATAGAACTTCCGCCAATTTTTTTAAGCAAATTATCAGACTTGGAAAAAAATCATAAAGATTTTTAAAGTAAAATATCACATTTAGAAAAAAATCATAAAAAAAGAAAAGGTGCCGAGAAAAAAATCGGAAATGTACAGAACTTCAAAAAAACTGATTTTTCTTCGGAAGTTTATGAATAATAATAGGTTGGGATCTCTGTTCAACCTTTTTTTCTGTGTTCAGCGCCAACTTCCCCGGAGTTCGTTCGTCTGTTTGGATGAAACGCCGGACTTTACTGAACAAATCGCTCAAACGCCTGACCGATTGTTGGTTTTTTTTTTCAATATTTTCTGATCAAAAACGATTTCGGGTTCCCTTTTTTGAAGTCACTTTCATTTTAGAAATGTTTTTTTTGTTTCAATTTTGTATATAATGGGTTATTTGTCTGTCTATTGAATTTTTCAAGCCGTTTCCGAAGTGGCATAAAATAGTGAAAATTCGGAGAATTTTCAGCCCGGCACCACGTCTTTATGACCAACTGACGATTCCCGACCCCCGGGTCAATAAAGTCTTCTACCAGTCAATGTTCGATATGCTCGTCGTGCCGAATCTGATGAAGGCCCAGGAGATTGACCGAAGCGGAAAAGGTAATAATGCAGTTAGGAAGCTAAATGTGCTAAAAGTTTGATAATAAATGTTTCCTTACACTTCAAGTTTAAGTTAAAAAAAAATCAGGAACTTTTCAATAAGAGACAATATGGTTTCGACCAACTAAAGGTGGTCCTTCTTAAAAAATGTATAAAATAAATTAATATCGCAGATTTCGATTGTTTGGGTCATTTTTTTGAGATGTAATACTTGCTTTTTTGGCCTCTAAACTTAGGTTTTCCTTTTTTTCCTTCGCTGTAGGACACAGTTTTTCTAACGAAACCTAAAGTTATAATTTTTTTCATGTTTCGTGAAAAATTACGTAAATTTCTACATGTGAAAATAAAAAAATGCCTTTTTAAAAAAATCTGCTTTTTTTGCCAGATGAGACTACGATTTATCTATTTGCAGGATTTCGGAACATTTTTTGGGCCAGTAGAAAAAAATGAGAACTTCTTTTTAGGAATCACCTTTTTGTAAAATAAATTTTTTTAGCTCTTCTTCAAAAATCTGCTTTTCAAAAGAAGTTCAAGATTTTTTCTTCAACTCCTAGTTTTGTAGGAAATTTCCGAATTGTGACTTTCGAGGGACAAGTGATCGATGTCACTGGTAACGTCTCCGGAGGTGGTCAACCTTTAAGGTGCTTCTCATTTAAAAAAAAATGAAAGATTCAACAAAAATTTCCAGTGGTCGGATAGGCCAAAAACCGACGCAAGTTTCGGCGGACCAGGAGAAAATCATCGAGATGCAGAAGAAACAACACGAAGAAGCGGAGGAAAAGCATCACAACTGCTTGATGAAACTCAGACCCGTTGGTTTTGAAGCTTCATTAAAAAAAAAATGGGAAAGCTTTTATAAGAAACAGAATTTGTTTTTTTTAAAGAAGAGAGGGCATATAAGATAGGCGGACCTTAGCGCAACATGTTGTGTGCTTTTGTGTGGTCTAAAGGGTCGCAAGTTCGTTCCACGCCTTTTTTAATCAAGACTAGCGTATTGATTATCACGGTTTTTGGATAAGACCACCCCCTCCTTCTCATGAAAAATAGTGAATTTTTTCAGATGGAACAACAGTTGGTGGAAACGAGGACTGCTGTCGCGCGGTTGAAAGAAACTTACCAATCTTTGGAATTAAATATTCCGGTGGGTTAATGTAGATGAAACAGAGCCATTTTCGGCTTCCAAAAAAACTCAAAAATTTTTTTTCTTTGGCTCCAAGTATTATACAAATTTTATCTAAATATATCAGCACTTTGCAAAGATTCAATTCAGACGTTTTCCATAACGCAAACCGGACGCCCCCGGACGTGTCGGAGCACAATAGTGACATCTTTTGTAGCGCATCCTTAAGTGATCCCTAGAATTGTTCAAAGAAGTTTTGAGCGCGCTCTAGTTTTTCTTACTGGGATACGAGCAGGAAATTTCAGTTACACATGGGTAGGACTCTTCAAAAGATCGCCAAACCGTACTACCTGTGGTTAAAGTTTATTTTAATTTTGTTAACACGATCTCCTGAGGTTGAAAGTTCATTTTTTTTTTTCGCTTACTTTTCGAAAAATTTTCTGAGTCAGCTCTTCCTCCGGGGCTTGATGAGTTCTTGATGAGTTCGACTTTTTGCAGTACACGAAGGAGAAGTTGGAGACGTTGCGGAAGACGGTCCACGCCCAGGAAAGAATCGCCAACGCACCTCAAGTCAAAGTCACCCCCAAGGAGATCGACGTCAAGAGAGCGGCTGTCAACAAAATCCGAAAGGGTGTGGTGGTTTTCTGGAAATAGGGAAAGAAAATATGACGGAAAAACTTTTAAAAAAAAGTTTATTCTCAATTCTGAATTTTTTTTTTTTGAAGAAGCTTCGAATTTTTTTTCATCATTATTTTTCTGATTTTCCAGACCGCGACGTGGCAAATAACAGAGTTTTGCACGTCGAGGAGAAATTGAGGGATGTGGCTGATAAGATCAACAAAATGTACATCGTTCTAGTCCAGGTAAATCTAGAAAACTACCTTTCTTATCAAACTCCATTCTCCGTTGGCTTGGCTCGGAACTTCTCTTTTCTCCCATGATATCTCTGTTACTCGCGACTCGAAACTTCTGCTTTTCTCTGAACCCTCCTCGTCTCTCGACAACTCTCCCTTGTTGACGTGATATTTTATGTTTCTCTGACCTCGCTGGTGAGGGAACAGAGAGACGCAGACACTCGAAAAATGAAAAGTTGCGGCGAACGGACTATATTTAGCCACCTTTCATTGAGTTTTTCCTAGAGCCAATCTTGAATGCTTTTTCTGATTTTTATGTCTAGTTTGATCAATTTCCAGTCGAACGTAGACCTGGCCGAGAGGAATTTGAAGCAATATAACGTGGAAAAATCGAGGCACACCGAGGCTGAAGTCACCTTCAACAATAGAGAAAAAAACGCGTAGAAGAGGTTTTTTTGGAAAAAAAGATTATATAAAAAAATTTTGATAAAAAAATATATACAAGATAAAAAGTTTTTAAAAAAATTTTAATTGTTAAAAAAAGATATAAATTATTAAACTATATGAATAATTTATAAATGATATTATTAAGAAACAGGTTTTTTTCTTCAACGCAGCTTGTGAAACTTCATTGGAAATCGAGTTAACCTTTCTTAGGAAGTTGCATAATCAAAAAGAGAAGATGAGAAGGATTGAGATGGGTATTTATTTTTTATAGCAAGAACCCCGTTTCATGAGAAGTTTTAAATGTTTTTGAGTTTTATGGATTTCGCTGCTTTTTTGGTTGCCTTTCGAAAGAGAGAAATGTATTTGGTATTTAGTCGGAAATGTGTTATTTAGAGTTATGTGATGTAAATTATAAACTAATATAAGAAAGATCACTTAAGTAGTCTCTAAAGTCTTTTCCCTGACGTCGAAAGTTGCCTTCAGCTCGAAACTCGGCTGGTAGAACTTGAGGCAGAGCGAGAAAAACACGTGGAGGCTTGCAAAGTCGCGGCAGCCTTGGAACTGGAAGCCAAGGAGAATCGACATCTTGCCGACAAGAAGGACATCCAGGTTCTTGATTACGGAGAAGCTCCATCGAAAATCAATTATTCAAGGACTCGATAACAGCTGTCGAAGAGCAATTCCCACCTTTACGAACGAAAAGACAAGAACTTCGAGGCGAGGACATCCAGTTGGACAGTGAGATTCAGGTTTCAGGGAGGGTTTCTCAGGAGATTTTTATTTTTGTTTGTAGAAAATGCAAGACGAAGTCACCCAGCTCACCCTTCAAATGACGTCCAAACAGAGGCAGCTGGAAGTGATGGATAAGGAGGTATAAAGAGAGGAAAATGGCTTGAAATAACTTGGGTAGGCCAGAGTGGTCACTATGGGGGAGAGCGAAAATGTGCTCCCTAAGGCGGTAAACTTCGAGTGCTCCCTATAGGGGTTTAGGGTCGGACTCCCAAGCTCCCAAAGCTTGAGTAGTCCTTCTAGGGGTTTAGGTCCGATCTCGAAGCTTCTAAAGCTCAAGTGGTCCCTATAGGGGTCTTTAAATTTTTGTTTCTGATTTGTAAGTTTAAACGACTATTTGATGAAACTTTCCGCCGTATTCAAAAATTTTATTTTTAAAAAAAATTGCAAAAATTTGATTCCAAGTTTTGAAAATAAAGGTTTGTGGAAAAAATATTTTCGAACTTTTTCCAGATGGAAAGTTTCAAGCCGCAAAAGGTCCCTAAACTGCGACACGTGCAAATGGACAAAACAATGGATCGGTTCTCCCTGTGGGACCATCCGTCCGCCTCTAAAGTGACCCCCTCGAAGGCGGCCGCAAGTGCTCCAGTTGCTGATCCAGAGGTACTTGCATGTTTCCTGAGTCTTAGGACTTTTTGAAAAAAAATGAATCTACAAAAAATGGAAATTAGATAATGAAAATTTTCAAAAATTTTAAGGAAGAACAAGATGAAGAAGATACCGCGGAAGGACTCCTTTTACTCACCGAGGAAGAGGTTTGTTCATAAAAAAAAAATCAATAATTTCTTTGAATTCTCAGATTTTGGAAGTGACCACGAATCAGATCGCCGAGATGAACTTCAAGGTCGAACAGATCAAGAAACGACTCCAGGAGACCCGAGGAAACGTCAATTTCAGCTCCGTCGCCGACTACATGAAATATGTCCGTATTATTCTCAAGAAAACGAAAAATGAGAAGATTCTCAGGTGAAGCAATTCGAAGAGGAAACCGCCAAAACCACGGCCTTTTTCGACACTTTCCTGGAACACCGGAACAAGTCTGTCAAGCTGAAGACGGACAGACGCAATGAATTCCATGTATTCTGAGAATTTTGAGTGATTTATGTGAGAAACGGGTGTTCAGGAGGCGTTCGTGTTCATTTCGGGCTGCCTCCGGGAGCTCTACCAGATGATAACCGTCGGCGGCGACGCTTCCCTCGACAGCAAAGGCGGAAGCGGCTATGACCCCTTCAACGACGGCGTCTTTTTCATGTTCGTGGTTTTTCTTTCAGAATCAATCAATCATTTGTTTTCGTTTTTAAGTCATAGTTGAACAAACCCCTTGTTTTTCGAAAGTTCAAGACATTTTGAATTTAGGTTTTCTCGCTGAGAAACGGTTATGGGAATTTGAAAAACGATTTTTTCTTTATAGCGCGCGACGATGATCTTTCAATAACGCCGCATGAATTATTATTCAGCTTTCATATCTGAAAAAAATTCAAAAAAATGTATCGCTGTTAAAGAGTTATGATCCCACAAAAAAACTTTTAGACATGTAAAGGCAAAAGTTAAAAATAATCAAATTTTTAAACCAATTCTTGAGGATTAAGATCAATTTTTTTTTTTTGAGCTCGCAGCCAGAATAATCAGGCTAGAAAACAATGAAAAATTCGTATATTCAAGGGTGCGACCGGCTAAAAAATCGTGGAAAGTGATTGAGAATCTGAGTGGCGGCGAAAGGACCTTAGCCTCCCTGGCCTTGGTTTTCGCCTTGCATCAGTATCGGTGAGAAATAAAACAAAAAGTAGGCAAATGAGTCATTTGTTCAGACCAACTCCCCTGTATGTGATGGACGAGATCGACGCGGCGTTGGATGCGAGGAACGTCTGCAAAATTGGAGTTTATATCAAGGTTTTGCAAGATTTTGAGCTTTATTTTTGTTTATTAGAAACCTCTTTCGATTCTTGAATTTTTTGAAAAACCTTGATGTGAACAGAATCCTCTCCCCATTAAAGTCCTTCTTTCCAAAATAATAAAAGAAAAAAATTAAAAAAATAGAAAGTTTTTTTTGTCGAAGCAATGGATCACGTTCAGGTTTTTTATATTTTTTTGCAGCAATTTAAAATTTTTTTATTGGGAACTAGAATCTATATTTCTTTAAGAATTCGTACTTTTATGCAACTTCAAGAATATCTCAAGAAACACCATGAAAAATATGTAAATAAAAAGTTTATCTCCGGCCCTACCAAGTGCTTCAAAAATTTGGATATTTACAGGATCGCGCCAAAAATGCTCAGTTCATCATCATCACCCTCCGTAATCAGATGTTCCAACTTGCCAATCGAATTATCACCGTTCGAAAGGTTTGACACATGATTTGGATAACATGGTTCATTACCAAGGGCTTCTGTATATTTTTAAAGGGATAAGAATGCAATTCGAACTATAGATGCCCATTTTTGGAGCAAAAAAAAGAAAGAAAAACTCGCATTATTCTTTTTTTGAATGGATTTTTCTGCTATTTCCGTTGGATATGGAATGAAAAAAACTTTAAAAAAAGAAATTTTTTTGAAAAAAATTTCTTCCTTTTTAAATTTTTTTATGCTTCTGTCCTGCAATTAAAATGAAACACCAAGGATTTCAAAAATCATTCATTTCAAGTCGAAAAATTATTTATTTACTTATAGCCAATGAGCCAAATAGGCTTTTTCTTTATGGCCAGTACTGTAAATCAATAATTTTTTTCACTCATCATTCCTTTTTTTGATAAATTTTGACTCAAAAAAAGTATGTAAAAATGAATAATTTCAATTTTTTTACAGATCAGAGACGTCACCGTGATGGGAACCATGCAGCTGAATCCGACGACGGAAATCCAACAGCTTAGGGCCGAATTCAATGAAGCGGTAGACTCATTTTCGTGGCTCGAAAATATAGTTTCCATGGTTTTTCAGGTCAGATTGGTACGACGGGGAGAAACTCGTCGGCGAGTTGTTATCCAGGATTTGCCAATTGAGGCCATTGAGGCGATTCAGGTAGACTTTTCACTGATTTTTCAAAGATTATGGGTGAAAATTGAAAATCTAAGAAATCATTTGAGGATCTGTAGTTAAAATTGATCCGTGAAACAATAAATTTGATTTTTACAAATTGCAAAGGTTAGTAATGGGTACTGTGTGAATTTTGAGGAAATTCAGAGACTTTGGTATTTTTGGCATCATTTTTTGAACTTCAAAAAGGGAGAAACCGTAGAAAAGATTGTTTTTGGAAAGCAACATGAGGTTGCCGTTTCTCTCGATTTTTTTTTAAAAATTCAAAGACTGGAAAATTAGTGTTACCTTCACCTGCCTTTGAAAAAAATTTTCTCAGATCCGAGAAATTTCGATTTATACAAGGCTTTTTATTAGAATATTTTTGAAAAAGTATAGATTGAAACATTTGAAAATCAAATCACTATAAAATCTTTTATCTGAGCTTTTTTTCATCATGTTTTTCGATTAAAGATATCGGTAACAGAAGCTAAAAGTTTCAAGGATTGCCGAATAATTTACTTTTTTAACCGTTCCGACCAATTTGAGATGCTTAAGAAAAAAATATTATTTTGAAAAAAAGAAAGTTTAAAATTTCCACCCTTGTTCAGATTGTCGACCGAGAAGAGGAAGTTGTAATGGAAGAAGAATTTCATCGAATGTCCGTGGAGCCGAGCTCACATGCGCCGTCCAGACTGTCAGAATCGCCGTTTGCGAGGTCCAGAACACCGGCGACGTCTTCGAGAACCTCTTCGCCAATGTTCCCGCCTCGTCTGATGATCGCCGAAAGCCGAGAAGCGACAGCAACGCCAACAAGAACCCGAACTGTCGAGCCTGCAGAATCTCCAAGCCCTGGATCAAGGTTTTCAGCCATCCGAGAGCTGTCAGCAACCCCGACCCGGTCCTCGATGATCCCGACGACTTTCGGATCGCCTGGACCTTCCGGAATCCCCAGGCAGAAGCCTCCGAGCGTCTTCGTTATGCCTACCTCTCCCTCTTCCTCTTCGACGAGTCCCGATGACCCAGACAAGCCTGGGCCGTCCAAGCCTCGAGCCGGCTTTGCCGAACGTGCCACGCCCAAGAAACGCAGCATCGCCATGTCACGGTTCGAAGACGACGAGGAAGTCGGACCGTCGTCGAGTCCGAAGCGTCAGAAGGAGGCTGTCGAAGATTCCGATGAGATGGATGAGGACGAGGAGGAGATGGAAGACGATGACGACGAGGAGTTCTCCGCCAAAAAGAAGAAGACGTCAGCGAAGGCAAAACGTCCGGCCGTGAGGTCGAGAGGAGGACGAGGAAGGGCCAGAGCTAGGGCTAGGGGAACGGTTAGTTTAAAAGACGGAGAAAAAAAAGCTACTTTTGAAAAAGGGACAGACATTCTATATAATTTTCGAGAAACAGTGATGAAAATTCACCCAGGGTGCAATAATTCAATAAAATTTCCATTCTCTCGACTTTTTTCTTTGAATTATCAGACCTGATTCAGGTGTCCATTCAGCAAAAACGACTTTCAGGGCGATTTGTCGAGCCGCCGGGCGCGACCACGTCGTCCAACCCGATCGGCCTTGAGACGGGCCACAGATCCCGAAAGAGGCGGTCGTTTGGCCTCGCCCGTGGCCCCCGACGAAGACGATCACTTCTCCAACATCATCGCTCAGCTCCAAGAGACGCTGACCGCCCCGTCGCCCGCCAAAAAGAAGGGCTCGAAAAAGAAGAAGAAGAAGGGAAAGAAAAAGCGCAGCGGCCGTCCTGAGCCTCAGGAAGAGTCGTCGTCGTCCTCTTCCTCGCCGTCGACTTCGTCGTCGTCGCCGTCGCCGGTTCGGACCTTACTGAGGAGTGGAAAGTAGAAGAAATTCTTTGTCCAGGTCGGTTTTAGAACGCTTTGAAAGTTCACAGTGGAGTGTAGTATGAACTTTGGGCCGAAGAAAATATGGGAAATGAATTTTTAAACAAATGCACTGATTTATTGACTTGAAGAAGTCAGTCGCAGAAATTTTACGATAAAGGACGATTTTCTAATTAAAAAAAAAAATCTTTTAGATATAGTTTCCAAAAAAAGAGTTCCATTTAACTTGAGCAAAAATGAAGAACAGAAAAAAAAATTAATGAGCGGACTCAGGGTTTTTTTGCATATGAGAGTTGAAAAATGGCAAACTTTAAAAGTATTAAAAATATAATTTGTTTTATAAAGTGAAATAATCTTGTCATTAAAAAATTTTCAAACCGAGACTCTTATAGTTTTCTTCAAAATTATCAAATGAATTTCGATTTTCAGCTGGGACTTGACTAGACCAAAGCTATCGAAATGCCATCTGAAATGCTGAAATTTTTTTTTCATGCTTGTTTTTTTAAGTTTTTCGCCCATCGTTATGTTGGTAAAATCGCTATTTACTTGCCTTTTATGTTGATTCTACTCTTGTTTCCATTGTTTTTTCTTTTTCACTTGTTTTTGATACTTATCACAAGCCTTCGATGACAGCCTTACCTGTATTCTTTTTTCACGGTTTTTTGTGCCTTTTTTGTTGATTCAGGCAACGAAAATAGCTTTTTTTTTTTTGAAGAAATAGCCATGGCTAGGAATTTAGATAATTTCCAAGTTCACCGCTAGATTTTCACGGACTTTAATGTCCACTTGGTCTTTTTTTAAAGCTCCTGGCACGATTTGAGAAATATTGTACAGGAACGAGAGAGTTTAGAGTGGCTCATCGCTTTCTTTTTTTCTTTTTTCGATACTATAGCGATTCCAAACAGTTTTCTGCTTAATTTTGCTATTTGCCGTCTCACGGCTGTTTTGTCCAATCCAAACGCGCTCCAGCCAACTTTCTCATGCTAATATTCATTTCGCTATTGCAATTGTTATCTACGCACGGCTATTTTCTCTCACCCCCGTTACTCTCACTTTTGGTCCCGTGGCTTTTATTTATTTATATTCCCGTTGACCTAACAATGTAACGGTTCTATTCTGTGCTTTATCATTATAACTTATTCGTAACTTATTTTCTTCTCCCCACTTATTTTTATTGTTGACTATATCAATGATTCAATCATTGTGATCTCCTGCATTTCTTCCTTCACTTATTTGAACTTTTCTGTTGTGAGATTCGGTGACTCTTCTTCGTTTTTAGTTCATAATTATTTTCGAGCGTGTTTGAGATCTCCTTTTTTGCCATATGATAGCCTTGATAAGTTGTAATTCGTGTTGAATATTTGAACTTCGTGTACTATTTTTATGATTTGATATGAATGAAGTGATTTTGAATGGCATTTTATGTATTAGATTGTCGATATTCTTTGATTTGATTATTGGATTGGGGATCTAATTTGTAAAAAAATAAATTTGAGATATCGGGAAGGATTTCTGGAAATGGAAGTCTTTTGTGAGGTGAGTTTTTTTCATATTTTTCTGAAAGTTTGCAAACTCTAAAATTTGCATGAAAATCATGAAAATCTACAGGATAATAATGAAAATTAGGAGGAAAAGTTTAATCAACGCGAAAATTACCTAAAAAGTTTTTCTCAAGCTGAAATCTCTCATTGGACTTGCTGAGTTCAGAAATTGAATTTCTTTTTTTTCTCCGGTCGGAAACCCTCTATTTCCGGTTGTTTTTCTCATTCAATTCATTATTCCCAAGCCGCCCTCGAAACGACGCAAAGCTATTCGGTACATGAGCCCTTTCTCTTTCATTTTCCAGGCAAATCTGTTTTTTAATTAGTTCAAAAGACTTCAAAAGTGTCTTTTTTGACTTTGCGCTATATTAAAAACCCCTCTTTCTTACTGTATGCCTGCAGGAGAATCTCAAAAACGTCCAAATATCAAAATTCTATTTCCCTCATTTCGAATCCACGTGGTAACTTGTTGGCCTATCGAGCCTTCGACCTCTCGTGGCCTTGTGGCCTAATGGAGAAGGCGTCTGCCTCCTAAGCAGAAGATTGCAGGTTCGAGTCCTGCCTGGGTCGGAAGTTTTTGCCGATTCTCGGAAGTTAATCATGTCGTGTTAGGACTTCTAATCAGTCAGATTAGCACTTTTATTTTTGGAATGAAGCCAAAAAGGAACGTTTTACGTTTTAGACCCCACAAATAGCCGGATTATTCCAGCTTTACTGAAGATTTTTGGCTCCAAGCGTGTATTGATTCTGCTTTTTTTTTCATTTTTAAAGATGCGTGGAAAGAAGTTATTCGTCTTTCTCTTTGAAGGGAGGAGGTAGGAAAATTGATATTCAATGTTGAATCTTCGACATTTGCATTAATTAGGTTTCAAGTTGCGGCCTTTTTTTTTTAATTTTTTGCTAGCCTTTGATTTAGGGAGTTGCAGAATTTCAAAGTTTTGCAATTTATTCTCTCAGACATTTTTTTTGGAATGAACGAAGAATTTATTTTCAGAACGAAAAAGAGCGTGTCATGAATTATATTCTTTAATCTCCCAATTTAGTTATTCGATTAGTCTGGCTATATGTTTTCCTTTCGAAATAGGATCCTTTTACTGGAAATTTAGTTAAATTCACTACTCAGAAAAAAAATCAAGGGATTTTGTATTTAGTTCTAGAAAAAACGCCTCGAAAAGTTTGATTTTTCCTGAATCAAATGGATCAGTTCTTCATATTTTATAATGAAAAATAACAATGAAACTTCAATTTTTTTATCAGAACTATTTTCGTGAAACTCTAATTTTTCCACCTTTTTTTAAGCTAATATACTAAGAAACTAGGAAGTAAATTTTTTTGTACTATGAACAACAATTTATTTCAGCATCCCTCTTTAGATTCACCTTTACGTAAGCTTCTTTTTGTACTCTTTATTTTTATCCTCATATCATAACTTTCAGCCTCCAAGTTTCCAGTGAACCCGAAATTTTTTGCGGAAAAAGAACGAATCACGAGGCTTTTTTGATAAATGGCTCCGATGGGGACGACTGTTCCAGTTGTAATGTTTTTTTTTTTGATTCAACGAGCAAATCGCGTACTCTGCGTGTTTTTTTAAATTCTTTCTCACTTTATTTAGAAAAACGAAAAAAATAACAATATCCATTCAATATAGGTGATTTTATCATTATTTCTTCCATTAGAAAAATATACAATTTTTTAGTTTTACTCCATTTTTCTATTCCCTTTACCATCATTCCTATCCGCCTTCTACCTGCTTGCCGAATGTGGCCTTGTGGCCTAATGGAGAAGGCGTCTGCCTCCTAAGCAGAAGATTGCAGGTTCGAGTCCTGCCTTGGTCGTAACTTTTTTTGCCTTTTTTTCTGGTCATATTAGGATAGCCACGGCTTGCTAAAAAGTAAGAGTGTTTGAGAAATGCAACCGCAAATGAATAAAAGCCTTTTTTTGTCACCAATAAAAAACAACGAGCGATTTTTTCTCATTGGCCCATTTCCTTCAATATATTTTTTTATTTTTTCAGAGAATTATATTCACCTGAAAAGCGTCCCCACCCACCGCTTTTTGAAACTCTTGTACATTTATACTATACCATAAGAAATAGATATCGCCTATTTTAATTTATTCGTTATAAGAAACAAAAATGAATCAGAATGGAGATTTAGTCACGTTTTTTGGTCTTAAGTAATCTGATAAATTTTGCGGTGTGCACGGCTTCTTATCGAGGATTAGGTGAAAAAGGAGGCGAATTTTGATTTTTTGTTTATTCCGAGTTTTTCTCCTTGAGTCCTGTGAGTTTCTGGAACATTTTGAAGAAAAAAGTTCTTTTGCAAGTTGAATCTATGAAACTTTAAGGACATTTTCTATCTAGGTTTTTTTTTTCAAGAACTTGTTTTTTTGTATTATTCTGTTCGGATAGAATTTAAAAAAATAGGAAGTTTTTCCATTCTATGTTAGCGATTAAATTTTTTTGAATTAAAAAAACGCTCACAAGCTATTTTTTTAAATGAAAGTCTTCTCATACTTCGTTTATATACGTTTACAAACATACTTAATACTTCGTTAAAATACATGCAAGTTAAAATATTTCGGTTTTAATTTGTCCGCAACGCGACCGCGACGCTTCGAACCATTCCAAGTGCGACCTTATCTCAATTTTTGTCTTTTTCAACCAAATAAAGTTCGAATTGATTTGTTGTGTATACTAGGAAGTTCCTCAAAAAAGGGATTTAATAAAAAAACTGAAGTCCTATTCTCTGCGAAAATCCTTCCTAAGAGCCCAGATTTTCCCATCCTTCTTCTCGCATAATGACCAAAAAATCCCTTTTCCTGCACTTTTCCCTTTATCCTTTATCTCCAACGGCTCCTCGCTCCCTTCTTTTTTTCCTTCCGAGCATCAATAACCTGCAGCCTTTCCTCTCCTTTTTTTGTCCACTCCGCAGCTTTGACTTTCTTTTTTTGGCCCTAATTGCGTGTCTCTCCGGGCGATTCGTTCGCATTTTTGAGGCGATTTTTCGAGAGCACCCAGAATTTTTTCAACTTAATATGAGCTATCAATCAGAGGAACATAAGAGAATTTTCAATAAAAAACGAAAAAAAAAATGAGATGAAAAACCAAAAATTTTTTTAGAGCTTGATTTTTCAAGCTTGTGCATTCAATCACAGCGGAAAATTTGATATTTTTTTCAAAATGTAAAAAAAGAAAATTGTAAAAAAACGACTTATTGAATTCTTTCCAAAAAAAGTCTTTTCAAAGCATCCCTTCGGGATGCGTTTTTTTAATGGACAAAAGATTTATTTTTCCCAACTTTTTTTAGAGAATATCATGAAAAAAACAAATAATATGACTAAATCCCTACCAAAAGAGGTTTATCATTCAGAAAAGTTTGAATTTTTTTAAAGAAATTGTTTTTTTCCGATCCCGAATTAGAATTTCAAATTTTGTTAGTATAGACATATTGTAATTTTTAGATGAATCTTTAAATTGAATTCAATTAAGTTTTAAAAAACGTCAAAACGTCCAATTTCTATCTTTTTTGGAAAATTTCTCTTTTTTTTTGATCTTTTGATCCTTTCTCGTAACTTTTTTCCTAACTCTTAAATTTGTTCTGAAGCTTGAAAACTGTGTTGAGATGTTGTAGATTAAGCGTTATATAAATAAATATTTATAAAAAAAGCGTTGGGGTGCTTTCCACTATCCATAGAGCGCAGAAGTTTTCATTTTTTTGAGAGCCATTTTTTTCTGGCTCTCTCAATCGCGGTTTTTCTTAGAAGAACATTTTCTGTAAATCTTTCTCTTGAAAAAATAGAAAAAAACCTTCAAGCAGTTGCTCTGAACTGAAGGAACCTGAATGAAAAGAAAAGAATTAAGTTATTTTTTTCGGAGATACGAGAAAAAAAGGAAAATTCTTG